AAAAAATCTCACAAGTTATAAACACTTTCTGGGGCATCTCATCAAGGACAGAGGTGTTACCTGACCTCTGGCATCGGTCGCACCTGCGTGCGAAGGCGTTTGCGTCCTTGAAGAGCGTGGGCCAGTAAAAGCCCGATTGGAGCACCTTCCTCGCCGTGCGGTTCCCTCCGTGGTGACCGCCAGTAGGTCCTTCATGATAGTGAGATAGAATGCCCCCCATCTCACTCTCCATAACACATCGACTGATGATCCCGTCGGCTCCGATCCTGAAGAGATGAGGGTCATCCCAGAAGTAGTGCTTCGGGTCGGAGAAGAACTTCCTCTTGGCGTGAGTTGTCATCCCCTTGGGCAGCTGCTGGCCCACAAGATAGTTCGAAAAATCAGAATACCAGGGGGTGACACTCTCCACCAGGCACATCATCATCAGTCTCTCATCTGGGAAGGATTCGTTGATCTCCTCCTCGAGGTTGTCCGCAGGGGGTGCGTCCAACCGGGAGAGGTGATCGGCAGCAACATTCTCCGCTACCTTCTTGTCCCGAATCTCAATGTCGAACTCATGCAGCAGTAAGATCCATCGTATGAGCCTAGGCTTGGCATCGGCCTTGCTCATCAGGTATCGAATCGCGGAGTGATCTGTATACACGGTCACATGGGACAATACCAGATAAGGACGAAATTTATCGAAGGCAAACACCACCACGAGCAGCTCCTTCTCTGTGGTGGTGTAGTTCTCCTGGGTGTCATTCAGGGTCTTCGAGGCGTAGTAGATAGGTCGGAAATGCTGATCTCGCCTCTGCCCCAATACAGCTCCAACAGCAAAGTCACTGGCATCGCACATAAGCTCAAATGGCAGGGACCTGTCAGGAACAACCATGATAGGAGCTTGAGTGAGCTTCTCCTTCAAGGTCGTGAAGGCCGCTGTGCATGCATCAGTGAACTGGAAGGGGGCATCCTTCTCTAGAAGCTTAGTAAGGGGCAGAGCAATCTTCGAGAAATCCTTGATGAACCGCCTGTAGAACCCAGCATGACCTAAAAAACTCTGGATCCCCTTAACAGATGTAGGAGGAGGCAGCTTGCTGATAGTCTCAATCTTCGCTTTGTCCACCTCAATCCCCATCTTGGAGATCTTATGCCCAAGAACTATGCCTTCTCGAACCATGAAGTGGCACTTCTCCCAACTCAGCGCCAGGTTCGTTTCTTCACACCATTTAAGGACAAGCTCCAGGTTATGGAGACAGTGAGAGAATGAGTCTCCATAAACCGATAAATCGTCCATAAACACCTCCATAATCTCGCCGACCACGGTCAAAGATGGCGAGCATGCATCGCTGAAAAGTGGCAGGGGCATTGCATAGCCCGAATGGGATCCTCCGGTAGGCAAAGGTGCCGAAGGGGCAGGTGAAAGTGGTCTTCGCCTGGTCCTCCGGTGCAATAGGGATCTGGAAGTACCCGGACATCCCATCCAGGAAACAGTAGAACTCGTGCCCTGCCAGTCTCTCCAGCATCTGGTCAATGAATGGCAGCGGGAAGTGGTCCTTTCGAGTGGCGTCGTTGAGACGCCGGTAATCAATGCAGACACGGTACCCAGTCACCGTGCGCATCGGGATCGGCTCATTCTTCTTGTTAGGCACCACAGTCATCCCACCCTTTTTGGGTACCACCTGGGTGGGACTGACCCACTCGCTGTCGGAAATGGTGAAGATGATCCCCGCGTCCAGCAGCTTCACGATCTCTGCCCGAACCACAGCCTCCAGGTTCGGTGTCAGTCTTCTCTGCGGCTGTCTCACTGGCTGCATCTCATCCTCCATCAGTATCCGGTGGGAGCAGAAAGAAGGGCTGATCCCCCGGATGTCTGTGATCTTCCACGCGAGAGCTCGCTCATACCGCTTCAGCAAGGCCACCAGTATGTTCTTCTGCTCGGGTGTGAGGGTCGAGCTGATGATGACTGGCAGCTTATTCCCCTCTCGGAGAAATGCATACTCCAAATGAGGAAAGAGGGGTTTAAGCTCCAGCTCTGGTGGTTCCTCCAAGGAAGTAGCAATGCGGGTGGAGGATGAGAACAGTTTGAACAGCCTGTCGCCCTCCAAGAAGGGGCCACTCTCCAACTCGGCCAACTGCTCCGCCAGCTGCGGCTCCTGCGATGCCTGCTCACCTAGCAAAATACAACGCTCAAGAGTATCGTCAATACCCGCACTCGATATAGCGAGTGCGGTCTCAAAATCAGTAAGCATATCACAATAATCTATGTCATCATGCAAATGAGAGTGTTTCCCATTCTCAGACACAGAGAAAGTAGCCTGTTCATCACCAGCACGCAGAATCAATTTACCACTATGCACATCAATAAGCGCCTTGGCGGTGGCGAGAAACGGTCTACCCAAAATCAAAGGTACATCCACATCCTCATTTATATCCAAAATAACAAAGTCAACAGGATATGTGAATGCACCCACATTAACAAGCAAGTCCTCAATGATACCCCTAGGATGCACGATAGAACGATCAGCTAACTAAATGCTCATCCTAGTAGTTCTAGGTTCACCTAGGCCTAGCTTCTTAAACAATTTGTAAGACATGACATTTATGCTAGCGCCTAGGTCCGCCAAGGACTTTCCTACATGCATGCTGCCAATAACAAGAGGGATAGTGAAACTCCCTGGGTCTTTTCGCTTCTCGGGCAGCTTGTTCTGCAGGATAGCAGAACACTCCTCACTCAGCATCACTGTCGAAAGATCCCCAAGTTTCTTCTTGTTGGTGAGGAGGTCCTTCATGAACTTGGCATACTTGGGCATCTTTGACAGTGCCTCCACGAACGGCATGCTGATGTTGACCTGCTTCAACATTGCCATGAACTTGGCAAACTTAGTCTCCAGCTTGTCTTTATATAGGCGAGTGGGGAAAGGAAGCTGGGGTACATGCTCCTTAACCACTGGTTGTGGTTTGGGAGCAGGCGTTTCTTTGTCTTCCCCCACTTCTGCAGTATCAGCTGGAAGTGTTGAAGCAGGTAGTGGCTCATCTCGACTGGGCTGGGCAGGAGCAGCTGATGTGGTCTTGCCACTCCTGGTAGTGATGGCATCAAGCTGCTGGTGCTGGTGAGGATCACGAGGATTCGGAATAGTGGTGGCCGGCAGAGTCCCCGGTGCCCTGGTCGTGTTTTGGCGGGCCAAGATACCCACCTGGTTCTGCAGATCTTGCAAAATGGCACCTTGGTTCCTCTGACCTGCCTCTAGTGAGGCTATGCTCTGGTCCAACCTCGTGACAGTTGCCTGAGTGCTAGTCATGAATGAAGCTAGAATATTTTCCAGCTTCATCATCTGATTATCTGGAGCCGGAGCTGCTGCTGGCTCGGCAAACTGACGCTGGGGCTACTGGAATGGTTTCCCCTGCCTAGGCTGGTAGGGCTGTTGCTGTGGGGCTGGCCCCTGTCGAGCCTGGAAAGGCTGCCTCTGCTGAAAACCACCAGCTAGTGCTGGGAAACCAGGTGGTTTAGTGGTGTTGCTGCTCCAAGAGAAATTGGGATGCTGGCGCCACCCCTCATTATATGTATTGCTGTATGGGTCGAGGCACCGAGCATTGGCGATGAAGTCCAACTGCTCTTGGGGAGTAGTAGACTCCCTCATAGCCTGGCAGTCTTCCACTAGGTGATTTGAGCTCTCACACCACTGACATTGAGCTACTGGAGGTGTAGCCAAACCTCTGTCCGGAATAAGACTGTTGGGCTGCTTCAATGTCTGCACTAACTCAGCTACCTGCTGCTCGAGCCCGGATCTGGTCTCCATGGCGTGCACACCACGGTCCCGGGAATGTCTGCCTCTGCTGCTCTGCCCCCAAGAATGATCTCTGGCAGCCAAGGTATTGATCATCTGGTTCAGCTCGGGTGGAGTCTTAGTAAGAATATCCCCTCCTGGGCATAGAGACTCAATCACCCTCTGGCTGTCCGGTGAGAGAGCACTGTAGAAGTTTCCCACTGTGAATGCATCACTGAAGCCATGATGGGGACACTGCCAGAAATATCCCATGTACCGCTCCCATGCATCACGAAGTGACTCATCTGGCTCTTGGCGGAAGTGAGTGATCTCCCGCTGGATCTCTGTAGTCTTCGATGCCGGATAGTACCTGTGCACGAATTTGTCAGCCAGATCGTCCCAAGAGGTGATGGACAATGGGGGCTGGGTCTCCAACCACCTCTTAGCATTCCCCGCCAGAGAATGGGGGAAAAGATGAAGGCGGATTGCATCATCGGGGACACCGTTCAGCTTGAACCCGTTAGTCAGCTGCAGAAAACGGGGAAGATGTACCCTGGCCTCCTCATCCTTCAAGCCATGGAACTGGATAGAGGATGTAATGAGCTGAATCCAACATGGCTTGATCTCGAAGTTGTTTGCTGGAATAGGCGGGTAGAGGATGACCGGGCGGATGTCAGCAATCCGTGGAGTGTAGTAGTACTCCAAGGTGGGACCCGGCGGCGGTGGATGATGATGAGCCCCATCTGCCTGGGGTATGGGGTTGTTCCCCAGGACCTGATTCACCGGGGGAGCCTGCTGAGGATTCCCCTGGTGTGGATTGTAATCTCTGTCCATCCCGTACTCTTCCTCAGAATCGCTACTCAAGTGGCCGTCTATGCGCTCTTCCGTAGCCAGTCTAGCTCGCTGTTGTCTCCTGAGTTGGCGACAGGTGCGGTCAATCTCTGGATTCAATGGCAGTAAACCTCTCGACTGGCTACAGGTCATGCACTACCTGCACACACTCAAGCAAGCAAACCCGTGAAGGCACAAGTAGGACAAAGCAAACAATGCGAAAAGAAAAGCTAAATTAACAGAAATCACTTTTCTTCAACAACCTAGCCGTCCTCGGCAACGGCGCCAAAAACTTGACTCACTTCTACTGTCACTCTAGGAATTGGCCAAGTGAAACCACTTCCTAAAGCGTAGTATAGCGGGTTTGGGTTTTAATGTCAACCCGGGTCCTAGATTTGATGACTACTCGGTGAATTCTTGTTATCTAGCAATGAAACTTTAGTGCAGGTCTAAACTAACAAACAAGCAAAGCAACTAAACGGTTGTTTTCAGGTTAAGAGAGGTCACCCGGATATGGTTCCCCCTAGACTGCAGTTAAGCCAGATTGCAATTACCAAGTTTAGTTTCTATGATAGTTATACTGCGGAAGGTTCTTAAGCAGTTTGAAGTCTCGACTAAAGGTCTCCAGACCCTCTCAATCTGAGTCTCTAGAGGGCGACTAACCTCCACTGGAGTAAACAGATTGAGGCCCTAATGAACAAAACCTCCACTACCGAAGTGAATTCGGTACAGAATAGTGAGTTGGCACCTCGACTAACGTCACCAACTCCCTACCTTCAATCAAGGATGCTCTATCAACCTAGGCAGATATTCTCATTCTAGGTTAAAGCAGAAACAACAGGAATTTGATCAGGATTCAAGCCATTCAATCATTCAAACCTCAATTGAATATAATCAAATCATAGAATCAGTACTTGGGTTCATACAATCAAACCTAACATACAAATCTAGGGTTTCCCATACCCAGATGAATGGGAGAACTACTCCATGGAGAAAGAAGCAAAAGCAGATTCAAACGCGGAAATCATACTGTGAAGGATGGATTTCTGCTCCTGGACGTTGATCGGCACTTCTCCAAGCTCATTCCAAGCTCCAATGGTGATGAAGATCAAGCTAGGGCACTTGGGAACTCTTGCTCGTTGCTTTCTCTCTCTAGGAATCGCTCTGTCTCTCTAAAACTCGAATCCCCTTCTGTTTTGGCTGAAATCTGCTTAAAAGGGCTTCACTGGGCAAAACACGGTCGAGGGCACGGCCGTGTTCTGCTCCAGCCCGCCCGTGCCCTTGCCAAGTGTTAATTACACGGCCAGCCTTTTGGGGAAAACACGGGCGTGCTTTTGGTGGACACGACCGTGTTCTTTCTCAGTCCTGCCCGTGTTTTGAACTCGTGTTTGCCAAACTCAGATCAAGTCTCGGCAGGAAAAGCACGGTCTAGGAACACGGCCGTGTTCTGATTTAGGCGTGCCCGTGTTTTGGCTCCAGCTCGACCGAATGACTTCCGAATGCCCCGAAACTTGTGCTAAGCCTTTCCTTCGACGTCTGGGACCTGAAATACATGGATTACGAAACCGTACCGGCCATCAAACCGGAATCGTTTTTGGCATGGTAAATCGTGGTACAACCATGGTTCAACCGTTTCCTACCGGCAAATACCGTTTTTGGAATAAAAAAATTATTTTTTTGTTAAAAAACCGTACCGACAAAATTAGGGTACCATACCGGGAAAATACCGGATTATACCGCCTGAGAAACTGTAAAAGAGTAAATAAGCTTAGGTAACATTCAACAAAGTGCGAGATTTCAATACCTAATAAACCTCATAATCATCCAAATACATTTTTAGAAACTAGTACAAAAGCCACAAGCTTAATGTTCTTATATTAGAATGATTTTTGTGCGCTACACTTATGATCTTGACATTAACAACCCATAAAAAAGAATTCAGCCGTAGAAAACCATAAATTACACCTGCAACTAGGTATGGGAATTACGAGGTCCACACAGACTAGGGATAAGAACAGTAATTGAAAAAAAAAACAGAATACAAGCTTCCCAAATTTGTTACAAACCGCTGTTTCCAAACAAATTTCAGTTTTCTGTGATTTAAAATGGATTTTGAGGTTGAAATGATTTTGTTTCTGCGTGCAGGGAAGAAGAACAGAGAGAGAGATCCACACCTGCAACTTGGATTAAGAAGAAGGAAGTGATGGCGGGGTCGCGGGAAAGTGGCGGCCACGATCTCTGATCGCCGGTGGTGTTGATCGCCGGTTGCTGGGGTTGCTGGGGATGCTGGCGACGCGGGGAGAGTGGAGACCAGAGCGGCGCGACGCGGCTGCTGAGTGCTGGGAGAGAGAGACGAGAGGCAGGTAGGGTTTTGTGAGTCTCTGCTTCCCTTCCATTCCGTTTTTTTTTTCATCAAACGGCGCCGTTTGGGTTAAATGAAGGGACCGCCGGGTTGGTTTTAAACCGGCCGAAATTTCGACCCAATGCGGTCCAACCGCAAATACCGCCCGGCAGGTTATTAAAGGGTACAAAACCCTATTGCGCCGGTTTACCTCCGGTTTCCGGTTTTTCCGGTTCGACCGGCCGGTCCGGTAGGGTATCCTGGTCCTTGCTGAAATATGACAAAGTAGCACAACCCGGCGTAAAATAAGCCAAAAATACACGACTATGCACCTCAAACGGATAATAACTAGGGGTGCAAATATGTGCAATTACATCGTTATCAGTATCTTTCGCAATTTTTTGTATTTTTCATATCTCCATTTTTTCTTTATTTTTGGTCGTTCATCACTACATCCGTACTTTCCGATTTTATCGGTGGAGGCCTCACAACAGAGGTCAATTTTTGCTTGCTTTTTTAGTTTTTCTTCATTACATGCTCGTTTATGCCATTCCTGTAATGTTAGAATTCGTCCTCCTAATGTATCTGGTACTTCCTCCTTTTGAACTGCTTCATTGAAAACAATTTCTACTTTTTGTGCTACTATTAAAGGTAGTTTAGAGAAGAATAATTTATCTAAGTCTTTTCTTATTGACTGAAAAACCTGATAATAATTTATCTTAAATTCGCAAATAAATGATTATAAATAACACAGATTACAGATCCTTAAGTTTGTTAGGTGCCAAATAGCCTAATTACTCAGAGTTGCATTAGTTTCTTTTTCTCTTGGATATCTTCCTAGAAATTCATAGGTTAAAGCATTTAATATTTTTTCAAAAGTTTTTATAGCATCATTTCCATATAGGGTTGTTTTTGCAGGAATATCCATTGCACTTAAATAGTGATAAACTGCTCCAGTGGTTTTGTACATTAAGAAATTAAATATTTCACTAGGTTGAAGTTTCCTTAATTCCTCGTTTGTTTGAATTAATAATCCTGTTCGATTTTTCCAGTCTTCTAATTCTTTTAATGGATTAGTACTACAATCTAAATCTAGAATATCTGAACTATTATAACTTTTTGTAGAGTATTTAGGAATGTATAAGTGAGGAATTATCGTCCATTCTCCCCCCCTACGAGGAGCGAAATGATTTTTATAAAGATATTCGTCAAAATTCATTTGAACGTCATTATATTCATTAAATCGTCTTTTATTTGATTTAGATGGAATTGGGTTAGATGTTTCGCCTGGGTTATTTTCTGTTTTCATATAATTTGTATATGGATTTTTATCACTACTGTAGTCTAGTACTACTTTATCATTTTCAATGTCGTCTTCGTTATCTGATTCAATACTTAAAGCCATTAGTAAGTCATTTAATTTATTTATATTCTCATCAATAGTTGTCATATTAGGTAAGGTTGGATAATTGTGAGTTTTCCAGGATTTTTATGATCCTTTAAAAATTCTTTAATATCTTTAATAGTAAGATATCTCGTGTTATCTAATTTTAATATTATTTCTTGTAGTGTTGTTATTATTCCTTTAAGATTTTCTTCTGGTAATATTTCATTGGAACTTTCAATAGTTTTTCCTTTGTCTTTTATTTTTAATATGATATTATTTATTAGATTTTTTGCTATTTCTAGGTCAGTGTATAATTCCTTTTGTTTTCCATTGATTTGAAATTCTAACATTGTTCTTAAATGTTTATTATTTTCTTCAAGCGCTCTTATTATGATTCCTTGATAGTCATCTAACTGTTTTCCGAATCTGTCGAAAAATGCCCAAAGATGCTGGCTCTGCAATAAAGAAGGACATTATGCTAATAAATGCCCAAAGAAAAACACTAATATTAAGAAGCAGGAAGTTCTAAGGGTAGCATACGATTGTGCATTCGAACCTATAGAAGAAACAGATTTTGAACTATCAGACATAGAAATTATTGAATATCTTACAGATTTAGAACCTTTTTCAGATGAGTCAAAAGAAGATTCTAGCTAAGAATAACCCGAACGCAACATTCATAAAAGTCACTATTGAAAATAAGAATCTTCTGGCATATATAGACACAGGAGCAACACTTTGCTTTGCAAAAAGATCGACCATTAGAGGTTGGGATAAATTAGAGAAACCATTAAAAAGTGTTGTTGCAGATAAATCTATCCATGAAATCTGGTATGTAAAACATTATGTGCCTATCATTATAGAACACAATGTCTTTACTGCCAAAACAATATATCTGCATGACTCAGGATTAGATATAATAATAGGAGATAATTTTCTTAAACTATATCAGCCGTTTACCCAAAGAATTAAAAGTATAAGTCTAAGAGCACCTAAAATGAAAAATCAAGAGCCAAAGACTGTTACCACCAAGATAATAAAAAAAAATGAAGTATTAAGAATTGTCTTACAAAGACTTAAAAATAGGCTTGAATATATTCAAGTGGCCTACGGGATAGCTGAAGAAAAACTAGAAGAAATCTGTAGTGAACATCCTTTAGATAGTATAAAAAATACAAATTCAGAATTAATAGAAATTAAACTAAAAGATCCAAATATCGAAGTTAATGTTCCTAATAAAATACAATATACTCAAAGAGATGTAGAAGAATTTCTAGTAGAAATTGGAGATTTACTAGGTAAAAATATTATTCGAGAAAGTAAAAGTCCGCATAGTGCTCCGGCATTCTTTGTAGAAAATAATAATGAAATTAAAAGGGGAAAAAGACGTATGGTAATAAATTACAAAAAACTCAATGAACACACTATAGGAGACAGTTATAAATTACCAAGAAAAGATTATATTTTGGAACGATTAAAAGGACAAACTTGGTTTAGTAGTTTATAAGCCAAATCGGGATATTGGCAATTAAGACTTCATGAAAATACAAAACCCTTAACAGCTTTTTCATGTCCACCACAAAAACATTATGAATGGAATGTGTTACCATTTGGAATTAAACAAGTCCCAGGAATTTATCAAAGATTTATGGATAAAAATCTAGAAGGATTAGAAGATTTTTGCTTAGCATACATTGATGATATTATTATCTTTTCAAATAAAGATAAAGCAGACCATGAAGAAAAACTAATAAAAGTTTTAGGAAGACTAAAGGAAAAAGGACTAGTAATATAAAAAAGAAAATATAAATTGTTAGTCAATGAAATGGAATATTTGAGAATGAAAATAAATAGTACAGGAGAAGTAGAACTCACCACTAATGTTAAGGAAAAACTAGATAAATCCCGGAAAAAATGGAAAATAGAAAACAAATACAACGATTTTTAGGAAGTCTAAATTATATCAGTGAACAAGGATTTCTAAAAAATTTAGCAAAAAAAAGAAAATACCTTCAGCAAAAGATATCAGATAAAATACCTTGGAAATGAGATGACAAGGATACAGAGGTAGTAAGATTTATGAAGGCAAGTTGTGATCATTTACCAAAATTATATAACCCATGCGATCGATATTTTCTTATTGTTGAGACAGATGCATCAAGGGATACATGGGCAGGTTGCATGCTTGCAATACCAGAAGGCAAAAAGTTACTATCACTTGATCACTATGGCAATATACTCAGTAATGAATCGAATGATTCACCCTATATCAGTAATGAATCGAACGATTCAACACTATCTCAGCGAAGTAATGAATCGAATGATTCAAAACAATATGACTATACAATACCATTCAATACATACAAATACCCGAAGAAGTTATGTAAATATATATCTGGAACATTCTCTCCTACTGAGAGAAACTATCCAATACATGAGCTAGAGACACTAGCTTGTCTCAGAACACTGAAAAAATGGAAACTAGAATTACTAACCAGTCGATTCGAATTACGGACCGACTCTAAATATGTAACAAGATTTTGGAGATACAAGCTAGATGAGGACTTCAATAAAGGAAGACTCATTCGCTGGCAACAACAACTTCACTATTATCGACCATATCTGAAGTATATCAAGTCAACAGCCAATCCACTAGCAGACACCCTTACAAGAGAATGGAAGGGATAATCAAGCAAATGCAACATCAGCAACAGCAGAAGAAAGAGCAACGTGCCCTCGAAGTCCAGCTTTCTCAGCGGCGGGGGGAATTGGATCAGATAAGAACCACCATCACCATTCTGCAAACACAACTTAAAAGCACTACTCAAACACAAACTGTTCTGCAACAACAAGCTATTCAGTCACCACCTACAGAAAAAAGTATACAACTAGAGAAGAACATACCATTATCATCTACAAAATGGTCAGACATGGTAGAAGAAGATGAGAAAATCGAAGAAGACGAAAGAAAATCAAAGAAAGGAAAATGGTACGTTATTTACGACGGACCTTTTCGAGGACTCTATAACAAATGGGCAATAGTATCTCACCATGTTACGGGATACAACATCAAACACCAATCATTTTCAACAAAAGAGGAAGCAGAGCAGGCATTAAGAGAATCATACAAAGCAATTGCTATGAAACAGAAGACAGAGTCGGTCACTCCACAACAAAGATTAGTGATGAAGATACCAAGCATCAGCATTAAGGATATTCCAACCACAAAGCAAAAGGAAGAATTCATTAGACCTACACTTCAAAAATTCCAACAATGTTGGGAAGATCTTCTCAATTACAAGGAAATTCACACTACCACGGGCTTCTACCCTACCTTCAAGGGAGGGCCGAGAGCAGTCATCATCACAGATAAAATTGCACCAACAACACTATTCGCTCTCCATCAATATGGATTAATCGACACAATATACACACAGAAGGCCCATATCTTCGAAGAATTCCCAACAAAGTTCAAGACAATCGTAAAAAGGTATCTAGACTCATTCGCCAAGGGTAGAGAAATCTATCTGCGATACACATCCAGCTATCTGGGATACCAGAGATGAATTAGAGACAGCCATGATACCAGAGGACTATCAAGTCAGATCATTATATTCAGTAAGTCAGGCCCTATATTATCTTAATCCAACAGATAATATTAAAGTCAATTATACTAGCACCAACAAGATCATCATCAGCAATTCTAAAAATCAGATCACAGCGGAAGAATGTAAATATGTACATCTGAACCTCATAAAGGGGTAGAGTAGAATAAAAGTTTGAGAATTCTCTCTCAAAAGACTAAGTGTAGTCTTGGTGCTTTTGCACAGAGCGGTTGAGGTAATACTCTGGAGTCGCTCGTATCCATTATCACCTATCCATAAAAACCATACACAAATCATTAAATATCACAAAGAATTCGCCAAAAACCATCTCAACGATCAACCAGTAATCAGCCTCCTTCGCACTACACCACCATGAAAACTTTCAACAACAAGAAGTTGCATCATTCAGCCTAAGCAACAATCAGGTATGTCAGATAACCCCAGTAGCAGTAACAATTACTTTGATTATTTAAGTGAAAATGAAGAAGAAAATTATTTTTTAGATGGAATATTAGATGTCAAGAAAATTAAGGAACAAACTAATTTCACCTTATCAGAAACGCAAAATTTTATTACTAAGTCTTTTTTATCCAAACTATCCGATAGGAAAAATATAATTAAATATGGAAAAATGATAGGAGAAACGGCAGTACCAATAGAGCAAACTAAGGGAGATTTCCTAATTCAAATAATAAATAGAGAACAAATTAGGAAGAAATTATCCAAGTTACAACAGGAAGAAAGAAGTAAAATAGCTTATATTCACATTAGCACGATACAAATCATTCTAAAATCTACTATGAAAACAGGAATAAGTGCACCTATAGAACTAGAAATAAGAGATGATCGACTCATCAATAGAGAAGAGAGTATTATTGCAAAAGGAAAGGGAAATCTAGGAGTAGGAATAATCAAATTCGATATTAATTTACAACAAGGAATTAGTTTAACAGATGTGAATCTCGACTCTTCCATTATTATAAAGTATGAATTGAAAAGAAAAAATTTCATGAAAGAAAATAGTAAACCTTTTTCAGTAACATACCCGATAAACTATGCACTAACCAATAGTCATCATAGTCTAGCATTTAGGGACAAGGAAGCCATCACCATAGAAGATTTATTCAAACCATTAATTCAATTAGAATCCCCTCTATAAGTAATAAAATCAAATTATGAACATCCAAGAATAAGTGTAGATGAGAGAGTCTCTTCCATGAGACTAACCGATAAGCAGAAAGAAAAGGAGAAAGAAGAAAACAAGGAAATAAAAAACATAACTATACTTCATCAAAATGATAATACTAGTGAAATAAAAAAGCTACAAGAACTAATCGTAGAAATGAGTGAAAAATTGTAAAAGATGCCTAACGCTCATTACATAAATAAATTGATAGAAGGAATAGATGCAATAGACCTTACATCAGTAAACGACATTAATACGGTTACATTAGAATTATCCCACTTTGTATCAGATATTGTAGAAAAACATATGTGTATCGGAAATTCGGAAACATTGGAAGAAGTCGTATCTAAAACTGAATTAATCACCGATATAATAACTAGTCTAAACAAAATAAAGCAGAAACTAGAAAATAGATACAACCAAGTACAACAAAATGACTTTAGAACTCATACTCATGGAAGAAAATGAAATTGCGAAAGATTTTTTGTAAACATTGAAAGGATGTTTCCTTTGATGTTTTTGGACCATCTTTGTTTGGACCCTTTCACGAAGAGAAAAGAAAGCGAAGAAAATGTATTGGTGAAAGGATGTTTCCTTTGTCATTTTTTGGTATCAGAGCCTTCAAGACAAGCCCATCAAATGAAAGAGACTAATCCATTTAAATTAAAAAGCATTAAAATAATTAGTCCAATAGTAAATTAAAAAAAAGTGCAACCCGATTCAACCCGATGGGCTCACTTTGACACCTATAGTTACATATACGTTCTGGCGAAGTGATTCAGAACTAGCGGTGCTTTTTTTCCGGGAAAGTGGAAACACCTTTTTGTTACATTTCTTTCTTTGTGGCCACGGCTGGAATGTGGAAAGTGCACTAGGAAAGGACATGACTCATGAGACAATGGCGTATATTTGAAATGCCCAATTCACAACCTTGCATCGCATTGCTTGCTCTGCCTTCCAAGGGGAGACACAAGTACTGAAGTACATGTTGAGTTATGGGTTTTAGCCCTTGCACGTATGACCAGGCCCATACGTAGCATAGGGGTTCTCGGCCTAGTAGGGTTAGGACACCCGAGTATATATTGATTTATATGCATGTAATTGTTGAGGATAAGAATACAAGACTCCTATTCCCGCCGTGGACTAGTCTTGCTCACAATGAGCAAGGATACCACGTTAAATTCTGTGTCGTATTCCGTTTCAATCTTGTTCTTCGTTTCATTTCTCCGTTCCAATTAACATGGTATCAGAGCTATCTGCAATGGATTCAGATCATATCTCGGCACGTTTGAACTCGAAGAATTACGCGCTTTGGGAGTTCCAGTTCCGTATCTATATCGAAGGGAAAGGGCTTCTCTCCATGATCGATGGATCGTCGTCCAGACCTATTGTTCCGCCTGCTACCGCGCAAGCTTTGCTTCAATGGCAGCAAAACGATGCGGGCGTCAAGACTGCTCTTCTGAACTCTGTCGAGAAGTCGATCGTGCTAGGTTTACGTACCCTCCCGACGGCGGCTGATATGTGGAGGAACTTGGCCGAAACGTATGGAACTACAAGCGTGGCTCGTCAGTTTGATCTCGAGATCGCACTCTCTCAGCTTCAGCAGGGCGATTGGGATATCGCCTCTTATTACAATGAGGCGAGGCAGCTCTGGACTGAGCAAGACTTGGTCTCTACTGCGCTGATGCCGTCGGGAGTCTCTGAAGAAGCCCGAGCTGAAAAGAATCGGATTCGCTTGCTGCACTTTCTTGCGCGGCTTCGCCCGGAGTATGAGGCGCTTCATGCCCCGTTGATTCACCGCGACTCACTCAAGATGGAGGGGGTTCTCGGCGCCTTGCTGCAGGAGGAAACCCGACTTCGTACGCAATCGGTTCTGGATGTCAAACCTAGTCAGGGAGACGCTAGCATCTTTGCAGTTGGCGGCAGCCGCCTTTCCCGTTTCGTTTCCACTCCTCATGCAGGGCGATCCGGTCCAGCTGTTGCTCGTGAAGGACAATCCTCCCCTGCTCCTGCTGTTCCGAATGATGAGACGTATGACTCCGCCTTCGCAGCCCTCCGTCCACAATTTCAGCGTCGCTCTGACGTCGAATGCCATCACTGCCACCTCAAGGGCCACACCCAGAAGTTCTGCTGGAAAAGAAATTGGTGCGTGTACTGTAAAAAGGACGGCCACATTATCCCTGATTTTCCATCTCTGCAGGTTCGAGTGAGGGACGCTAGCAGCTCTTCTGGTGGCTCTTCTCAAGCTCGACCGGCCTTTGCTACACAGCCTGCCGAGTCTGTGGGCAGTGATGTTGTGACTCCTGGTGCTTTGGAGCAACTTGTAAGCAAGGCGGTTGCCTCCGCCTTCGCCAGTCTGCAGGTTTCCGGTAAGCCTCTTCCATGGATTCTCGATTCTGCCTGTTTTAACCATACGACCGAACGTTTGTCTGCTTTGGAGAATGTCCATCCTGGTCCGGGTATACTATTACAGGTTGCTAATGGCAATAATTTAACTGTTGAGGGTGAGGGCACGGTTTCTCAACCTGCCATTACACTTCCCTCCACGTTTCATGTGCCTGCTCTTGTTCCCAATCTTGTTTCGGTTGGCCAGCTCACTGATCAAAACTGTTGGGTTGTTTTTGCACCATCTGGTTGCTCTGTGCAGGATCTGACGACAGGGAGGGAGATCGGTCGGGGTAGCAAGTACGAGCGCATCTTTCATTTGGAGAAGCTTGATGCGCCGCCTCCTGTCACATCATCATCATCGTTAGTTCCTTCGGTGTCTAGATTGTCTCCCTGTTTGGCTGTGTTTTCTCGTATTTGTGATAAGAATTTTCATTTGTGGCACTCACGTTTGGGTCATCCCAACTCTGGTCGGCTTGCAACTATGTTTAGACCGCGGTTATTTGGTGATAATGTGATTGGTGATTCTTCGGATTTTTTTTGTACTTGTTGTGTTGAGGCTAAAGCTACTCGCTCCTCATTTCCTTCTAGCCAAACTGTTATCGTTGAACCCTTTCACATTATTCACACTGATCTCTGGGGTCCTAGCCCCGTGACCTCTCGCCATGGCTATAAGTACTTTGCACTTTTTGTCGACCATGCCACTCGATATATTTGGGTGTATTTTCTTCGTCTCAAGTCTGACCTTCTTGTTGTAGCCACTTATTTTATCACCATGATCCAGACCCAATTCTCTATAGTCATTCGTGTCATTCGTGCTGATGAGGGTGGTGAATTTAGTTCTCATCCCCTTCTTTAGCTCTATCGGTCTAGTGGTATTCTCTCTCAAAAGGCTTGTCCCGATACCTCTCAGCAAAATGGTCTGGTTGAACGTAAGAACATGCATGTCATGGAGATTACTCGTGCCCTTTTGTTAGCCTCCCATGTTCCGTCCTCCTTCTGGTCTGAAACTGTGTCTAGCGTTGTTCGTTTAATCAACTACCAAATCACTCATGTCCTTGGTCAGTCTAGTCCATACCATAAGCTCTTTGATAAACATCCACCTTACTCTCGTCTTCGTGTGTTTGGTTGTACCTGTTTCGTTCTCCGTCCCCGATCCGAGCGCACTAAACTTATGTCTAAAACCTCCCGTTGTGTGTTCCTTGGCTATAGTGATATCCACAAGGGATATTTGTGTTATGAACCCTCCACCCAGCGTCTTCGTATATCCTGTAACGTCGTCTTTTTTGAGAACTTGATGTACTATTCTAGCCCATCGTCCACCTCTCCACCACTTTTTGCTACATCCCTTGGTCCACCGTCTTTTCCCGATGATGATGATGAACACGATGTGCTACCCCCGACTCTCCTCCCACTTCCCCGGGCTCCACATCGTCCAGTGCCTCGTTCGCGTCTTCGTCCACGAACTCTTCTCCAGCTGCGTCTCCTATTGAGGCTCCTGTCATGCCACGTCGATCACTCCGCTCTAATCTTGGGCAGCTCCCTGTTCGGTACCATGATTTTGTTACTTATGGTGTCGAGTCTATTCCTATCCTGACTCGTTTCTCGCAGGCACAGGGTAATCCGTTGTGGGACTGGGCTATGGACGACGAGATTGATGCGCTCCATGCCAATCATACGTGGGACGTTGTTCCCAGACCTCCGTCTGAGGTCCCTGTTGTCGGCAGTAGGTGGGTCTATACCCTCAAGATTAAACCGGATGGCACTCTTAATCGTTCTAAGGCTCGCGTGGTTGCCCAGGGATTCACACAAGAGTATGGTATTGATTTTACCGAGACCTTTGCTCCAGTTGCCAAGATGGTTACTGTTCGCTCCTTGTTGGCAGTAGCTTCTCTTTGTAATTGGCCTCTCTACCAGCTGGATGTGAAGAACGCCTTCTTGCATGGTGATCTGCAGGAGACAGTTTACATGGAATGTTCCCCTGGTTATGCTCTTGGTTCGCCTTATAAGGTTTGTCTGCTTTGCCACTCCTTGTATGGTCTCAAACAGGCTCCGCGGGCCTGGCTTGAGAAGTTTCAGCATACGGTTCTTGAGCTTGGTTTTTAGCAGAGTCTTAATGATCCGTCCTTGTTCACTCGTCGTACATCTCGTGGTCTGGTTTTCTTGCTCCTGTACGTCGATGATATGATTGTAGAGGCCCTGACTAGTGGTCTCCGCAGCTCGTTTAATCTTAAGGAGCTTGGCGAGTTGTCGTACTTTCTTGGTCTGGAGGTTCAACGGGTTCGGGGAGGCATTCTTCTTAATCAGCGCAGGTACATTATTGATCTTCTTGACTCAGCTAAATATAGTGATTGTACACCGGTTTATACTCCCATGGAGATTAATCTGAAGCTGGGACGTGAATCTTGTGAATTGTTACCTGACGGGGGAGGCATTATCGCAGTATTGTTGGATCTTTGATATACTTGACTTCTACTCGTCCGGATATTGCGTATGCAGTACAAATTGTCAGCTAGTTTATGTCAGCTCCACGGACTGCTCACCTTGATGCAGTACACAGACTGCTTCGTTGTCTGCAGGGGACAAAGGAGATTGGCCCGTTCTTGCCATCGACCGGTAGCTTTCAACTCGAGGCTTTTTCCGATGCCGATTATGCTGGGTGTGTGGATACTCGACGTTCTACTACAGCCTGTTGTATTCGTCTCGGTGATTCATTTATCTCCTGGCGTTATAAGAAGCAGGATAGAGTCTCCAAGTCTTCTACAGAGGCTGAGTATCGAGCTAGGTCGGATGTCACATCAGAGCTAGAATGGTTACAACAACTACTTGGTGAATTGGGTGTCGACTGTTCGCTTCCTATGAAGATTTATGTTGATAACACTAGTGCGATTCAGATCGCTACTAATCCGTTGCTCCATGATCGGACGAAGCATATCGAGGTTCATCTGCACTATATTCGGGACTTGGTTAGTGATGGGACAGTTCGACTCTCCTATGACACGTCAGAAGATCAGATTGCTGATTTGTTGACTAAAGCGTTTACAGCCGGTCGTCATTCTTATCTTGCTGGCAAATTGATGATGAGAAATCTTCATCAATTTGGGGGAGGCTGTTGAGTTATGGGTTTTAGCCCATGCACGTATGATCAGGCCCATACGTAGCATAGGGTTTCTCAGCCTAGTAGGGTTAGGGAAGCCGAGTATATATTGATGTATATGCATGTACTTGTTGAGGATAAGAATACGAGACTCCTCTTCCCGCCGTGGACTAGTCTTGCTCACACCGAGCAAGGAAACCACGCTAAATTTTGTGTCGTGTTCCGTTTCGATCTTGTTCTTCGTTTCGTTTCTCCGTTCCAATTAACGATACACAACAACCATTTATGAATCATGACCCATTCAAGGGTTTGCATTTTCTTCTACGAGAATATGATTCATGCAAGACACAAGGTTTAAAATACTTCAGTACATGTATGTTTTAAAAGGATGCAATGCAAATATGAACTTTTATCTATCGTGGTTCGAAAATGGTTTTGATATGATCCCATTTGGTCTCTTGTTGAAGCTCTAATTAAACCCCAAAGGATCAATCAACGTTGGAAGGAAAAACGGAAGAATTTGGTTAAGTGTTCGAATCATTTCATGGTGCCTACTTTACGGGTTCGTATCTTACATACTGGTTGATGGAATCAAGGGAAAAGGGTGTAGAATTGAAATTAAGATGTTCCTCTATACGTTAGCATCCCTGGCCAAGCAAGATCGATCGATTAAGAGCCATTTTCATGAGCCTCAAATTGTTACGGCAAAACTGGAAGATTGTATGTTTTTGGCTAAGTCTGGAACATGTGTGAGATACCATCTTTGGAGGCTTAATAAATGCAACAGGGGCATCGTCGATGGAAAAGGGGAGTTGGAACTTGTACTACAAGGTTAGGAGAGCAAACGACTGAAGTCGGTTTGGATCGAATCTTCCTGGAACACTGCGATTAAGAGCTTCAAAGTGGCTATGGACGCTGGAATGGTTACTTGCGCAGGAAGGCAATCGCTTGGGTGTGAAGCCATCGAGTTTTGTTTCCTTTTCAAGTTAGGATTTTGTTTCCTTGTTCAATTAGAGTTGGAACTCGTTTTTCCTTGTTTGTTTAGGGTCAATTAACGTAGTTGAGAGTTTATTTAAAGGGCTTGAAAGCCTCGTGTAAAGGCGGAGTAGATTGAATACAAAAGTTGTGACTTTGTCACTAAGTTCTTGTGTGTTGGTTGAGTTCCAGCAACAAGTTTGCTTCGTATCGATTGAAAACCACCTCAATAGTGGCCGAGCTTCGCCCAAACCAATCGAGTCTTCTTCCATGTGAAAGATTGCACCTTTGGTCCGTTTTATTTTTCGTTTTAAGTTGTTTGAATTCAAGCTTCATTGAAGGAGAATTGAGCTGTGCACTTTGATTCCTATCAAGCACAACTGTGCTCGTATCAAGTTTCCTAACAAAAATAAATCAATTTCAATTGAGGATTATTTAAAAGTAGAAATAGAGTAGTGTTGGTTGTGACTTTGTTTTCAATGGAAGGTATTGATTGTGACATTAAAAGAGTGCAAATAAGTAACATTTGGGGGTGGGGGTTCATGCAATTAACTAATTGTGGTACCTAAATTCTTTTATTTATTTATTATTATTCCTAATGCACCTTGAAATAACTGTGTCTATTGCTTTCCTGTTATTCCATTTGTTCCGTTTAAATACATCAAGGATGAAACCAAAAGCCCTACGAAGGTGGAACTACTTTCCCCTTGTTAACTACTGGCTGATCGTGCTCCACTTAAGGTGGACAGATGGCTTATTGACTCAACTAACAACTACCACTCCGAACCTGAAGCATGACTCATTTGACATAGCAAATCCCAAAAGATACTCCTAACGTCTACAATGACAAGCTTGGGCGATGATTGGGCTACACCAATCCAGTAGCAAGAATTGGTTTGGGGCTCTCAAGCCGAACGTTAATTGTGTCGAGTTGAGTGATTTGTGGGCTCATCATTACCACCCCTGAAAAAATGGCCTTGTCCTCAAGGCCGAGCTCAATGAAGAGATCATCTAAAATGGAAGCCAACTTGCAGGTAGTATCGTTGTTGAAATGCGGCCTTCCAAGACCTGATTCCATTCTTGACCCGTACCCGTCAGTTGGTTTGACCCATAAGTCAACCTAGATAGCTGAATCGACCCGCTCATCGCCCCCTTCATCTTGGTTACTCCTCTTCATCTCGTTCATCCACTTAGGGCTGTCAATTTGGTTTGGTTTGGTTAACCAAACCATTAAGTATGAAAAACCAAAAACCAAAAACCAAATCCCAAAAACCAAAACCAAAACCATTAAGGCCCTTATTGGTTTTTGGCAACCAAAAACCAATAAGCACTTCTTATCTGTAAGTTTTAACTGTATGATCAACTAAACTGAGTCAACCAAATCGTTCCTCGCTACCTTTTCCATAAACACTTCTTATCTCTAATTTCCAACGCAAATTAGAGTCAACCAAGAGATCTCGATTTGACTAGAAGAACATTGATAAACTTACTCTCGGAGTCAAATGGTCAACCCCGAACATATCTCCATAAGAAAAGAAATTGATAATGTTAATTAAAATTTTATTAGAAAAATAATTTCCCCTCTCTCCCCCCCCCCCTTTCTTCCTTCCATTGCACCCCAATTAGGGGGGTAAGCCGAAATAGTAATTTTGCACCCTCTACTGTTACAAATTATCCAAACGGGTGCAAATGCGTTGGAAATTGTGTTTAACCCTCTCATTTGCACCCACCTCCCATTTGCACCTCTTCCCAAACATAGTTTCATGTCCGTAACTAACCTTATCAATTGTTGTCTCTGGAAAGAGTATTAATACTTATTATTTATAGATATTATTGGTGTAGCTACAATTGTACATGACACCGGGTCGTGCCGCCCACAGCCTAGCACGACACGGTTAGAGCACGACACGAAATATATGGGCCGGCCCAGCACGAGCAGAAATAATTCATGGGTCGTGCCGGGCCTAAACTTCATGAGCACGAGCACGACACGGTGTGTAAGTGGGTCGTGTCGGGCCTAATATTTTCGAGATCTTATTGAGTATAAGAACAGAAATGATATGCAAAGGATAGTTTGACCTAAATAAATAAAATTCAGGTTCTTAAAAAATACATAAATGGAACGAAAAGAATATTTCTTTGTCAGAAATTAGAATAAAAAGAATTATTTGTTCAAATATTAGAACATATAAGTACAAAATAATCATTTATTGTTGTTAGAAGTGATCATAAAGATGTATGCGTAATCACTACCATAAGTAACAACGGAAGAAGAATAAACAAAGCCAAATCACACCCCTTTATACTTCCAAATTTCTTTCCCCTCTCTTATTTGTTACATGTTCAAACATCCTCTATTAATACTTACATTCTTCGTCCAATTTTCTCCCTTTTCACATTGTTTCTTTTATTTTCTTCCTTTTCATTTAGCATGAATATGAGTGCAGCACGAGCATGAATAAGCACCGATACGATCCAAGTTTACCCCTTTTTCAAGCAACAGTGGGTTGTGGAGCAATCAAGCTCATTTGGCAATAGGACTCACCAAATTTGGCTAAGTGTTTGTTCATTTGCAGGGTAATCACTTTGTAAGGGTGGTTCTCTCTCGTGCCTCGATGGAAATGAACAAATGGAAACTTGTTTTGAACCTGGGAAGCTACTCTACAAAAGGAAGTACCTGGGAGCTCGAGGGAAGGCCAGAAAGATCGTGTTCCAAGCCTCTCAACTTCCTATGCCGAAATTGAGATTCTGCCAGGTTTTGGCTAAGTATGGGAAGTTGTTCGAGGAGCTCACTTTGAAGGGTTATTCGAAGGAGCTGGAGGGGGAGTCAAAACAAAAGGGAATCGCTACATCCCACTACAAGTTTCACACTACAACGACGAGGGATTGGGTGATCAAAATCATACCTTGAAGGCTTCCGACGAAGGCAAGCAAGATCGTATGGAAGCTGCCGAGAAGACTGTCTTGCAAGGAGTAATCCGAATCCGCTTCGGACTAGGATTGCGACTAAAAGTTTTTCCCTTTTTTGTTTGAAATCCATTTCCTTGTTTGTTTGAGAATTGGTTTTCTGTATTAAGATTGTTAGTTAGCTTAGGTCTGTTTAAGGTTGATCGATTGCACTGTAAAACTCAGTTTTGGTTTTAATCGAAGACAAGCGTTAAGTTTGGTTCACAAGTTTTGTATTGTGATTGAGAGTGGCTTAGAACGAGTTCTAGGGCTCTCGTTGCTGTATCGATCAAGCTAATCCCTCTTGATCGTGGCCAGCCTTCATCTGATTCTTCTCGAGCCTTTGCCCTTGTGAGCAATTGCACGAAAGAGCTAATCCGCAAAGATATCCAACCTACACCCTGTTTTCGAGAGAGTTTGGTTTGGTAAACCAAGTGCTGCACAATTCTGGTCCTTAACCCGATCTTGAGGTTATCAAGCACGACACCATTTAAACCGTGCTCGGGTCCGGGCCGAACCTATCGAAAGTAACAATGGGCTGGCACGACACGACACGAAAATTGACGGAATGTGCCAAACACGACACGAAATAAATGGGCATGAAGCATGTCCAGGCACGACCCAGCCCCCACGTACAACTACAATGAGTAGGTATCCGATTGATCAAATATATAAGATCAGCAAACCCGCTGGGCATTAGAAATAATGCTTTCATGTTCATCCCTGATCCCATCCATGGCAGGGTACTGAAATTTACACAACAAATACATAACAAGAACCCTTAACCGTGTGCAATAACTCCATTCGGACTTTATACAAAAGAGAAGAAGAACACAAAGAGATCCCCAAGAAGTTTCAGAAGTTTCAGCATACGGTTCTTGAGCTTGGTTTTTAGCAGAGTCTTAATGATCCGTCCTTGTTCACTCGTCGTACATCTCGTGGTCTGGTTTTCTTGCTCCTGTACGTCGATGATATGATTGTAGAGGCCCTGACTAGTGGTCTCCGCAGCTCGTTTAATCTTAAGGAGCTTGGCGAGTTGTCGTACTTTCTTGGTCTCGTTTAATCACGCCCAGCACGGTGTCGTCGTGGTTTGCCAGAAACCTTATCGGCCCGAAGCTACCAGGAACTGTGACGCTAATCAAGAATCTGTTATTCTTCTTCTTCCTATTATATTCACTAATCAAGAATCTGTCTCGAGACATTACCCTCTCCTTCACGTTCCGCTTCAACTCCTCCATCATATAACAAAGGAAAACATCAAAAACCCTACCTTTGAACTACGATTGAGCCGATCAGGGATCGAGGCCGGAGTAGTGGTGGTACCAGCAGTTTTTGCAGCAGAGTACTTCGGCAGGGGGGAAATGCTAGATAATGTTGTAGCAAAGGGCATCAAATTGGGAGATAATAATGATGATGATGTCCTCTCTTCACCATTCAAGATCGTGAAGAAGATGTGAATCAATATCAGATTGGTGTAAAAATTTATACAACAAGATCCAATCTTGACTGCAATTCTTGGAGTTCTTGTTGAACTGTGGAGGATGCATATAGTCAGGAAAGAAGAAACTGTGGAGACCTAACAATTGTACTATTAGTAAAAGACAGAGAGATATACCGAGGGAGAGGAACTAAGAACTAAGAAGGGGAGAGCCAGTTGCCAGTTTTACGTGTTTCCTGGTTGTTTCCTGATGCAAAGACAAAGACGAACTGGCTAAGCACAATTTCTTCGCAAATTCTTGGCGAAAGGGTTTCAGATGTGGCATCAACAAGCCGTAGCATACATTCATATTGCCTTTTGATCGTGGTTTCGAAAAAGGAGAATCCTGTTTGGAGCTCCACGTTGGGTTCGGACGGCGGCAGAGTAAAAAAACAATTTAGACCAGACAGAGTAACGGCAGCAGAAGAGTGTTTTGGTTGTTTGATTCAACGAACGGACCATTATTGAGAATTAACATTAGTAATTACATCAAGTCTTAGCCGACTAAACCCATACATCCAAACAATCCCCAAAATTCATTCCTTCTTTTCTTCTTCCTCCTCTTGCCACATCTCCTCCCAATGCTCCCGAGCTTCCTCCAAACCCAGTAACGACCCTTTCCGGTTCGGATCCAAGCTGGTGGAGAGCCCACCGTACGCAATCCCGAGGATCGACGCGGTAAAAGTGAGGAGAGTCGTCGTGAAGGGCACCCACAAAGGCAAATCCACCAGATTCCGCTCTTTGACAAACCCAATCAAGTACAGCAAACCGATCCCCAGCCCCATCGGTATCCCCACGGAGACGAATATCCTCGCCGTCATTCTCTCGAACACTTCCTGCGGAATCTCGTCGCTGTCGTTGTTGTTTTTGTTCTTCTTTCCTCCGCCGGAGGGGGATTCTTTAGCTGGTGGGTTGATTGGAGCTGGTGGTGGTGGTGGTGCTCGGGCGCTGCCGCCGAAGCCCTTGGCGTTGGCGTTGAGCTTCCATGGATTGTTGATGGTGGGTTTGTGGGGACGAAGGAAGGGAGAGGATGGAATTGATGGCTTGGAGGGATGTAGATTAGCATGGTGAAGAGCTGGTTTCTGGGTTGAAAACAGAGCATTCATGGTGTTTTGGGATTGGGATTTGGGTTTAGAATGTATGGTTTTCAGGTTTTGTGCATCTTATCCCTAGGTGAACTACTGAACTAGCGCTACTGCACTGATCGTCTGATCCCTAGGAGTTCTGTTTTTCACCCAAAATATCTTTTCTTCTTTTCCTCGCAAGTCGAGTGAGTGTTCACTGCCTTTGGCCTGGCCCATGAGAATTTGCAATTTTATCTTATCAAAATGCAAAGCATGTTAATTTATTAAAACTAGTCACGAGCCCGGTCAGTTGGCCGAATTATGTATCCAATCACCTAGACAAGAGTAACAAATAACAATTTGTATCCGAGATAAGCATTTTTTTGGTAGTATAATAAAATTTAAATTAATCAAATACTCGAAACATTTGAATTGATAAATAGAATAAAAAATTTAAATTGTTAAAATAATTTTGCAATTAAAAAATATTAACATCATCTTTACCAATAGTAATGTCTTCATCTCGCCAATAATAATGTCTGCATCTTCCTTCTTTTTTTGCATTTCAATAATCTCTTGATTTTTTCGTTATTTTGTTGATGAATAAAATTTATGTTAATATATTTTTAAATACAAATCATATTTTTTATTGGATTAGAATTTACCTCGCCCAAGTTATTAGCAATATCAAGGTTTTGTTCGTTCTCCCGATCTCCAGTCTTTGTATCTTCTACATCAACAATGTTTTCTTCTTGTCAACATCATCATCTCTATTCTCTAGCGTCGGATCCAGTACCTTCACCGTCAGCAGTGTAATTATTGTTCTCATGCATTAGCATTATGCATTAATATAATGGACATTCAAAAGAACAACATGTGATATGGTTTTATCGAATCATAAGTGTTTAATATATATTTGAGTTAAAATTATAACTTGATACAATTACTTGCATGTTAGTGCTAAAGGAAGAAAAAATTCATTGGGATTTTAAGTTATAGTTGACATTCATTTGTCTATAGATTAAATAAATATAACTTAGTTTCATTTGCGCATGGTTTAAAAGTTTAAGTCATAAGTTTGTGCATGATATTAAAGTTGAAGACGTGTACGCCTTATAATACAATCAAGTATACAATTGCAGGCATGCCAGTGGAAAATAAAGGAACATAAATTTTAAATTATATAATTAAAAGCATTTGTCTAGATGTTAAAGAATATAACTATGTATCATGGTATAAATAACACGAATAATAGAAAATAACACAAATTTTTTATTAATATTGATAATCATTTTCACGCAATTAGAATTTACTTCGATCAAGTTAGGAAGATCGCATGTGTCCCGCTCTTCCTCATCCTTCCCTATCATGATAATTGCGTACTCACTTGTTGAATTAGCGATGCTTTAATTTTTGAGTTTGACGTCGAAATTCAAAAGGTTGTCCATTTTCAAAGTTTATTTAAGACTTGGTTCATTTAAAAGGTTCAGTGTGTGGAGACCTACTGCTCATGTATAACAAACAAATTATTATTTAAAATCAAATATAATTATGATGGAAGTAAAGAATTAATAACTATCATAAATATCAATCATCTTCCCAAAAGTAATTTGTATCTAATTTTGTAATATTAGTAAAAAATAATTCCTCAAAGACAATCTTTGTTCCATGGTGCGGTCGATTCTTCACCTCTGAACCGTAGTTTAAAATCTTTGGTCCATGGTGTGCTGTAATTCATGATAATGCAACATAAAACTGGTCATGAGAAAACACTTGCGTTTTCAAGCAAAGACCGACATGTTTTAAAGTTTGACATTGCCTTTTGTTAATTGTCATAGCAAAGCAAACTGCAATAGGATGTTGTCACCTAATCAATCTGAAATCCATCATATTGTAATGAGAAGACAATTTAATCCGAGGTAGAAAGACTCATTCACCAATATGATGAGTACCTGTTAGAATCTCCACTTCAATAAATTATGTGTAATTCTCTTGATAATCATCATTATCCATATTTCTCAATAAAATGAAGGGCATCCAATCTTCAATCCAAAAAACCGGTAGTGAGAAAACACTTGTGTTTTCAAGCAAAGGCCGACATGTTTTAAAGTTTGACCTTGCCTTTTGTTAATTGTCATAGCAAAGCAAACTGCAATAGGATGTTGTCGCCTAACCAATGTGAAATCCATCCTATTGTAATGAGAAGACAATTTAATCCGAGGTAGAAAGACTCTTTCACCAATATGATGAGTACCTGTTTGAATCTCCACTTCAATAAATTATGTGCAAGTCTCTTGATAATCATCCTTATCCATATTTCTCAATAAAATGGAGGGCATCCAACCTTCAATCCAAAAGATTGGTATGGGAAATTACTAATTTTCAATGTATTGGGAAACTCCATAGAATAATCTCTCTATATGATGCGGCTTAGCAAGATCAACCTCAATTGAATCTTAACTATGATAACAAACTTCATCATTTGGAAACCTTTCTATCACACAATTATTTATTGTCGATACCATTTCATGATGTGGAGCTAATATAGCAAGATGAACCAAATAACATAATTTCGAATATGTTCCAAAGACTGACGCTTTGTTGAAGCGTTTGCTTGCAACAACATATTTAAAACCTCTTCGGGAAGGGAGGTTCTCCAGAATTTAAACAGTCTTTTATAAATAAAATAAAAATAAAAATAAAAGAAGAAACATCAAATACTATAAATATCAATAAACCTGGAAATTCTCCAGAACACATAATCTGGAGACAATTATAATGATTTCCAGTAAGTTTAATGAACTTTAACCATATGTTTCTCTTACAGCTATAGGTGTCAAAACATGACCCGACCCGAGTAACCCGCCCAACCAACCCGATCCGCGACCCGCCCGCAACCCGATTAGACTAAAAGTCAAAGACCGGCAACCCGCCCGACCCATAACCCGCTTGACCCGCAAACTGCTTGACCCGCAACCCGCTTGACCCGAACCCGATTGACCCACAACCCGCTTGACCCGCAACCCGACTAACCCGAACCCGATTAACCCAACCCGAACCCGCCCGATTGGTACGAATAATACTACATAATATATTTTTGTGCATAAATATTATATGTAGATAATATATATATAAAGTTTATGTGACTTGCCCTATTATTTTTTCATCTTTCCCACCAAGAACAAAGATTTACTTTGTGTTGACAAATAAAAACTGTCATTTAATTGAATCACATAATAGTCTCACTGTCTCGGTAGATAAGTAGAAATCCTAGGAGGGTTGTCAACATTTTTTACATTTGGTTGATGTATATAAATAATATATATAGATAACACATACATATGAAAAACATGATTGGCTTAATTAAGCCAATCATATATCAGTACCTAATAATTAAAACATTTTTTCTTCCACACATAATATAACTGGTCACATAACATTGTCAAAATATTAACCTAGAATACGAAGTAGGTGGATGATAGTTGAATTGGTAGTTGCACACCTTGAATTCTCAAGCTCTATAACACGTGCAAGAACGCGGAACACCTCTTCCTAAGGTGAAGAACAAAATATCATTGTAAAAGTATAAGCAAGTTAGCTCATGAACACCATAGCAATTTTGTTAATAAGTTAAGTTCGATTTGAAGAGGATAGATGAGTACCATGTTGGTTCTATCACTTTGAAAGTCAATAAGGTCTACAGAAATACATAGAGGACTAACTGCGACAGCTTCCGGGTATGTCAGGTGACTTATGAAGTAGTTTTGGTTTACATCCCTAGCAAATAAATGGAATAACACAATGGTAAGACATTATAAAATCCATTTATAATGTCACATAAGGTTATTGGTGGGCAATCGAACTAACCGCGTTAGGAGTCGATGAATATGTGGAGCATGAAGACCTACAAAAATCTTTGTAGCTCGGGAAGCAGTAAAGACATACTCATCTTCCAAACAATAAACCAAATGTGTAATGTTAACAAATATTCATATGTAGATATACGTTTACACTAAAAGAACATCAAGACAATATTAGGCACGTTCAAATATATAATAATTGAGCTAACCTCCTAGAATAAAAATCTAAATGAAAAATGAATTCGGGTGCATTTATAGAAATTTGACTAATATGTTTTCTGTAAAAGGACTCATCTACAAATTTGCTAAACACATTTATGATCCTAAATGTTTCTACTGTGTTCAACAATCAATACTTCTTTTAGAGTAAGCAAGAATATGGGTTTACCTTCATCATGTTCTAGATATAGTGATGTTAATGCCACCACTTGGCCAAACACTCCTGCTTCGGGAAGCAAGTTCTCAAAAGAAGCAATCATGGTATCCCAGAAGACAACGATAACAAAAGCTCCCCTGTTGGATATAAGAAAATATTATTTTCGTTCTAAATGGAATTAGTAGGCTCAAAGTGATTCATAGGGCACAAAAAATACATACTCTATCAGTTGGAGGCGAATTCGTTTTCTTTGCAATGGTAGTCCTAGAACGATAACATCGGTCTGGTTGCACATAACTATTCTACCAACCAAATCTAAGTATACCACAACCCATCAGTACCTAAACTACTCATTAGTAAAAAAACAAATGGTATTTCGAATATTAGGAGGATAGTTACTAGGAAGAACTTGAGGAGTTGTCAAAACGAATGGAAAGCCATCATAAGCCAGAAAATGAAAACTCAAAGTGGGAATGTCATCAGTGTCTTCCCTTTTACGAAAAACCGTATTGGCTCTAAACCCAAGTCGTAGGTGTCCAGGAGAAACACGATGGCTGCTTGTATTCTCTTCAACGACAAAATGTGGTATAATATAAATGTAATCTTCACGAAAGTACCCCAAGGAATTGGTGTACATGTTCTCCATGAATAATTCCCTCAATTTGAACACCCTGGGAAAGCAACGTATGAAATGAATGAATGTAAACAAAAGAAGAAACGAACCCGAAGAGAAGAACACCAACACTTACGTCTTTTTCAAGGAAAAGCAAATTAAGATGTTCAAAGGCGTTTCCCAAAGATGACATCTTCCCCCACATCCGTAGTAGCCGTACCCGAACTGAACAAAAGTGTTCATGGATTTGAAGATGGGAGACGGGAACAACAGGCATTGCATTCATGTTTAGGAGATTTCAGCGTGTTTAACGGTGGCGGATGGTATGGCAAATGGGTAACTGTGGAGTAAAAACGTAGATGACAGTGGGAGGGAAATTGGAGTGGTGTTCGGGTGGTATACTGCGTTGTGGAACGTGGGTAATTTGTGGAGAATCAAGAATGGGGCAGTTGAACTTTGAAAATGAGCTAATGGGAGTGATGGCACGGTAAGTGGGTTGCCTAAACGGATTAGTACCATACATTCAATTAGGCTTTTCTTACCAGGCCCATTAGCCCACTTGTCTTATCGGCCCATCAACATTTATTCATTTATCCCATTGTAATGCATCACCAATCGGCCATTTATTGCAAACTGGAAAACACCACAACCAAAGGAAGAAGACGAATCGTCTCACTTTTCCGTTCCCACACAGCCGATCTTTTCTCCCCGACGAAGAAGTTGAGCGCCATTTGCGCCTCTTGCATGCACACCACTGCCATTCCGTCAGGTAACACGGAGGTTGTGGTTCGGTTAGCCAACGGCGATTTGGTCAAAGTATCTGAGGGGTAGTGTGGCAGAAGGTCTAACACCGACAAACACAGTTGAAGCTTTCAGTCCGCACCTCCCGGCGAACAGTACCCACCGCTACAGGTTCTTTCCTTTACTTAAACCTCTGCAAACTATGTGGACTGTGTCTTAGAATGAGTACCAACTTTTAAATTAACGAATCCAACATATGATTCATTTCTATGCAGGCTACGATTACGATCGAGAAAGAACTCCACCAGCGGTTACATATGTTGCATGTATTAATCTAACGTCCTCCACAAGTACTTCCGAAAACATAATTTGAGAAAGGAATCAGTGGTGTAGTTTATGAACCATGTATGACGTACCACCATGGAACACGTAAGTATTGTTTGACCAACAAACACCTAACACAATAGACTATTATGCTTAATTTTTCAAGTTATTTGCATTTGTGACCGGTTAAATTTATAGGCGTTTTATCGTTGCTCCTGCTTTCGTTGCAAATCTGAGCTATGAAGAAGCCGTAGCCATATCTCATGTTGTTGATACCGTGGATCTTATACTATTGCAAGTGAATGGTGATAATGAGGTGATCCAAATAAGCTTTTTGTTATGCATCGTTCTCCATTAGTTATATAGTTATAATATTTCATATTTGTTTTTTTTTTCTCAAATATATTGATTTTTAATTAAATGCCAGGGCACTTGTTACCTCTTATCCGGACGTGTCACAGAAGTGAGGTCTTCTTAGAGTACATTTGATGCACTTAACTATTGAGGATCAATTCAGTGATGTTGAGGTGGTATTCCCATCGTCATACTTACGAAGGATAATTGCATATATAGTTAGTCACAATGATGCTGACAATGCCGACTTTGAAACACTACTCAACTTGCTTGGTGCAAACAATTATGAGGTCATGGTGACAATCTGTCCTTGGAACAACATGTTCAATTATTTTGAGCTGTTCTTCGTAAAGTTGTTCTTGCCTTTGGGCAATTGATTACCATCTACGCAATGTGAATGTAATCTAGTAATGTTTCTAAGTAGTCCACTTGTATATCGTTTCTCCTATCCTTTAAGAATACTGTAATTGTAAACGCAACACTCTTTTGCAAGTACTTTATCGGTTTAGCGGTGTTCCATAAAAAATTGTATGAATGTCTTATTGTTGATAGTTTATTTTCTTGTTGTATGGATGCAATGATAATAGTCCATGAACATCGCTTTGTATCAAAATCATATTGATGGATAGCATAGAGATAGTATGTGAAAAGGTGGACTAATCCACATGCTTAATTACCCCACCCGCCACGCATTGAATTCAGATGTTTGTTGAATACATGAGTCTCTGCTTCTGTCATTTCATGTTTAGGTTTTGCCTAATCCATATCCTTATTCGTGCTTCACATTCTCTTCTCCTTTTCAGTGCCACATTCTCGTTTAACACCATTCACCATCAGGTTACATTTTGCTCGATCCATAAACACACATTCTCATGCAGATGTAATTGTTGAATTATGAATGGGTTAAAGTTTTTTTTTAATAAAGGGGAGGCAAAAACCAAGGTTACAAAGCATGGCGGTGTTGGACAGTAAAACCCATGAAAAAGAGCAGTGGGGCAATAGCAGGAAAGAATGCGGACCAACCTCTCAAAAACCAATACCAAAGCAGGTGGCATACACAAACACAACTCAACAATCCAAGTTTATGTTCTGCAGAACTCTCAGCTGTTAACTAACACCAACAATGTCATCTAACGAAACTATATCAAGCCCTCTAGATGGACAAAACTCTATAATTAGTAATACATTAAGGTTAACATAGAACTCGGTCACATAGGGAATAAGTTAAAGATGAAAGATGGATTCCCAACAAACTAAGTAATTTTTCTTCTGGAAAATGAATTCCCAATCATGCAAAAGTTAAAGATGAAAGTTGAACCCAAATTGTTCAAAAAGCATGACTTATTACGCATACTATCGAAACCATAACATAGACAAAAATGGCAACGAATCTACATATGATCTGGCAAAAGGCCATAAACAATGAATTTATAAAATTGATTATAGAATAACGTATGCATATTTACATAAAAATCCATTTCAAACCTGGTAGGGATACTCTCTTGCACAATCATACTAACACTTAAATAAAAATCCATAGAAAGAGTCTAATTATATGTTGAACAGCCATAAACAAACCCCTAATAAGATGCAAAAGAGGCCACCATCGTTTACCAAAGCTAAAAGACCTATACAGCAAACAACTTCAGCAGGATCAAATCACAGCGATTCGATGTTTCGTTCCACTCCCCAACTTCGACAATAAAATGATAGGGGTTTCCATGTATGGAACTAAGAATGGCTCTGAAGTTCACATCCCGATCAAGATTATCTGCAGTGAAGACATTTCCAGCAATCTGTCTCAGCTGAGCAGTGGGGAACATGACTTCCAATGTTGAGCTAGGATCATCAATTGTAAAATAAACAATACTTGATTGAGCATCAAGTGAACATGAGATAGACACCTCCTTTACACTTCCACTAAGCATAAATGTATTTCCCTATCAAAAGAAACCAAAAAAAAAGGATAAGAACTTGGAATCACATATAGTACTTGTCAAAGAAAGACTTTGACACGGATGGTTTAGATATTGACAGTGTTTACCATATTTGCAAAGTCAAATCTCATCAAATTGAGATGTTCATCATGAGTGAATTGTAATGTACCCACCGCTTGCTCATAGGAAAGTTCTCTTACCATATCAATTGGTCCTAGATTTAGTTCACCATTACTATATTGAGTAGTGAAAAATAACAAATAAAATTACAATGATGTTCAAGCATAAACAGAATGATAGTGGAAAAATAGTTGTTTAACAATTACCGATCTAAGAAAGGATGGAGGTGAGGACAATGAATGTTCAAATAGACCTTGGTAGCTCGAGATGCTCGAAAGGAATAGTATCCTATGGTGCAGACAAAACAAACGAATCAGTAAAAGTCACTATAAAATCTCTGAATTCAAAGCTTCAGGTTACAGGCCCACTTAGCTTTGCATACTAATTCTATTCAACAAAAATCATGACATTTAATCATGCTGCTGGATAATGAGCTAAACACATCAGCTAAAGGCAATAATATTTGAAGCAATAAAACCAAGAATCAAAACATTTTGGAATACAAAAAGCCTACTGAACTGAGTTTAACAGTAGAAAAAACATGTACTTTTCACTCAAGACACTCAAACGCTACTACACTTCCCTATGATTCCCAATTCATAATTCTAAATGACTAATTTTATGCTCTTATACAGTGAGTACTACTGCTATCCATAGACGAATTACACATATGCAATAGATGTATGATGCCAGAAGGGTTTTCTATATTGGACTATTTATCAAGCAGAGATGCATCACACGATAAGATTCTAGTAAGCGCATGATTAACAGTTCGAGATGTTTCACAACATCACTTAATTCGCGTGTTCACATTAAGCATTCTGATGCATAATAATTCAAACAGTAGCAATTCATTAAGTTGAATTACCTTCTTACTCATCAATATACAGAGAGGTGAACACAGATACCTGTCCTATAGCTTCAGTATCAGATATGTTATTCTCAAAGCCTCTAATCATTGAATCCCATAAAAATACATTCGCTAACACACCTCTATCAAAAAAAGAAAAAATCTATTATTCATCTGTGTTATTTCATGCATACAAAAAAAACAACTAATTAGAGAAAAAATCCAGAATAAACTCAATTAATCGGATGGTGATGTGTTTCTTCCATAAAGCCAAGCAAGGATGCAAGAACTCAGTGGGTGCACATTCAACAATAACACCAACCAAATCTGGTAGACAAAAAAAATTTGATTTGAGGCCCAGTTTAGCATAACAATGGATATTAGTTGCAAGCAGGTGCACAAAACAAATACCTGGTAGATTCAACTGATTCTGATGAGCCTGACAAAATTTACTGCTACACAATTCAAGCTGCTATTCTCTTCCATATCAAAACGAAATATTTGATAAATGGATCCTTCAAAAAGATATGGCAGAAATCGATTGACATCAGGCCGGCGAATGAAGGCCTCAACCAAGTCCCCCTTAACAAAGAATAACTATGAATTAGTAAGGTTTGGATAACGATATACATAATGATATGCAGATAGATGATTCCTACCTCTTTGTCAATAAATAAACACCTAAGATGATGAATAGCATCACCGGTGTGAGTTAATTTCCCCCATAATATTAGAAGTCTAACTCTCAGTGTCAACATTTCATCTCCAAGGGAAATGACCCGAACAGGTACGATTGACATCTAAGAAACAGAAGAAAGCCCGAAATAGTTATGGTTTTTTTTTCACTGAAAACTTGTGCAACTGAGTTCTTCTCCTAGAAACAATGAATGGGTGTTGTTGTAGTTGTATATATATATATGTGTGTCAGTTACCTGCACTAATAATTTGAAATCCTAAGAGGCGGGGAGGGCGGTTGGGCGGCATCTGGAATTGAACGTGGGATAGTGATACAACAGCGGTTATGTATGTAAGTGAGTACATAAATCCGAATCCAAAACTCAGTCTGTATTTTGTGTACCACGAAGGAAATGGATAGAACACCAAGTCCAGTGAGATTTTTAAAACATATAGAATGTGATAATTTTTAGTCCTATCGAATTCATGTAATATTTCTAGGTTGAATGAAATATGCAGAAAACATAGAAATTAGATAGCTAATGAAATTGACTAAAATATAATTTCTGAATTGAACACAAAGGTCGGATTTAAAATTTTCAGCTAGATTGTGCTAAGATGGAAAAGAAGATTACCTTGACAGAAGTCTAGACGAACGCCAAAGTAAAATACTATCTAGATTGCTCAGGGCTTAGAAGTCGGTTTGCTCCGGATGTGATTCAAATATAGGGTGTCTCTATACATACGAACTGTTGTAGAGAAGTAGGATTCTTCCAAATTGGGTGTTGAGCTTTAGTAATAACGACACTCATCTTTGCACAATGGATTTGATAGATAGATGTGTCTTGGGCAAGTGAGTAGCCAACACAGGGGGTAATTGATTGTTTGAATCTTTGTGAATTTAATATGTGAAGATTCATAGCTTTTGCAGAAAGGGAGAAGGAACGGAGGGAGAAGAAAGGCATGATAGACATGGGCAGAGGGTATTCACCATTCCAATTTCAGCAGAAAAGGGGAAGAACATGTCGGCTGCTGAGAATAACTTGTCTCAGGCCAGCGACATTAGGATTTGTAAAGAGTATCCACTGAGTCCAAATTGAATTTAATTAATTGGGCCTATCTAATAACATGCCAAATTATACCCGGGCCTGTCCAATTCTTTGCATTTTGTCACCGGCCTGTCAAGTTATGGAGTTGGTACACAATTTAAAAAAAAAACAAATAAAAGACTCTACAATAAATACAACTTGATAATTAAACCTAAACCAAAATATTAATATATATATATATATAACAAAAAAAAGTAATGGACACAAAAAGTGTATCCCATCGATATGTTTCTTAATGAAAAAAATATTGTATATCTGTCATCCTATAACAACGACTTTTATCTCCATCTTGCTGCACCAATATTTTTGACGTAGCTCCGATCTACTAAAAGAAAATATAAAACATATTAGATATTGGAAATTAAATATCATATTGGAAAGATTAAAACAAAATATAACTTGTGAAAAAGATGACATACCTAAGAAATTATCGGGCCAATCATTATTCAAATATCTCTATAAAGACTATATTTTGCATGGTTTTTAGTTGTCGACCTTCTAAATCACAACTCAAAATATGAAGACCATTTTTTGATGTAACACGCGACATTGCAACATAAAGTTGGCCATGAGAAAAAAACCTGTTTTTGCTTTGTAAACATAGTCCCACATGTTTCAAAGTTTGACCTTGACTCTTATTTATTGTCATTGCATATGATAATGCAATTGGATACTGTCTTCGTACCAGCGTAAAATTCAGACTTTTGTAGTGAGTAGACAATGTGAGTCGTGATAGGAAAACTGTGTCCCCAACATTAGTGCCCGTCACTATTTGAACCTCAATAAACCATTGACCCAATCGCTTGACAACCATTCTAGTTCCATTGCAAAGACCTGTGCTTTGATCAATATTTCGAAGAAGAATAACAGGGCATCCGACCTTCAATTTCAACTCATGCTCTGGAAAATTACCAATCTTCAAAGAATTCAAGAATTCAACATTATAGTCATCCTCAATGACATGGGTTTCCTTAGCATCAATCTCAATAGAATCACAACTACAATAAGTAACCTCCTGTCCGGGAAAGAGTCCTAAGACATAATTGTTAACAGTTGACACAGTGTCATGGTGTGGTGCTAAGATAGCACGCTCGATGAAATAATTGCCATCATTATGTCGAGTATCCAAGTCTGGATAAATTTCAGCAACAATATCAGAGATAAGATCTTACCTTCGATTTACAGATATCTCTGGTGGTATAGATATAATCGATTCCCCAAAAACATTACTATGCCTTCCTTCACCAATTTCCAAAAGCCATTTACTGAAATGTTCAAGTTCAAGATTTGAACCATTTGCAGAATTGCCTTGGGCTAGCCGCATATTTTGTGTTAACTTCAGGACAATCATTGAACTCCACAAATATGATTGTTTGATAGAACTGTTAACTATTTCCGTCCTCGTACCTTTAGCAATGATAGGTAGTGTTTGCCTAAAATCACCTCCAAAAACCACGGTCATACCACCAAAAACCTTGTTACCAGAATTAACATCTTTGGTTAATAAGATATCCCTCAATGTCTTGTCCAAAGCTTCTATACTATGCTTATGAGCCATCGGTGCTTCGTCCCAGATTATCAGAGAAGTATTTTGAATCAATTGTGTTATGTTTGAACCTTGTTCTATGTGACATGTGATTTCGTCGGTGAAGACACTGGCCAGACACAGCGTGCTAACTGTATTCGACGGTGAAATCAATGAAGGGAGCGAGCGCTGATCGTACCGACGGAACAAGAAAACCACCAGGCCCGTTCAACGCAATATGAACCGGGGTATTTTTTCGTGTCCGAAAATACCCCTTCGAGAAACGCTCCGGAGGCAGCAAATTCAAAATGGGGGTTCAGTTTTAGGCTTCAGCGTATTATAAGTAGGGTAGATGGGCACAGAAAGGGGCATTTCCGTTCTGTAGAGGCCAACTAAAAACAATTACAATTTGACCAATGCGCAATAGCCAGGAAAAATGCAATTGATAGGGTGCTTAAGTAGAATCCCTATATAGTTATTGTTAGAAGATTAGAAGTTAGATATATGTTTTTGCAGTATGAATTCGTACAACATTGTATGATAATCATTAATAAAAAAAGAGATTAATTCATTACCCCGCTAAATAAATATGAAAGATAATAATATTAGTATCGATAATTAGGTTTTTAGGCAGCATCCTACTAGAGTCAGACAACATTCCTAACATTTGCGGCTATCTCCGATTCATAAGAACCTAATGTTTGAGTCTCTAAATTGATAGAATAGTGGCTAGGCCTTCTGAGTTTCAAACTTTTAATTCAAGTTACATTCTGTCATAGGTTATCTAGGTAGCAATGTAGCATCCTACTAGAGTCACAGACAGGCATTCCTAACATTTGCGGCTATCTTCGATTCATAAGAACCTAATGTTTTGAGTCTCTAAATTGATAGAATGGCGGCTATTCCTTTTGAGTTTCAAACTTTTTTATTATATTTCTGTAGTGGTTTCATACTCTATTTTCAAAAAAAATTATAATTGCAATGAGCTTTTCGAATCTCAATTAGTTTTTGAAGGAATAATAGGGTGCATTTGTATCGATTATGAAAAAGAATTTTTTAATTTAATTTTATTCGACCACATTCGTATTTTTTTCTCCAAAGACCACTCAATCAAGAGAAGATACGAAACTGCTACATAGTTTGAGACTGTAATCATGAAACAAAGTCCAACTTCCGAAAACTCATAAACGATAGAAACTAAATTTTACAAACTAGCATATGAGTCCAACCTCCGTGAAGCTATTTAGTGGTGTCAGGATCTTGGTATTGCTCAGGTTCGGTTTGAGGGTGATGCAAAGGTGCTCATTGATAAAATCAATTTCAAAGATATGCAAGACAGCCGTGTTCGTGCGATCATTCAAGAGATTTTAAGTATGATGGCTCTAAATAGTGGTTTTTCTGTTCGATTTGTGGGTCGGAGTAGCTATAGGGTAGCTTATTCAGTGGCTAGAAAAACCCTTTATTTGCCTCCGGCGTCGTGCCGATTGTATGATTTTTGTGTCTGGGTTGGTTCCAGGCTCCAATCCTTGATCTTTCTATCAATCAATATGATTATCTTTTGTTTTAAAAAAGTCGCACTATAATTAGTACGGTGGATAAAGCGAAGGTCAAACACCAAATTTGACGAATCTAACGGGTCGTTTGCTGAGGGTTTTGATGATGGAAATCCATCCATCATGGACTTGAACGAAAATCCATCGTTTGCCTTAGGGAATTAGGAAGAAGAAATCCGTGGAGCCCACGAACTTTGGGGGTCCAAATCCATGGGGCCATGCACTTGGAAGTTCCACCTCTTGAGGTGGGATTTGGGTGATGGATTTATATCTATGATGGTAATTGACCCTTCTAGCCTTACTTATTTTTGTAATTACAAATTCGTCCTCCTATTTCATTTTAATGGGTATGCAACTATAAACGTTTATAATTTCATATTTTATTTGAATATGAGAATTTATCATTTCGTTTGTAATGTCGTATTTAATGTAAATATGAATGTGTATGTGAGTTGTTGGATACTTGGATTCAACTATAAATACCTTATATTCATCTTGTACATTATTATTTGATTGACTGTAAGATTCCAAATCGAGAGTTAGCAAGAAGACGATGAGTTGTAGCAATAAGGCGAGCAACTGGTTGCAATTGATATATAATATTGTATATATAGGTAGATGAATTGTTAATTAGTACCAAATTGTGATACGTAGTTGAATTATTAGTCCACACAGTAGTGGTAAAGAGTAATTTTTTTGTATGTATTGAATTTGTTTTCAATGAAATTTTTAGATTATAATATAAAAATATAATTAGATAAAGGTAACAAGGTAATTTATATTTTATATCCACAAATCTAATCAAACAAAATACATAATCAAATCCAACAAGCAAATAATAAACTTGCTCAAATACATAATGCCATCAAATCCATAATATTTCCATGATTTTCCAAAACTCCGTTTTTATCAAAATTCTCATTTTTTAAATCAATAAAGCTAATGACCGGTAACATTTTTGCACATATGGTGAAGAATAGCTTGGCCCCTAATTACCACGTATCTCTTGCTACTTGCTAGCCCATATTTGTATGCAAAGGCGTTGATCCAATTGCTAAATAGGCATTCCATTAGCCCTTCTTACGATGCACGGCCTGCTTAGCACTTTAGTCGTCGGAGTCATAGACTTTTTTTTTGGGTTAATATAAAAAATTTCCCCTTTATTATGATTTTTTCTCAAACATGTCAGTTTACTATGATTCAGGTCAAATTTGCCCTCCTATTATCGTATAAATATCAAACTTGTCCTTCCATTAATTTTTCGTCAACAATCTGTTAATAATGGTTAGATCGGTCTAACCACAACAAAATGGGAACATAAATGTCAAATTTACCCCTCCACCCTACTCATAAATTCATGTCGTGTATCTACCCATGGAGAGAAAAATGAATCGCCGGGCGGCCACTCACCCCTCTGACCCCACTGCCTTCCTTCTCCACGAACCCAGCTTTCCTCCGACTTTCTGTCTCCTCATCCGGCACCGGTGTAGCAAGTAGCAACTCCCGGTCTCTCTCACACCATATTCCAGGAATCCAATTCCTATCCCTTTCCCCAAATAATCACAAGAAAATCACTAACCCTAATTTTAAATTCCCCAATTCGGTTGCAGCAAGACGACAATGAACGGTGAACTATGGCCAGCGAGATAGGACGTCATTATTGATTGGATTATTGAAACTTGCTTTAATAGATAAGCACGTGTGGAATGGGCATGACAATAACACAAGGCATAATGAGGTTTATAAGAGACTAGAGTGTTGCAACAGGAGGAAGCAAAAGAGAAAGGGATTGGGAAATTTGTAATTAGGCTTCACAATTTGTCTGACGATTTGGGGGAAGCTAAAGGAAAGGGATTGGATTGCTGGGAAATGGTGCGAGGGAATACAAGAGCCGCCCTGGAAATTCGAAGTTGGCGGCAGAAGAAGAGATGGAAGCTTGTGCGGAGGGGTTAGAGGAGAGTGGCCGGCGATTCGGTTTCTCCGAGTGGGGAAGAAGAGACGCCAAGAAGCTATAAACAAAGAGGGGTAAATTTGACATTTCCCCTTCTATTTTACTGCAGTCAGATTGCTCCAACCATTATTGACGGTTTTTGGACGGAATTAGTAACAGAAGTATAAGTTTGATACCTATGCCATACTAGAAAGGCAACTTTGATGTGAATTATAATAGAGGGGTAAGTTTGAGAAAAAAACATATTAGAAGGACAATTTTTGCTATTAACCTTTTTTTTTTTTAAGAAAGGGGAGTCATAGCATCATAGAAGTCGTCAGGTTTCCTCAGCTTCTCGTACGGTTTTCTCGAAACCTGTAACCAAATTCATAAGTCAGAACTGAGAACTCAGAGCCACCCCAAATTAACCTGTAACAACCCGATGCACAGTGGACAGAGAAGAGCTTGAATAAATAGAGAGAGTCTTAATCATCTTTTCATCTTTTGACCAACAACTGAGTGTACCTACTTTACCAAATTAGTTAGTTAGCAATAAAATTGGAACACTCTCCATTCCATCCTTATCTTCTTCTTCTTCTTCTTCTTCTTCTTCTTCTTCCCTTCACCCTTTTCGCCAGAATCCCCGTTCACGATCCTTACAAGTGGTATCAGAGATCTGAACTCTGGCAATGGCGTCGCACACTTCTCGGATTGTCGATTTGGAAAATCAGATGGCGGAGGTTCGTGTGCAGATCGATACACAACATCAGGATATGAAAGATGCTATTGCTGCGTTGGCCGCGTCGACGAAAGACAACATCGATGCTCTGGAAGCTTCCTTCGCTCGCGGGCAGGAGAAGTCGGTTCAGTCGCCGCCGCGCGCCGATGCTGGCTCTTTTGGCGAGCCTCAGCATTTCCGTCACCAACAGCACCATTCGACGATTCTTGATCATTACCCCCGGCTCGAGTTCTCTTACATCTCCGGTGCCGATCCACATGCTTGGGTTAGTAAATGTATCAAGTTGTTCCAGCTCTACTCCATTCCGGAAGAACACAAGGTGGACTTAGTCCCCTATTATCTGGAGGGTCGTGCTTATACGTGGTTCGAAGGATGGTCTTTTCAGCTCTTTCCATTGATATGGGGGCACTTCATCGACGAATTGTTCCATCGCTTTGATAGGCAGGAGTAGATAAACGTTGTGGCCTCTTTCAATCATCTTTGTCAAACGAGCTCCGTTTCTCGCTATCAAGAGGAGTTCGAAGAATTACGTTCGAGGATGCTTCGTCTTAATCCAGAGCTGAACTAGCATTACTTCATCCTCAGTTTTTTGGGGGATTGGATGATGAAATTCAACCCCGGGTGCAGGTGCTCAATCCGCCTACACTGGCTTGCGTGTTCTATCTAGCGCGTCTGGAGGAGGCCGCCATTGAAGCTCGTAAAAGGAAGAATCAAGCGTCTTCATCCACTCTATGGGCAGGTGCTTCTACTCCGGTCTCCACAAAGCTTCCGTCCCAATCTCCTTCTATTTCTTCATTCGAGCGTTCCCCTGTTCCACGAGGGCAGCGCATTTATTATAAACGCGGCGATAAATACTTCCATGGCCATGTCTGTGTGAGGAAGAAGCAACTCCAGATTATGCAGGCTGAGGAATCTCCTTCGTTGGGTGACAAGGGGAGGATTGAGGAAGACTTCCAGGATGCTGAGCTTGAGGTTTCTCTACAAACTATGTGGTCCGGGTTCGCGGGAAATTCACTGCTCATTCCAGCTATTGCGGGCCACAAAGAGGTAACTGTTTTGATTGACACTGGTAGTTCGCATACATTTTGAATGCGATAAGGGTTGAAGAACTGAATTGCCAGACTGAGTGTATTGCTTCTATGCGGGTTAAAGTTGCTAGTGGTCATACCTTGCTTAGCAACTCAATTTGTAGGGGTTTCAGTTGGAAAATGCAAGGACAAGAGTTTGGGTTTGATGTACGTACACTGGATTTGCCTTCTCACAATCTGTTTTTAGGGTGGGATTGGTTGGAAACTATTAGTCCTTTCAAAATGGACCTTAAGCAGAGACAAATTTCGTTTGAGTGGAAGGGGGGAACATTGCAACTTCAGGGTTTATCTAAAGAAGGACAATGTAAGATGTTGACATGGAGTAACTTTCAGCAGCTGCTTAAGAAACCTTATTCACATTTGACAGGAGCTGTATTTGCCATTGAAACTACTCCAGCCCCTAGTACCATTCCACCTTTCTTGAAACCCTTACTAGCCACTTATTTCGAAGTTTTTGCCACCCCCACTTCTCTTCCTCCAACCAGGAATTTTGACCATGCCATTCCTCTCCTCCCAAATGCCAAACCCATTAATATACGACCTTACCGTTTTTCCCACCATCAGAAGGCTGTAGCAGACAAGCTGGTAGCTAAAATGGTTCAATCAGAGTTTATTCAGCCTAGCCACAACCCATATGCATCCCTAGTCTTGCTCATTGGTAAAAAATACGGGTCTTGGAGATTCTGTGTTGATTATCAGAGTTGAATGCAGCTACAATCAAAGATAAATTCCCCATCCCACATATCGAAGATCTCCTGGACGAGTTACATGATCCTGTCATCTTTTCTAAGTTGGACCTCAGGGCTGGCTATCATCAAATACGAATGCATCCCTCTGATCAGTATAAAACGACCTTGAGAACTCATCAGGGTCATTATGAGTTCAGGGTTATGCCCTTTGGTCTTACAAATGCTCCTGCCTCTTTTCAAGCTCTCATGAATCATGTGTTTGGCCCTCATCTCCGGAAGTTTATCTTAGTTTTTTTAATGATATTCTGGTGTATAGCAAGATAAAAGAGGATCATTTGCACCACTTGGGTATTTCTCTACAGCTGCTGCGAGATCACAAGTTGTTCGCCAAAGAGTCTAAATGTTCTTTCGGGAAGTCTCAGGTTGAGTATTTGGGCCATATAATTGGTCGCGAGGGAGTCTCCACGGATCCAAGCAAGGTTTCTGCCATGAAGACGTGGCCAAGGCCTCAAACACTTAAACAGCTGAGGGGATTCTTGGGTTTAACAGGGTATTACCGCAACTTTGTCAGAAATTATGGGAATATAAGTTGACCATTGACTCATCTCCTCAAGAAAAATGGTTTCCAATGGAATCCAACGGCTGGACAAGCTTTTGTTTATTTAAAGAATGCTATGTGCCAAGCTCCTGTTTTGGCTCTGCCTAATTTCTCTCATCCTTTCACACTCGAGACAAATGCTTCGAGGACTGGAGTGGGTGTTGTTTTGTCTCAAGAAGGGAGTCATTTGGCTTATTTTAGCAAGTCTTTGAGTGCAAGGAATCAGGTTCTCAACACTTACGACAAATAATACTTGGCAGTTTTGTTGGCATTCGATCACTGGCGTCACTACTTGGAAGGGTGTTCATTCATGATTTTCACTGACCACGAGAGCTTGAAGTTCTTGTTAGGTTAGAAGGTCCACACTGCTATCTAGAAGAAGGGTATGGTAAAACTGATGAGTTTGGACTTCCAGATTAAATATCGGAAGGGGAGATTTAATGGGGTTGGTGATGCTCTGTCAAGAGTATTTGAGGATACTGACGATAAGGGAAGTTGCAGTGCTCTTACGTCGCTCTTATCTGAGTGGGTAGTGGAAATTGAGCAAACTTATTATCATGATGACGAAGTTGCTGATCTGATAGCAGCTACTGCTGTGAACTCTCATGGTACTTCCTTGTGGTCATACTCCTCGGGTGTTCTGAGGTTCAAGGGGGCTATTGTGGTAGGAAAGAATGGGTCGATGCGACCCAAGTTAATCCATCTATTTCAATCATCGCCGGTGGGAGGACATTCGGGAGCACAAGCTATTTACCAGCAACTCAAGAGCCATTTTTATTGGAGAGGCATGAAATATGATGAGACAACTTGGGTCTTGACTTGTGAGGTATGTCAGCGCTGCAAGGCTGAAACCTTGGCTTCGCCGGGTTTATTGCAACCCTTCCGTGTACCAATTAGAGCGTGGCGTGACATTAGTATGGATTTTGTCGAGGGGTTGCCTAACTCTAAGGGAAAACAGGTGATGCTAGTTGTGGTGGATAGATTCACTAAGGTGGCTCCTTTTTTCAGCCTGCACCATCCCTATTCAGCAGCAGATGTGGCATCAATCTTCTTCGATGGAGTTTTAAAGTATCATGGCATGCCATCCACTATTGTTTGTGACAGGGATTCGACTTTTACTAGCCAGTTCTGGACAGAATTCTTCAGACTTCAACACACAGACACCCACTACTCCACGGCGTATCACCCGCAGACGGATGGTCAGACTGAACGAGTAAACCGGTGCCTTGAAGACTATCTTCGATGTATGACCTTTCATAGGCCCCAGGAGTGGTCAGATTGGCTCACCTTGGCATAATGGTGTTACAACACCCATTATCATCTTAGCTTACAGATGTCGCCTTTCGAAGGTTTTCCTCCTTCTCACTTCGGGTTGGCTCCTTCTCACCATTGGGAGCAGTAGAGGATAGAGTCAAGAAGCAGCATCAGCTGGTGCAGTTCATCACTGACAATATTATACGGGCTCAAAACAGACAAAAGCAGTACGCGGACAGAAGACGTTCTGAGAGGAACTTGCAGGTCAATGACTGTGTTTACTTGAGATTTCAACCATATCGACAAGGATCATTGGTGGGACGTCACAGGAACAAATTGGACGCTCGTTACTTCGGGCCATACCAGATAGAGGCTAAGATTGGGAATGTAGCTTACAGGTTGGCCTTACCTCAACAGTCCAAGATCCACCCAGTTTTTCACGTTTCACACTTGAAACTCTGCAAGTCCACAGTACCCCTTGCTGCTCTGCACCTTCCTGCTGCAAATGACAATGGCATCTTGAAGTTAGCGCCTTTGCAGATTTTGGCCCGATGTTTCGTCAGTCAGGACAATCGCGCGGTGACTCAGGTGTTAGTTCAGTGGACACATCAGACCCATGAGGATGCTACTTGGGAGAACTTGTACAGTTTTAAAAGGCAGTTTCCCGCCTTTCCATCTTGAGGACAAGCTGTTGCTAAATGGAGATAGATTTGTAACAACCCGATGCACAGTTGGCAGCTGATGTGGACAGATAGGAGCTTGTATAAATAGAGAGAGTCTTAATGGTCTTTTCATCTTTTGACCAACTACTAAGTATACCTACTTTACCAAATTAGTTAGTCAGCAATAAAATTGGAACTCTCTCCATTCCATCCTTATCTTCTTCTTCCCTTCGCCCATTTTGCCAGAATCCCCATTCACGATCCTTACATAACCATGCCCCTTGTGCGAAAATTTGATTCCGTCAAATCAGCAAACATTACCCGGTGCGATGATGGCGAATGGCGATCAGGAGAACCAGTCACGGCAGCCGGGGAAGTTGGAAAGGACTTTCCGGGAGAGTTGGAAATAGAAGGCTTCATCACCGGAGAGTGAACGGAATCGACGAATTCAGGACACTATGCGGCGAAAGCGAGGACGGCCCCTGAGAGTACGGCCGGACAAACTGAGATGCTGAGGGAGTTCCAGGCGATCTTTGAGACGGCAGTATGTGTATCTTTATCCTGAAGGAAATGAAGCAGACTCAATTGGATTTCTACAGAATAGCATCTGAAACCGTAAAAAATTTGGGGAAATTAGGAATCGAAGAAAGAAAAACACCGTAATGCGCAAGTTACCTGTTGTGAACTTCCATATAGCCGTCTATCTCGTCCAAAATCTCTTCCTGGAGCAATACCTCGATGACGTCCTCCAGCGTTATTATGCCGATTACCTCTTCTAAAGAAGGGAATGGAATGGTTTGCTAGCAAGGGTTCTATCTTGGAACACCAGGAAATCCTTGTCACTGGAATATGATGGTGCGTTCATCAACATTCGCTCAGTCCAGCAGAATTGATGATGAATTCCTGATGAACGTGGAACTTTGAGGTAAATTGCCCTGTGATTGCTAGAACCTTTCCTCTCTGCTTCTATTCGCCCCCGAATTCGGATCCGTATTGATCTCTACAACCTCTCGTTCTGGTCTTCTTTTTTTTTATGCATTCATCTTATTAGCATCATCCTTGTACTTCACAACTGTAGCCATATCGCTATGACCCTTCTAGAATAGGTTCAGTATGTCATATAGAGGAAGCTGATCATTTACCCTGCCGAAATGATTCAGTAATTTCATGTTTAGAACATTTTCTGGTTGATTGCCACTTATGTTGATCAAATGTGACTGCTACGGGTCAGTTACCTAGGGGTTTTTCTGATTGTCAAGTTCCATTATAGGAGTTTCGTTTTCAAGGCTGCACTTGATCAAATTCTTCACCTAGGAAAAGTACATCATTGCGAATCAGGCTAAAACAATTTTGTTTTCTGTTCAATCTGGCCGGAACTTCACTAGTTTGCTAGAGAGGGTTTGACATGCTTTTACCATAATAAGTCCAACAATGTTCCCTTGGCTAATTATCCCTTCCATTGCTTTCCTAAGGGAACAATTTTCAGGTGAGAAACGAGGGGACATGGGAATTCAATAGGAATTGAGCATGGAAGGGACTTACTCATCAAATTTATAGTTGATATCAAGTGGGAATATTTTTAGAGATGGGAGTCATAGCATCATTAGCCTTTTTCAGGGTCATATCCAAAGCTCCGATTATAATAGTGGTCTCATCATGTGTCAACTCGCCACCTTTACCTGCCTGAGTTGCAAGAGAGTAAACATCAAACACTTGGTGCAGCATCCCATCATGTGAAGCTCTCAATTGCTTGTTTAGGCTACTTCACCTATTTCACGTACTACATGTTACTTGTTAGGCAACTCCAAGGTTATAGATGCACAGAGAAGAAGCAGAAATCTTCGGAGCAGTTACCTTATTGCCATGAAGGTCGACCAAAGTCTTGAGCTCTGCTCGTCGTAGAAGTGCAGAATGCTTCTTCCCAAGAACATAATCAAGCAGCTGGTAATGTTTAAAAAGGCACTTCAGAGGTACTTTGTTCATCAAGTTTCAGGGATTGGAAGTTTGGAACCAAGCAGGTAAATTGGGTTCTGCTACTTACCTTACTGTTAGAATATGACTTGAATTTGATTTAGGTTTGTTTTGTGTTTTAGGCCTATTCTGTTTGGGTTGGGGATTGGATCTTCTGTTCTGACACTTACTAATAGGATAAGCAGCTGGGAAGAGGACTATGACAATCACTGACCCGCAGTAGCGTGGAGCGGGGCATGGGTATCAACTTTCGACACGCCCTGACCCGCCTCGTCCCATTCTTGACCCGTTCTAGGTCAATTTCTTACCTCATCCATTCATATATCTCCTATTTTGGCTTATCTCAACTAGTTAGACTTGATCTTTCAACTAAATAGACTCAGTTACCCATTAGATTATCACTATTATTCATTCATAAAGTCTTTTCCCTTTCGTTTTATCATTAAAAGTAAAATTTAGTGTGTATTTTTCTCAAATAGCATGTAAGAGTGGGTCGACCCGCCCCGTACCCGCGCGAATATTACCCGCCCCGACCTGTACTAACGCGGGGCAGGACATGTGTATTGAAATACCCGCCCGCCCGACCCATTGCCATCACTAGGCCAAGTTCACCACTTCAGTACAAATTGCTGTTCTAATAATAGGGATCTCACAACCAGCTAATGCCAACTACGTTCCAAGTTCCAACTTATTGCATGAGACATGAGCAATAGCGACCACATGGAGATCGTCTGTTTTAGAGGGTGCAGAAAAGCTGGGAATTGGGGGAGGATCCTTGGATCTGAATGGTAGTCGTTTTGAGCTTATTTTTGGATGGGCTTCAGGACTGCAAAGTTGGGGCCCAATGAGATAATTTCGTGTTAAATCAACGGGCCCAATTTGTAGACGAGTCAAACCTACGGTTCTCCCAAATGAGCTTTCTCCATCTCCGCCGTGGTTTTGACTGAACTGCCGTAGTCTCCACTGTTTTTGAGTTGTCCAAGTCACTGCTTATTTTATTTTGGCAGCTTCCAGGTTTTCCATATTCCACTTTGTTTTGATGATAATTCCATCTTTTCCTCCTACGATTTTCCGAATACCAAACAAACATCTGTCTTCCTCCCTACCCACAGCGACGACCTCATCGCATAATCAATGGCTTCCACACCATCGCCGGCTTCGTCTCCAATTTTCATCGACGCCGAATCCCTGCGCGCCACCCTATCCCACAGCTCCTTAATCCAACACTTCCAGACCTCCCTCCCCGCCGTCTCCCCGACGCTCCACACCCCAATCCGCCAAAGCTACGCCGTTTCATCCGCCTCCAGCCTCCTCCTCATGCCTTCCTGGTCCACCTCCCAATCCTCCTCCCTCCCTTACATCGGCGTCAAGCTCGTCACCCACTTCCCCCAAAACTCCCGCCTCCACAGCCTGCCCGGAATCCACGCCAGCTACGTCCTCTTCAGCTCCGCCACCGGCCAGACCCTCGCCACCATGGACGGCACCCTCCTGACCCTCTACCGAACCTCCTGCGTCTCCGGGCTCGCCTCAAAGCTCCTCGCCCGAGCCGACAGCCGGGTCCTCGTCATGGTCGGCGCAGGCGCCCTCGCGCCGCACCTAATCAGGGCCCACCTCGCGGCCCGGCCGGGGCTGCGGGAGGTGATCATCTGGAACAGGACGCAGAGCAAGGCCGCCGAGCTCGCTGAGAAGCTGAACTATGAGCTCGGTGGTGGTATTGTGAGCTTCAGGAGCGGAGGGGAGGATTTGGACGAGGTGATCGGGCTGGGGGATATAGTGAGCTGCGCGACGAACAATGCGGACGCTGCCCCGCTGGTGAAGGGGGAGAAGCTGAAGCCCGGGGCGCATCTGGATTTGGTGGGTTCGTTCAAGGAGAACATGAAGGAGTGCGACGACGCGGCGCTGAAGAGGGCAGGGGCGGTGTTTGCGGATAATGAAGCGGCGTTGGTGGAGGCAGGGGAGCTGGTGGGTGGGTTCGAGAGAGGTGTGATTGGGAAAGGGGAAGTCGGGCTGTTGGTGGAGTTGATAGAGGGGGAGAGAGCTGGGAGGAAGGACTGTGATGAGATCACTGTGTTCAAATCTGTTGGTTCTGCGGTTGTTGACATGCTCGCTGCGCAATTCGCGTACGAAGCTCGAGCTAGGAAGTAAGGTAGAGAGGAAGGAAAGAATGGGAATGATGGATGTGCAGAGCTTGTACCTGGAGAGGAATTGAAGTGTGGAGAATGGAGCAGAATTTCTTTCTATGCTAATCTATATTCGGCTTTCTCGAGTACTTCAGCTGGTTGGGCTGCCCTGTAACGGATATTCTCAATAAAACATTGTCGAAATATTTCAGCAATCGATTCCAACAGGGAGAATGGGATCCAGTAAGATTACCAGCATTTGAATAATTGATGATTGTGTTGCAAAGAAGTTATTTCGCAGAGAAGAGGGGAGAGAGAAGAGGGAGCATGGAGAGCTACTGATGTTCATTTTGCTGAGTCACTTTCTGTTTCAGGGGCCTTTGGGTGATCCTTGGGTATAGTAGATCGTTCAGTTGTCTCTCTGAGCTGTATTCCGAAGTGGCCTGCAAGTAATTGGAAGGGAACGAGTTAGTGAATCATTAGGCGGAGGAACACTTTTTGTACTGAGGAGACGTTGAGATTTTATTCATAATTTAGTTTGTTACCCGTGAGTTGAATGCAAACCGCAATGTTTGGACTTGAGTTCCAGAGCAAACCCTCAAATCAAAACCCAGAGAATCCACGCCTATAAGGGTTGCTTCCTGCAAATCTCCAGCAGAGCCAGTTAGTAATGTACACAGCGTTTGCAACTTGCAAGTAGTATTTTTCTTTGAAACCCCTATGAATTGTGCAAAATGAAGGATTGCAGAAGTGAGGTATTAGTTTCAACATTCAAACCCATACAACTGTAGAATTGGACTCTACGAACTCGCATGAAGATGTAATGGTATTTGGCATGGGATCAATGTATTTAGCATGGATTTTAAAATGTAATGGTTGTGGCGAAAGTTTTATCCATCAAACAAGGGTTTCTTGATGAACTTTCTACTTAGAGTTTTATGTTCAAATTCGTGAGCAAAATCCATGATCCAAACAACTGGCTTGTATCGATTCCCAAATAAACAAGGTTTAAGCATATTACCTCAACTTGGATGCCTTTACATCTCCAACACAGAGATATCAGGGCTTCCGTGACCTTTTCACCACCATCTTTGAGACGGGATATGATCTTGGCTGATGAGTGAGCAATGACATCAGGCTTGGCATTCCTAAAATCGTCTGGTGCAACCGACGTCTGCACCCAAAAATCACATGAGCTGACGTAATTTGTGCTGACTGTAAGATTGTACATAAAGAGCCTCAAAGCCTAAGAAACAATTGTTATATCATTTACCGATGGGGACATAATCTGCATTATGTGAACATAAGAACATACTTGATGTCCATCAGCTGAAATAAGCTGGATCTTTATTGGTTCAAGCTTGTAAAATGAAGTCCCAGTCGCTGGGCCAGTCACATCTTTCTCTGCCCTACCCGGAACATCTTCAGATGGTGCAGGCTCGGATTCCTGACCATTGATTGCACCAAGATCATTTCTTTTGCTTTCTGCTTTCTCTTTCCCAACTTGATCTTCTTCGTAATTACAGAATTTATTACCAGACATATGCCTCTGGATGTCGGTATGTTCCTCATCAAATGCAGGTCTGAGAAGGCCTTGTATGGCCAGACAAGTTGGTGGTTGCTTCATCCAATCTACAGGATCATCTGAAGCAATCTATGACAGATAAAAAGAAGGAAGAAGCTTCTCAGCTCAAGAGCTATTAGGTACTTGCTTCATCTTTCAGTAGAGACTTCCAGAGTCTCCCATAAAATTACCTGAGTCAGCCTTTTGGCAAAATACATTGGATGAGAAGAATCCTCATCTTCCCAGTCTTCGTCAGCAGAATCATCATCCCCATCGTCATCTTCAAGGACAGCTACTATCTCCTATACACACAATTAGAGAATGCTCAATGGAACTGATCAAGGACATACAATCAGTTATGCAAGTTCCAAGTTGACCTGAACACAAGAAAAAGAAGAGTCTAGGAAACATCATATCAGACCTCATCATAGTCATCGTCATCCCGGAATTATTCAGTAGCTCCATCTCACTGATCATGTCTTCTGTATCAAAGCCTATAATTGCTTGCTGTATGAACAGAAGAAACCTTCCAGATATTAAGACATGTACGAGAAATAAAGAGACATTGGAATGATAAAACTCGCAAGCCATTAGAAAACCGCAATACTATGCATCTCCCTCTACATTAATGGCCAGACTGCTTTTGTACGGCTGCCATGCAATGTCATTATGGCAAAAAGGAAACACTTGACCAACAATATTATGTGCCCGAAAACTAGAGACTAAACTAGGGTTACTAGCAGTAGCAGGGAGATCTGTACCACATAGTTGTTCTTCGAAGTAAGTGTTTTCAATATGTCTTCGTCATTCTTCACTTGAAAATAGACATCTGCAACACACAATTAAATACTTCAACAACTGGGACTCCCAAAACCATAAAGGAAGTTGTTGCTGATTTACGCATACACAATGATGCCTGACTTACTTCCATATTCGTCGGTCACATATGGCATGTCTGGCCACATGATATTCTCATGAATTTCCTCATTGACCAGCATCACATTAGCTTTGCTGTTCACCTGAATATGACTCACTACATACAGCGTTAGCCGTGCAAACGTAACACTCCAATACAAACTCTAATTCTTTGAAAATGTCCAATCATGTCTTCCATTCTAAAGATGATACCTCAACAATAGTCCTGCAGGTCTCTTCAGCTGTAAGCCTAGCATCTCCACTACTTTTGGAGGCCGAATCGGCAATCTCCTCAAATGGATGATACTGCACTTTGTCATTCTGCTCAGAGGGATCTGAACCGGATGCCAATTGTCCTTGAGATGCTCGAATCGTACTCTTTAATACAGAACCAGCTCTTGATCTCTGAGAGTTCTTCCTGTGGTGATGATAATCATATGAAACGATCCTTATCAAAGAATACTCTAAGACATTCTAATAGCATTCGGAATTGGGATTAAGCACTCAGGAAATCCTCGAGTTCGGTAATGGAACTTGCAATTGAAATTTTTTCAGAAATGAACTTTGATTTCGGTTTCGAATGTGACTCTAGAACTATAGCAGCTGTAACAAGAAGAAAACTCAAACAGTACCACGGTAGGTCGAAGCTGGCCGTGCGTAGCTGCCGGCGAGTGGTGCCGCTTACTCTGCTACACTCCTCCAAGTTTGTCGCTCCGTGATAATCTACAGTCGGAGATTCCTGTCAACTGGAATGGGACACTCTGCCTTGAAGCAAAGCGAAGAAGAAGAAGAGGAAAGTTCCAACGGTCAAGAATTCAAGGCAGAAGAAGAAGATGAAGAACTGCGTTCGGGCTAATACGTCGCCGTCCCAATCTTACTGCACATATTCAGCTTTTAGTTTGTAAATATTACTTGTAATTACACTATTGAGACACTTGTCTCCTGACGAGAGGATGAGGCCGTTAGAGGCACTCTGTCCTGTAGTCACTCCCTCTGTATATATTCAGCAGCAAAGCTGCCAGTGAAATTCAGAAAAAGGTTTCACAAAATTCTGCCTTCTACTTTTTACAATCATTCTCATGGTATCAGAGCCTTTGGCTCACCTCACCTAGGGTTCCGTGACCTTGCAAACGCGCCGCCATGGCAACCAACTCTGATGACACTTCCTCTGCTACAACAGGAGCTGCTGCAGTGACAGGAACGACACACCAACCACTGCTGCGACCTCCAATCGACCCATACTACGTCAACCCCAACGAAAACCTATCACAAGGTATCATCTCGGTAAAACTCGATGGATCTAACTATCATGTTTGGAGTAGATCTATGAGGATAGCTTTGAAAACCAAGAAGAAACTTGGGTTTATAAATGGTACATTACCTATGCCTGAAGAAACCGATCCTGACTATGAAGCTTGGGATCAGAGTAATACCAACGTGATGGGTTGGATTCTCAATTCCCTGCTCAACTCCATAGCTGAAGCTGTTATGGACAACGAGACAGCCCAAGACCTATGGAAGGATCTTCAGGAGCGATATGGAGAAGCTGATTCCATTCGCTTGGCTCATGTCAAGGGACTGATTGCCAACTGCAAACAAGGAGATAACAATGTAACTGAGTACTACAACAGGCTAGGGGTTTTATGGACAGAATATTTATCTTTCAAATCCATACCAGCTTGTGAATGCAGTGGCACACTACATACCATGTCCTGTGCAACTTATGCAGCTGTTAAAGAATCTCAGGAACAGGACCACACTATTGACTTCATCATAGGTTTAAGTGACTCATTTGAGCTCACCAAGAATCAGCTATTACTTATGGACCCTGCCCCAAGCTTGAAACTAGCCTACAAGCACGCTCTCAAACTCAAGAGACAAATGGGTAAACAGCCTACCAAAGAAGCAACTGGGGTAGACTCAGTAGCTTTAGCTGCTGTGAATTCAAACAAGGGGAAGGACCAAAGGTCTGATTACCCCCGTGGGAACAGAACAAACACATATCAGGGAAGCTACCCTGGAAACAGCAACCCAAGGAGCAACAATGACAGCACCAGCAACAACCAGCAGGGTCTCTTCTGCAACTACTGCAAGAAAACAAACCACAACATAGCAGACTGCTGGAAACTGAAGAGGAAGAGAGGAGAAATGCCTGGACAAGCTTATGCAGCAGCAGCAACCAACAGTAGTGGCACCAGTGAGCAAGCTTCAGACAACCCTAGTGGAGACAATGAGCACACCTACAAGCCAAGCAACACAACAACCCTGAGGCTCACTACTGATGACTGCAACAGACTGATGATGCTGCTGCAACAGACCAATGGAAATCACCAGTCACAACCTGCAATTCAACCACAAGCACACTCAGTATCAAGGCACCTGAACCCCATGCCAAACAATGCAGGTAAATACACACTATCCTCTTTCTCTTCCTCACAGCATTTAGAACTAATGAACATTTGGATCATTGATACTGGTGCATCTGATCATATGTGCTGCAAACTATCCCTTTTCTCATCCTATCAACCTGTAGACAATGTTTTTGTCACCCTGCCCACTTGCACCAGAGTCCAGGTCAGCCACACTGGAACAGTCCAGATCAACCAAAACCTTACCCTAATGAATGTACTCCACATTCCAAGTTTCACATTTAATCTGCTCTCAGTCAGTACTCTCACTAGAACTCTTCCTATATCCCTAACATTCAAATCCGACTTCTGTGATGTCCAGGCCCTTCCTTCACAGAAGAGGATTGGTTTTGCAAGAGAGGTTAAAGGACTCTACCAACTCCAGACTACCACTCCTACCATCCAAACACCTACCAACACCACTGCAGCAGCCACATCACTCAATCAAACAGAAGAAACAGCTCTATGGCATGCAAGACTAGGCCACCTTTCCAATTCTAGAGTTAGACTTTTCCAAAAATGTAATGTTGACTTACCTCTAGACAATGTTAATCACTGTGAGGTCTGTCATCTTGCAAGACAGAAGAGAGCCCCTTTTCCTTCCAGTTTACACATTTCCCAGCACCCATTTGATCTCATTCACACTGACATTTGGGGGCCAATCAATACCAAGTCTTATGATGGTTTTTCTTATTTCCTCACCATAGTAGATGACCATTCCCGAGCTGTTTGGGCTTACCTGATGAAACAAAAATCCGAAGTAAGATCAATCATCAAACAGTTTTACACCATGATCAAAAACCAGTTCAATCAAAACATCAAATCCATTAGAAGTGATTAGGGACAAGAGTTCCACATGACTGAATTTTTCAGAGAACATGGGATAATCCACCAAATGTCATGTGTTGAGAGGCAACAACAAAATGGGAGAGTAGAGAGAAAACACCAAGACATCCTAAACATAGCCAGATCACTAAAAATCCAAGCCAACCTACCCTTACACTTCTGGAGTGACTGCATTCTTCATGCAGTACACATACTAAACCGGTTACCTACCCCCATCCTATCAAACCAAACACCATTTGAAAGACTCTACCATAAACCACCAGACTACTCACATCTCAGGGTGTTTGGGTCACTGTGCTATGCATCCACCCTAGAAGCTGGCAGAACCAAATTCCAACCAAGGGCAAGAAAATGCATTTACCTTGGCCTCATTCCTGGCCTCAAAGGCTACAAAGTCTTTGACCTTCTCACAAACAAACCCTTTGCCTCTAGAGATGTACTCTTCCATGAGACCATCTTCCCCTTTGCTTCCCCCCACACACACCAAACTTCACCACCAGAACACACTTCTTCATCTCCTCAAACTCCCACCTCAGCACATATGCCATCAGACATGCATCCACATCATGATTCATTTGTTCCTTTTGTTCCTAATGTTGCTTCTTCGCCATCAAGCTCTTCTGGTTTTATTCCATTTGACACCATTGATGGCCAAGATGCTGAGGTTTCTGAGGAGGTTTTCGATCATGAAGAAGAGGGGGCACTGAATACCTCAAATGATGAATTTGAGGAAGAACCTCAACACAACAACACCCTAAGGAAATCGACCAGGAAAACAACTGTACCTGTCTGGCACAAGGATTACTACTTGGGGACAGGTGCCACTGCACAAAAGCACCTGTACCCAATCTCATCTTACATGGATTTTTCACAGCTAAGTCAACACCACAAACACTTCTCCCTAGCAGTCACAAACCTCCAAGACCCTCAATCCTACCATGAAGCTGTGAAAGAAGAATGCTGGAGACAAGCTATGAGGGAAGAGAGAACAGCTCTAGAACTCAATAACACATGGGATGTAGTAGATGCCCCACCAGGAAAGAAGCTGGTAGGCAGCAAGTGGGTTTACAAGACCAAACTACTTGCTGATGGATCAATTGAAAGGCGAAAGGCCAGAGTGGTTGCAAAGGGTTTCACACAAGTGTATGGCGTTGACTTCCTTGACACCTTCTCCCCAGTGATGAAGATTAACACTGTCAAGACTCTCTTGGCAGTTGCATCAGTCAAAAACTGGGAACTAAGTCAAATGGATGTAAGTAATGCTTACCTAAATGGGGAGTTGGAAGAGGAGGTATACATGAAATTACCCCCTGGAATGGAAATACCTGGCAAGGCGTGCAAGCTGAAGAAATCCCTTTATGGCCTCAAGCAGGCTGGGAGGCAATGGTATGCAAGACTCACAGATGCCCTGATCAGGTTTGGCTTCAATCAATCTTTCTCAGACTATTCCCTCTTCACTAAGAAGACAGGACAAGGAATCACCATTATTCTGGTGTATGTCGATGACTTAATACTATCAGGAGACGATCAGGACATGATTCAGGAGGCAAAAGCCTTCTTATCTAAGGAGTTTAAAGTTAGGGATCTTGGAAAACTAAAATATTTCCTAGGCTTGGAAATAGCCAGAAGCAGTGCTGGGATTTCAGTCACCCAGAGGAAGTACTGCCTCGACCTTCTAACTGATACAGGGTTCCTAAGTTCAAAACCAACTAAGACTCCATCAGACATGAAGACAAGGCTATCACAATTCAACGATGAAGAATCAGAAGATCCATATGAGTACAAATCTCTGGTTGGAAGACTAAGCTACCTAACTACCACAAGACCTGACATCTCATACTTAGTGCAACAATTGTGCCAGTTCCAGGCACAACCCAAGAGATCTCACCTCAAGGCTTCGCACAGGATACTCAGGTACCTCAAGAACTCTCCAGGCCAGGGATTGTTCTTCGCATCAAACACTAATTTCACCCTAACGGGATACAGTGATTCGGATTGGGGAGCCTGCCCCGACACGAGGAGATCAATTACAGGCTACTGCACATTTCTGGGGGACTCACTTATTACCTGGAAAATAAAGAAGCAGGCGATTGTTTCGAAGTCCTCATCCGAGGCTGAATACAGAGCCCTATCTCAGTTGTCGTGCGAAGTACAATGGATCACCCAATTGCTGAAGGACTTGAATGTCGAATACCAGGGTCCAGCTACCGTCTTCTGCGACAACAAATCTACCATACACATGGCAGAGAATCCGGTTTTCCATGAAAGAACCAAGCATATCGAAATCGACTGCCATGTGATCAGGGAGAGGGTGAAATCAAAGCTAATCAGCCTGAAATATGTGTGCACTGACAGGAACTTAGCCGACATATTTACCAAGGGTCTAAGTGCACACAGATTCAAGTGGATTCTCTTCAAGCTGGGAGTATATGATATATACTCGCCAGCTTGTGGGGGACAGTCAACTGGAATGGGACACTCTGCCTTGAAGCAAAGCGAAGAAGAAGAAGAAGAGGAAAGTTCCAATGGTCAAGAATTCAAGGCAAAAGAAGAAGAAGAAGAAGATGAAGAACTGCGTTCGGGCTAATACGTCGCCGTCCCAATCTTACTGCACATATTCAGCTTTTAGTTTGTAAATATTACTTGTAATTACACTATTGAGACACTTGTCTCCTGACGAGAGGATGAGGCCGTTAGAGGCACTCTGTCCTGTAGTCACTCCCTCTGTATATATTCAGCAGCAAAGCTGCCAGTGAAATTCAGAAAAAGGTTTCACAAAATTCTGCCTTCTACTTTTTACAATCATTCTCAATTCCGATCACAACAACAAGGATAACCCGTCAGTCCCCGATTCAAAAACCAAGAAAACTGCTCATGCGTGAAACTTAAGCTAACGACGGAAAGTGAACGAAAACTTGGAAGGCAGTATCGCTCCAGGAGCGTCAGTTGGAAAATTGAAGTAACCGAAGCTTTTGAGCTTCTTTCAGAGCTCAAATGGCGGGAAAACAGGGAAGCATTGAACAACTCAACTGTTAGCGAACTAACCACTTAGTCCCAATAACTCGAGTTGTTGGGAAAGGGATAGTTAAGCCTTTTAACCTCTTATACGCCCCCTCAAACGAAAGCCGTTGCCGAATTGTGGATTTTTACGGTTTGCACAGGTTGAACCCTTGTGCTGCCAAACCACGAGGCTTTAGTTTGCACAGGTTGGACATACCATTCCTTGTGCTAAACGAATTGGCATGAAATGGGGGTCGTTATGAGGATTCAACACAAGACACTTGATGTTCAATACCTTCCATTTGATAAAACTCATTCATCTCAAACTCTTTCCCTCCATCACTTCTGATAATCTTCACTGTTGTGTTAAACTGGTTTTTAACCAAGTTACAGAAACCCTGTAACAGACCTCTTGTCTCACTCTTATTGCGCATCAAATAAACCCAAACAGCACGTGAACAATCATCAACAATTGTAAGGAAGTAACTGTAATTATCATAAGAAACAGTAGAAAGAGGTCCCCAAATATCCACATGGATAAGCTGAAACACATCTGAAACAAAACTTGTGCTAACAGGAAAGGGAAGTTTCTTATGTTTAGAGTAATGACAGGTCTCACAATGTTGAATCCTATGGCTAGTTACAACTGGATTGTTTTGATGTAATAAAGACTGTCTATCATGGCTAGGGTGGCCTAATCTCCAGTGCCATAGATCAAGTTCTTGTGGTTGAAAATTGTAGGTAAAAGCTGCTTGGTGTTTATGTGAAGGCTGCAAAGTCTTGGTCTGGTTTGAAGAAAAGGTCTTGGTCTGGCTTCTTGTGAAGGTAAGTTGGTATAGCTCCCTAGACTCTTTTGCTAAGCCAATCCTCTTCATGCTTAACAGGTCCTGAATTTCACAGTGATCAGATTGGAAAAGTAAGGATAGGGGAAAGTCTTTGGTTAGTTTACTCACTGAAATGAGATTAAAATTAAAGCTAGGTACTAGTAGAACATCATATAGGAAGAGTCATGATGGTAATTTGACTGTCCCTATATGTGAGACTAACACCTTTGTACTATTTGGCAGGTAAACAATAGTATCAGCAACAAGTCTACTTTCACAGAAAAGGGTTTTACTACATGCTATATGATCTGATGCTCCAGTGTCTAAAATCCACAGATCTATGGGAGCTACTTTGGTATGTTGAAATGATGAAAGGATGTATTTACCTGAATGATTAGGGAAGGGACTTAGGAATTGAGAAACTGAAAAGGCTTGGTGGTTAATGGATGGGGAATTTGGTGGAGAGGGTGAGCCAGCACCAGCTTGTAACAGATACCTGAGTTTGTTCATCTCTTCAGCTGTGAATCCAAGAGATACCTGAGTTCCACTCCCTTCTGCTGTTGAACTTCCCTCTGAATGAGCATCTGATGTACCAGACTGGTTAACTGCTCCAGCAAATCTAGTTGTCCCAGAACTGGAGTTGGATCCTGAACTTGTTCCATCCTTTTGTTCCCCTTGTTTCTTTTTCAGCTTCCAGCAGTCCTCAATGTTGTGATTCCTCATTTTGCAAAATCTGCAAAACTTCCTCCCCTGTCTACCTTCATTGGCATCCCTTCCTTGTTCTCCTTCAACTGCAAGTGCCATTGTCTGTGATTTCTTCCCCCCAGACACATTATCACCCTTCAACTTCTGTTCATGTTGCAACAAATCATCTACAGCTGTAGATACATTAGGCAGCGGTTTTTGCATCAGCAGCTGTGTCTTCACAATGTCATAGGCTGGATTTAATCCCCTCAGGAACTTGATCAGATAGTCTGTTTCTTGCTTTTGAATGAAAGCACCCACAACAGCACAAGGCATGGGGTTTCCAGGTGCACAGGCACAAGGAATAATTGGGTTAAACTCAACATACTCATCCCATAACCCTTTAACCTTAGTGTAATATTGACTGATAGTTTGTGTACCCTGCTTACAATCACCTATTTCATCTTCCAAGTTCATGATACGAAGGGCATTAGGTACTCCATATCTCCTTTTCAGTTCATCCCACAATGCCTTAGCATTACTGTGTGTAAGAACAGATCTCCTGATATCCTTAGCAACAGATTTCTGAATCCAACACAGCACTAGGGTATTACAAGCATCCCATAAGGCAAAGCGATCTGAATCTCTAGGAGGCATGGTTATAGTTCCATCTATAAAACCCACCTTATGCTTTGTTTTCAAAACCATTTGCATAGATCTACTCCACATCGAGTAGTTGGAACCATCAAACAACTCAGAGACCAAAGAGATTGACATGTTTTCATTCGGGTTGAGATAAAATGGGTTACCGAATACAATCGTCTCATTCTGAAGGTTCTCCTGGTTGAACGCCAAATTGAACTCCTGCTGCAGTCCCAAGAGCTCCAGTGGACTGTGTCGACCTTTGCCCTGAGCCTGGTGAGCTTTGTCCAGACATGGCGGCGGCTGTGACACGAGAGAAACCCTAGAGTTGACGCTGCTCTGATACCATGTTAGCGAACTAACCACTTGGTCCCAATAACTCGAGTTGTTGGGAAAGGGATAGTTAAGCCTTTTAACCTCTTATATCAACAGACAGGAAAGTAACGAGATAGGACGGCGGCAGAATTACGGGATAAGGTGGCGGACGAGCAGAAATTGGCGCCGGCGGCGAAGCGGGAGGCCGTCGCTGGTTCAATCATCATCACCATCATCATTTCTCGGCTTGCTGCTTCCTACTATCCACCATTAATCGTAGGGGAGCAACGGGGAGAGATCTACTTGTTGATACGATGAAATGAAATCAGGCGCTCTCTTTTGAACCGTAGAGTCATTTTAATTTCTGAGATTACTAGATGAGGCAATTGCCCAGTGACGAGTTGCTCGATCAAACCCAGAAAACCTGGTCGGCTTTATTGGGTTGACCGAGCGTACAACCTATCTAATCCCCGTTTTCCGGCCGCGGGATCGGGTAATAATGGGCAACCCCGATTCAATCTAACGACCCGGGACCCACTTGCTCGGGCAGGTTGATGGTTGAAACCGATTTGTCGTGAAGAATAGAAGAAGCCTTGCTTGTGACCACGTGGCAAGCTTTTATTCGTTGATGGGGGTATTGCATCCAACGACAGCTTGTGTAAGATAATAATACAAAAATGGTATAAAAAAAAAAAAGAGAAGCGCGCCGTTTTGACGAGAAAGGAATGAAGGATAGGAAAAGAAACGGAAATCAGGGTGGTTTGCTTTGTTGATTTGAAAAATGAAAGTTTTGGTATAATTTGGATTTTGAAAAAGTATGGATATATGAGAGTTTTGGGTTCATTATGGATTTGATAAATACTATTATTTGTTTAATGGATTTCATGATAGATTTTGTTAATTAGACATTTATGTATGAAGTGAAATTTATTTATATTGCCCTTAATAATATAAGAGCGAGAAATAAAATATGAGGGGCAAGTTGGTAGAAAATAATGGACTTCAAAGTCCATAATCAATTCTCACCTAAAGAGGTGGTATTTTTAAATCCGTTGAGCCCACAGATTTAGGACTTCAAAGTTCATGGATCTCATGAATTTGGTACATCTAAATACTTGAAGCAAACAATATCATAGATCCAAATCCATTACCGTATACCTTGAGTATGAAAACACTATCTAGACCTCGAAATAGAAAAAACTTTGGGCTTGGTACTATAGCCTAATCCTTATTGAGTGAACCCTAGGTCCTAATTATCTAAATCATAAACTATAAACCCTAAGACTGAGCATTCATTTTTTTGCCTATATTTGGACGAATCATAGCCGTCGATTATTGTTTCTAATTAAATTGATATTGGAGTATAAGATTTAGGGAGCTAAGACCTAGATTTTGATCTTTAAGGGTCAGAGTATAATATCATGTCCAAAAGATCAATCAATTCAAGGTCTGGATAGCGTTTTCATACTCAAGGTATGCGGTACACCGGATTTCACTCGGGGTACCGTAGAACTCGCCATATATATATATATATGGTGACGTATTCGGTGCACCCACTTTTTTGGGTGCATTCAATGTACCCGCCTCATAACCGTCATTGTAAACATGCGATTCATGTCAAAATAATGTCAATCATCATTTAAGATGTGATGAACGATAAAGCACATGAATTAGCACAAATATCCTTCAAGATTTACTATAATTTGGTGTTTAGGGATATAATTCAAAATTGGAGGTCTAGAGCTTTGGGTAATCCATTAATTTGTTCTGCACATGTTCTAACTTAATAGATAAAGATGAGTTGGATGTTATTCAAGATGACATTGAAACAATTTGTGAAAGTGTATCTTATTGAACTGGCACGCCTAGGAGGTTAGAGTTATTTGAAGGAGCAACAAAGCAATTGGGATTTTCTTGTGCCAAAAAGTTGATTTTGGATTGTTTGACTCACTGGAATTCAACATATTTTATGCTTGTTGTTGCAATATCTTACCAAAATGTGTTTATTAGGCCTAAACAACGTGATTCTCACTATAGTAGTTTGCCTACAAGTCGTCATTGGGCATTTGTTTAAATTGTTTGTGAGAAGTTGAAACTATTTAGTGAGATATTTGATTTGTTCTTTGCAACTAAGTATCGCTCAGCCAATCTGTTCTTTCTAAAGATATGTGATTTGAAGCTCAAAATTTGTGAGTGGCTCGTTGATGACAATGCTATGATTTCTAAGATGGTTAAATTGATAAGGAATTAGTTCATAAAATATTGGGATGGTATTCGTGAAATACTAACAGTGGGTGTTGTGTTGGACTCGAGATATAAGATTCATATTGTGAAATATTATGCTCCAAAATTTGGAATGGGTCATTGTGTCTTTGATGTGGTCAAAATCATAGCCCTTTTGAGTGATTTGCTCATGGAATATCAGTCTAAATTGAATAAGAAGGTAGGGTTTGCTTCTAGTGGTTCGAGTGATATGTCTCTTGGTGGCTTTTCTTCTATGGATCTCGAATTTCAGCTGTTGTATGGACAATAAAGGAAAAAGTCAAGAGGAATGCCTAGTCAAATTGAATTGGAAAATTATTCGAATGAGGAAGTAATACCCAGAATGTTGATTTCGATATCTTGTTATGGTGGAAGTTGAATGGGGCTAAGTATTCTATTTTGCAAGATATTGCAAGGGGTATCCTTGCTGCCTGTTACCTATGTTGCATCTGAATAGACTTTTAGCTCTGGTGGTCGATTGTTGGATCTCAAATCTAAACATTAGTCACTATAATGTACATTTTACATTTTGATACCCCAAATTTAATTTTAATGTAAAACCATTGAACAATTATGTTTGGTATCATAATTTTATGAGATTTTTGTACCTACAATTTTTAGAATTTACATAATGGTCCAACGTTTAGAGTTCACTTGAATCGATGAATCCAATCCACCATAACATAAGAGTATAAATTTAGTTTGTACAATACAAGATGTTGCATCACTCAACTGTAGGAGAAGATTCAACCATTTTATATTTGCTCATTACGTGAAACATTAGGGGTCGCTTGGAAGTTGCAATTGTTAAATAGATGTATTGTTGAGAATGCATGTATAATGTTATACATGTATTGTCGAATTTGATGCACTGTAGATTACAACGTTTGGTATGTGTGATTGTGTATGTCGCATCAGCTAAAAGCTGAGACAAAACAATCTCAACTCAACTATCTCAACAATCACAACTAAAAGTTGAGATATAACAATCACTCAAAATGAGTGATAGTTTCTGTCACATCACAGAAACAATTCATGTATTGTTTCTGCTAAAAAACAAAAAAAATGATACATTGTAAACAATACATGCATAATGACAATCTCAACAAAACAATCGCAACTTCCAAACGACCCCTAAATAAATGATAAAAGAGAGACGACTCTAAAATATTGCAAGAGCGAATTTGTAAACTCAGTTAGTACATTTACGTGGTACTAAACAAACTTCTTCTACTACATGCAACAAAATATGTGACATCTACATAAGCAAGTGTCCATAAATTGCGAAGGTGAAAAGGGTCAAATGTTGTTTTGACGGCCAACTAAAAGAATTGGTCAAAACCTTTCCATCATCTACTTCCATTTCGTTTCATTTTTCACTCGCCTGCCATAACCCTATTTTTATTTCTTTCTATGCCTTGCTCGTCTAACCCTAATTAGAATACTATATTTATGTATTCTAATCACAAGTATGAAGGGTCCATACATGACTCACCAACAACGTAGAGAATTAATAATTAAACCATGAACAACTAACTTTTTCAGCACAATGTCGAGTGAAATTAAAAATAAATATATATGGTTATTACTTATTAGAAAGTCGTCATTTTCCACTATGAGATTTGAAAGCGTGAAATTTTAAGCGAGTTCCAGTTTGTATTCCTTATGCTTCTGCTTCTCTCTAGAGTTTTACATTTTCACCCTACCTAGAATTTTCAATAATTATACATGGAATGTTTGGCTAGGTATCTACACATATCAAATAAACAGTTTCCATTTTTCTATAAAAAAGTAAATAATTATCATTTTAAATACATCACCTTAAAAGGAATTAAGTCTCAACTATGCAAATTACAGTTTGGTACTAAACTTAATAGATCTTTAGATTTATAACCTAAATTTATTTTTTGGCATACAAGTCCTCAAAATATTGATGTAACATTATATTTTAGTACCTAAAGTTTTTGGGTATTACATTTTGGTACCTAAACTTTTGAAGTTCTACAAATAGGTCTAATTTTTGTATGTGTAATTAAAACACCCTCGAATAAATGGGTATCCATACCCAACTTATACACATTTAGATTATGAAAATAAATATCCATACCCTAACCAAACTCATCTACAAACTTCCAAACTCATATATACGTCACCCATACCCTACCCATAATCAATGAGTCTACTTGGGTTTAGATAAATTTCATTTATTAAAGGGCTAATAATACTAACACAACACCATAACGGGCCACATAATACATGCTCATAGTTCATCTCTATCCCCGACAAGGCACGACATGGCTACCTAGTTATATTATATATGACGATAAAATGCTCATATTCTTGTTTATATATGAAGATCAACAAGTGGGGAATGATATCACTTGATTGATGATTGATGCATGATGATTATTGGTGTTGGACTCTGCTGAAATTTTACTATTGGAGTATGCTAGGATTTACTGGAATTTTGCTGCTGGAAATCAACTTATCTACTGTTGTTAGCTGCTGGCCTGCTGCAAGTCTGCTGGAATGAATTGGAATGTTGCGAGAATTTTTCTTGGATTTACTTGAATTTTGCTATTGGATTTTTTTGCTGATGATTATCTGCTTATTTGGTGAAATTTTTCCTTGAATAAGCTAGAATGTTTCTGGGATTTGCTGGAATTTTTTTGGTGGATTTTTATGTTGGAATTATTTCTAGAATTTCCGAATTCTTACTTTGAACTTGGTTTACATATTAAACATTTGATTATTTGGTGTTATGTTAATTGTCACATTGGCTATTTGGTTTAACTATCATGATCAGTACTATTTGGTTTGATGAAAAAATTAGGAAACAAAGAAGAGTTGGGATCTCGGAGTGTATCCATGTGCCTTTTGGATATTACCCTATACTCGTTCAGATTAGAATTTACTATCTATGTTCCTACTTCGGGCGAGTTTCGGTATACTCGAATATCTTGTAGAGCGGGGATCAAATAGCCATTATCTGTACCCGCCCCGACCCATTGTCCAGCCTACCCTAATATCCCTCTTCTACAAACCCCTACTTTGTACTCAGTTTTAGCTAAGCCTTCCCATTTAATGAGAAAAATAAACTCTATCCACATTTAAAATTTGGCCAGCCCAAAGTTATAAATACACGCCCACCTAAAATTGGCCGCAGCTGAACCCAAAACCCTTCAGTGAACAGTGAATCCCGAAATTTTCTTATGAAACAGTGGTTATGCGTGTATTTACTTGGGATTTAATAGTTCTCATTGCTCGTACTTTAGATGCATTGTAGAAAACTAAAGGTTGTACTTGAACTTGATATTATTTTCTAGAGTATAATACTATAGTTAATGTGATTATTTTTTGGAGAAATGTGAGATTTTTTTTTTGGTTCGATTCCTTTATACCGAGAAGAGAAAAGAGTCAAAGTCTTAAAGTTTTAGAGGGAATTCTATTGGAAACCTATGAACAACGTAACCATTCCACAAATTCAATTAGGGATGGCAATCAAGCCCATGGTTGCGGGTACCCGAACGCCCCTGACCTAGTCAACACAGGGAATCCCCGCTTTGACCGGATATGGGGCGGGTATAGGTAAAATCCGCAAAAAGTTTGATGCGTATGGGGCGAGTATGGATTTAGCCTCCCCCGCCCCATACCCGCCCCACCAAGAGAATTTCTTCACATATACAAAAATATGTGGATCAAATTATAATCTATCAATGGTGATGAGGATAACTCGAGGAAATAAATAGTACAAATGCATTTGAATGACCACCTTAATGAAAACCTAATTCATTTCCCTCAATTCTCCTTTCACTCTTTCACTTTCCCCCTTGTCAACAAGATTATGTTAGTTAATTATTACTTAGTAGATGTATCAGAGTGAGAACATAATAAGTTGAAAAATATTATACTCTATATTATGTATTAAAGAATGTTTTAGGATCATACTCTTTGAACCGTATTAAGAAAATGACTGTGTTTTATTGACTGCGTGATATAATAGGTTCGTTTAAAGTTATAGTTAAAAATTTTCTTGTAAGTTTTATGTATAATAATGTGGGACGTATGGGTACGGATATTACCCATGGGTACCCAAAACCCATGGGTATGGAGATGTGTTTGCAAAAAATTCCCCGTATGGATATGGGTTTGGTATTTGAAAATGGGATGGTTTAACCAAACCCGCCGCTTGCCATCCCTAAATTCAATCCCTTAATATACGGGATGCCATTAACAGAGCATCATATCATAGAAAAAGGTTGAAATTCAAGGTTAAGAATATGAGTGAAAGGTGGGCCAAGTCCAACCCATATGGTATGGATAGTGGACACCGTCCATAGTCAATAGTACTCACATTCCGACTTGGACTAAGATTGGATTTTGGCGGAAGGCATAGTGCACACGGTAATAAAAGCAAAAATTCCTTACGTACGTGTAAAAACCTTTAAACCGAGAGCATCAACAATTGTCTCAATATCTGTCGCCAAAACCAAATAATCCCAATTGTTGTTAAACCTCCATCCCATGACGGCGATCGACAAACTCGACGGCGATCTCCTGACAGAAGTTCTCATTCGAGTTCAGGAACCTAGATCCAGATGCCACTGCAAACTCGTCTGCAAGCAATGGAACTCTCTGCTCTCCGATCCGGACTTCGTCCGCAGCTTCGATTCTCACCACCAGAGCGCCGGAGAATCATCGGATGGTGAATCCCCTCTGATGCTCAAAGACTCCATCTTGAGCTTCATCCCCGTGCCCGACGCTAAGCGTCGACGTGGTTTCAAGATTTTCGATTCCTTTAAGGACTTGCTTTTATGCGGGTTCGGATGCCCACTGTGCGATCCGGTACTCGAGAGGTCGTTTCTGATTTGCAACCCAACCACGAAGCAGTGGATCTCCCTTCCTGTAGCACCCGAGAAGCCCGAGGGCTCTAGCGAAGCCGTTGCCAGGTTAGTTTGTGAACCCCGCAGTAGCGCCGGTGGAAATCATCATGGCTATCGGTTTCGGGTGGTGCACATGTATCGACATATAAACCATCGATATGTGCATCCTACAGGATTTGTGGATTCTATAAGACTAGACGTATTTTGTTCCGAATCCGGAGGATGGATTAAGAAGGCTCTTGTTCTCCAAGGTTATAGAAGAATGATCCACAAGAATGTGTGTTCCTGCAACGGGAGGCTGTTTTGGTGCTGTGATAAAGTCAATGGTTTCGACCACCGACCGGATTTTATGGTGGTTGCAATTAATCCTTTCCGTCTCGATATACCTCCCATTTTGATTGACACGCCTCCGGCGGCTCTGCTCCCTCGTAACCCGTCGTGGAATATTTCGGTTTCACAAGATGCTTTGCATGTAATTGTATTCGAGAGTTATCCTCGGCTTGGTGTCGTCTCGAGGAACCTCTCGAGCGTCTGGAGGCTGGAGGAAGGCTACAAGTCTTGGAGTAGCCTACACCAAGGGTGGTTGAACACATCGAGATTTAAGGACTTGAATGCGTATTTTCTTCATCATATACGCCACGTGCATCCAGAGAAGTCGAAATTTGTGTTCTTGGAGTTTGAGTGGTATCCCGGTCACTCTCATGTTTGGTATGTTATCTTGTCCTTCAATTTAGTGAGCGGAGTGATAGACTACTTCTCTAATGTAGCACAATATGAAACTCCATGGACGGTGTTCAAACCTAAGGTTTCTTGTTGGCCCATTCCAATTCCAAGATATGAGAAACTACGAACTAGATATGATGGAAGCCACAGGTGGTTGGTTCAAAGCAGCAACAACAAGAAAGCAAGATATATATATATGATGGAAGCCACAAGTGGTTGGTTCAAAGCAGCAACAACAAGAAAGCAACTGCATACGAGTGAGTGGTGAGATGCCAATTTGTCACAAACATCATAGAGTCGTTCGTTTGGCATTTGGACATATTTTATATAGTATATGAATTTTTTTGCTCCATCATGTTTCACAATTATTACATTTACTTTTTTTGTGTGTGAAATTTGAAATCATTCATTTGAATCATTTATAGAGATAATGCCGAGATTAAATAGAGAACCTCATCCCCATGGCCCTGCCCTGTTTTTAACTCCGTGTTAGAGAGTTTTCATCACTTTTTTCTTTCATTTTTACAGTTAAGAACTAACTATTCTGCTCTGACAATATTGGTGTCAGGGGGAACTGAACTGATGTTGATGTTTCAACTTCTGCATCAGCATCAGCATGCTACTGTACTATGTTGTCTCATTCCTGGTGGATGACAATAATGATACGTGCACCACTTAAAGCATTGCAAAACCCATTAAGCTGATAGGAGTTGCTTTTGGATAGAATGATTTGAATTTGATATTTGTGGTTTGGATTTTTAAATGTCAAATAATTTGTTTGGATATTAATTACATTTGGTAGATGGATTTGTGCCCAAATTCGTTGGGTAATTTCCAAATATATGTTTAGTGTGTTATTTGTCAACTTCAAATACATTTCAATAATTAGTGATTTAAAATTACTCCTAACAAAAGAAACTTGAGTGCTAAAAATGTCGAGCAAACCTGAAAATCATTCTTATCTATTCCTTCCTTGCTTAATGGTTAAATAAAATGAGTATAGGACAATTTTAGGGTTAACACCTTAGTTTGGCCCGAACTATACACATATTTTCTACTTTGACCCATGGTATTGGAAATTGCTATTCTGACCTAAACTATGTAGCAAACTTCCTCATTTGTCCTGGAGGCGGGTTTGACTGTCAAATTAGACGGTCAAACCTGTTGACGGTTAGAAATGAAAGCAGATGAAGTACTCTGGTTTTACTAATCCAGTGGTTCACTATTTTAACCACAAAAAGATTAAGAAAAAAATATTTTAACTTAAACTAAAAGCATCCAACTTGAATTACTAATTTTATTTCTACTTCATTTTTTCTGTTTTCCAGCTTTTTTGGCGGTTTTGTGTGGTCAATTATGGAATGCTAGCCTAATTACTAACTTGAATTTAATAAAAAAAATGTTATGATTTCTTTTCTGAGATAGTTTGAATAATTTGTCAGAACTTTTTGTAATAAATGTGGATTTGAAATTGTTCATTGTTAGAGTGATAAATTTAGACAAAATACACTTGCATAGCCATAACTTTACACTGTGACAAATATAGCTAAATTTTGAAAATACACAAAAATAGTCATTTCGTCCATTAATGTAATGAAATTATAACGACGGCTGACTGGACAAACGATCGCATGTGGCTGCATTTAATTTGGTCTATGTTGCATGCCATGATGAAAAATAAAATTAATTATATTTATTAATAAAAAATTATCCTACTTTACCGACATATTACCTTCTTTCCTATTCACCATTTGCCCCTTCTCATTCTCGAGAACTCTTTGCAGAAACCCCAATTTGCAGAAACCCAGTCCCCACCTCGATTCCTCTTCGTCGTCGGTGACTGCCACAAACAGAATAAAGTCTCTTCGACTTTTCCCAAATCAATTTCTCCCTTCGGTATCTCCATTAAAAAATTGAAGTTTCCAATCCATCTTTGGCCCAATTGATCCCGCCTGCTCTTTTTCATTTTCCCCCAAATCTGAAGATATAATAATTTCTAGGGATTGGACTTGAACTCCGACCCTCATCCTCCCTTCACTCTCCGTTCATCGTCTAGATCGCACTTAGGAATTTTGAGTCTCACCAGTCGATTACTGGAGCTCCGGTAGATTGTCTGAATCGAGGAAAGAAGCCGAAGTCGAGGTTTTGAGCCCGAGTCAATCCCGGCAACAACGCCGGGTTTATTCGCAGCCAGAGTAGTAACACGGGATTCCTCTGATTAGGCTTTCATCTCCTGTAGCGTGGAGGGGATGGGGAAGCTAGTTCCCGACGGCACCAAAGGATCCAACAACAGCGAGATTTGGTCTCACTGTAAGAAGTGCTGGAGCAGCCGCCGGTGCCATTCTTGAGAGCACCCCGTCTGAGTTGAATCATCGACGGAAAGATGGAAGCGACCAGGGGAACCAGAGTTAAATCAGAGGTTGGAGAAATTGGTGACTGGGGAGGGAGACAAGCGATAAGGGAATCACGGTTGTCGCACCGAGGGATTTTGGCCGGATTTCGGCTGCCGCTAGGAGGAAGATGGAAGCTGATTTCTGCTATTTCTGGGACGAGGACGGAATAAAAAATGTCGAATGGGGGAAAACGGAGAGTGAAATACCTCTCGTGCCACTAAAGTTTTTGAATTGGAGGAGGTATACCACTAAAATAAGAATAGGGTGTCGGGTACTATTAAACTCATTAATTTGTCCATCCATGTAAATTTCTGTTAGTTTGATTGAGGGTCAAAATAAAAACTCAATTTTAATTATATAAAGCATGACCTGCGGTTAGGGAGCTACTAACCAAACCACCAGACCCGAGTCTCCAACCTCATCTTTCTCTCTCTTTGTGAAGCCCCTACCTCTTGTCCGCTGTCTACCACCAATCCACCATCGTTGAATCCAAATAGTAGGGAGAAACCAATTTAAACTATCCTGGCCGATTAATTCACACTTCCAGTACGTGCCAGCTTCCTGGACGTAAGCAGTTGTAGTAGTCTCTCAGACCAGCACTATGGCCGACGACGGTGTGTGGCCTTGATATCCTAGATCCCGAGCATCCGGATTCGACGATCAGTGAACGTGATAATACAGAGCTGGGCCAAAATCTCGCCATTTGGAGGACTTCATACATGCATTGGGGTTCCATGGAGGCCGATTGATTCTATTTAATTTGTGGGATTCTTACTGTTGGACTTTCACAGAGGGAAGGGGAAGAGTGAGCGGAGAGAGAGAGTTAGAGCTTAGAGGATTCAGTATTAGTTCCCTCTAATCCCATCTCACTAGAAAACAAATCGATTTGGAACAAAATTTTAAAGGTTGGACGAGCTCATCTGTGGAGCTAATCTGTCGGAGAGAGCGCCGATTTTTATGGCGACAAGGAGAAGCAGTAAGCAAGTGAGAGAGCGAGAGAGTGATTGAGAGAGACGGGTCAGAGTGGAGAGCGGATCCCATGACTAAGCCCCTCCTAGCCATTAGATCTGGACACTTAAATCTAATGGTTAAAAAGTGGGAAGGGTTATTTTATTAATGACAGGGGTAGTTTGGGTATTATAGAAAATTACGAAGTATACAAACCGAATTTACAATCAGTACAAACCATAGAAACATACAAACAGTACAAACTAGAGCGACAAAACATACAAACAGATTTACAAACATTACAAACGTATGAACTGTACAAACAATACACACTAGACTGACAAACAATACAAACCATACAAAAAGAAAAAACAACCGGGTTGACTTTGGAGGCTCCATCCCTATTTAGAGGGGCTCCTTCCCAAAGTCAACCCGGGTGTTTTTTAGACATACAAACAGTACGAACATGGTGGACAAAAATGACAAACTAGACCGACAATCCATACGAACGGGAAAAAACACCCGGGTTGACTTTGGAGGCTCCATCCCTATATAGAGGGGCTCCTTCCCAAAGTCAACCCGGGTGTTTTTTAGACATACAAACAGTACGAACATGGTGGACAAAAATGACAAACTAGACCGACAATCCATACGAACGGGAAAAAACACCCGGGTTGACTTTGGAGGCTCCATCCCTATATAGAGAAGTTACATCTAAAAGTCAACCAGGTTGTTTTTTAGACATAAAAAACATTACAAACATGGTTGACAAAAATGATAAACATGGTGCACAAAAATAACAAAGTTTAAAAACATTACAAAAAAACCCGACAAACCTTACAAAATAACAAAGTAACAAAGCGTACAAACATTACAAAATAAATCGACAAACAATACAAAGCATACTAATAGTACAAAATCTCTCTCTCTCTCTCTCTCTCTCTCTCTCTCTCTCTCTCTCTCTCCTGGGACAATTCTTCCCATGTCTCCTGCCCAAAATAAATGATTGGACAGCAGAGGAGAAAGCCGGCGGTGATTTCCGGCCAGCAGAGGAGAAAGCCGGCGGTAATTTCCTGCCAGCAGCGGCCAATTTTTTTTATTATCTAAATTAATAAATTAAATAATCATGCAATTACTATATTGTCCTTTATTAAATTGGATTAATATGGGCCATTGGATTTTAATGAGGTGCAAGGGTGGAGATTGACTTAGTCATGTGACTAAGGGACCCCCCCCCCCTAGTCATCTGATCTTAGCCCGTCAGAGTGTGTATGGTTTGGGTGGGTTCGACCTTATTTGGGTGGTTTAATGAATAATTTTATGGTCAAGAGTTAATGATTATGTGGAAAAAAAATTAGTTTTTTTATTTTGACCGTTAGTCAAACTAACAGAAATTTACACAGATGCCCTAATTAGTAAGTTTAATGGTACCCGACGCCCTATTCTTATTTTAGTGGTATACCTTCCCCAATTCGAAAACTTTAGTGGCACGAGAGGTATTTTACCCGGAAAACGATGAGCAGATTTTATTTCCCCAACCTTTCTCTCTTGAGGATGATGTGGCGCGGAGGTGGCAATTCTAGTTCTAGTCTAATTGGCAACGACGTGGCGTCCAAATGGCAGCCACCTCAGCAACGCGAATTGGTAACTGACGGCGTCCCTAACGGCGTTAGATTTTATAACGGAAATGGCTATAATTGTCAAGCATTTTTAAATTTTTGGCTATTTCTGTATATTTTTCAAAAAATTTGGCTATATTTGTCATAAAGTGTAAAGTTTTGACTATGAAAGTGTATTTTGTCATAAATTTATTATTAAATTTGTTTATATATATATATATGTCTTTTATGTTATAGCGTAAGAATGGTTAACCAAAAATTAAGAAGAGTTATTTCCACTAATCCCCGAACCCTATTCACCTAGACACATCTGACTGTTCACCTAGACCCATAACTACTATTCATTTTGTTCCCATTGGTTGATTGGCTGCGCTGGGCCCAGGGTTGCTGGCGATGGATGCCGCGTGGTTCGTTGGCCCTCTGTCGTAGTTGCGTGGTCATCTGATCCCCTCTCTCTTACTGCCTGTATCTGCTTCGGGTGTCGCGTCGGCCTCAGGTCGTGGCTGATGTCCACCACCGTCTCCCCTATCGTCCTTCCTGTCTCTCTCGCGATCCTTCTCTCTCACTAGTGGGTTGAGTGGCCATCGATTTTTTGGGTACGTGATACAGAGGGGATGCGAGACAGAGGTGAGTGGTCACTAACCCTTTTGATTGACACAACTTTTTGGCTTGTAGAGAGATGAGAGAGAGGGTCAGCGAATAGGGAGGTCTTCTCATCGTGGTTTCTTTCGTTTCCCATCATGATTACTATTAGACTAAAAAACGATAGGATATATATCAATATTATCACTCTTCCTCTTCTCTCTCAGTTCTCTCAACATCCCTGCATCATCTCATCTCTCCTCTCTCTCATCTCAGCTCCGTGGTCTTTGCATCTCTTTCTCTCATCTCATCTCTCTCCCCTAACCTGTTCTTGCTCCCATCTCATTTGATGGATTTCTTCACAAAAGCTCTGATCAAATTGTTTCTTTCTTCCCTTCTCACCTTCAAATTCGTCCTGAGAACACCAGAAACAGAGAGGAAACAAAAAACAAAAAACGACCAAAGCAGTCTTGGAGACGACGATTCTGGTGATCAAGAGAGGCAATTGAGGTGCCTTCAGCTAATCAGGAGCTATCTGGAGCTGTGGAGATCAAAACTTTAATTTCTACCCTCTTTTCATTCTTCTCTCCTCCCGACTGCTTTCTCTCTTCTTTTCTCTCTGCGCTGGGTTTTCTTCTCTCTTCTTAGGGAATGGCGGACTTGAAGCGATCGGCGGGTTTGAGAGGTCCGGAGGAGATCCACACCAGCTGGCAATGCATTTGATTTCAGGTTATTCATCATTCTCTCTGTTAAGTTTGCTTTACTCTTTTTGCAGTACCCTTCATCATCTTTTGTTCTCATCATGTTCTCTCTTCCCTCTCAACCTGCCAGATCGAACAGCCACATGAGAACTGCCGAACACCCATCGACGACTATGACTATAGCAAGAGTCTCAATGAATCTCAGGTATTTTATCTCTTTATTTCCTTCGGTTCATATATGAGTTTTTTTATGGATTTGATTTTAGGTTCTTTTTTACTTCCATATCTGCTGATAGGTGCAACGAACCGCTCTCACTTGTAGATTCGCTGCAATTAGAGCCGAGGTAATTGTGGGATTAAACGGTGATTTCTCATCTCTAATACATGTTATCGCTTTCTGCTTCTTGTAGATTGAGTCTAGCGCGAGACTCCGACGAAGATCCCTTCTTCTTTTAGTTTGATTGAAGCTCTGTATAACCCTAATTTTGGTTTTGATAAGAACAAGTGAAGAGAATAGGGTAAACTGAAGAACAAATCGATACAAGGGGTAGAATGATTTCCCTTTCGTGTTAACCAAAACGACAACGAAATCGGAACTGAATCTTGAGATGAATTGGGCTTGGTTCATTCTCAATCTATCCGTGTAACTTGGCCCAATTAACTTGATTTGTACGCTGAGTTTTAAGGACTCAGTTTCCTTCCTTTCTCCTTAAGCAAGTCGATCAAACCTGTTCTGCACAAGAACCCAAACACGAACTAAACCAAGAACACTGATAAGAACTGGAAATAAACTGAAACAAGATAAGAACACAAATAAACACGGACACAGTATTTTTACGTGGTATCCGGTGTTAGGTGATTAATGAACCTAACACCAACTAATCCACGGTCGAAGGATCTCTGATTTAAGCATAGTTAGTAAATACTCCGTTTAATACACGTATATGTACCCATAAGTACTTTATCCGTTTAAAACTTCCGTATCCGTATTATTTTCAAGTCGTTTCATTTGTTTCCGTTCATTTGACGGCTTCCGTACTAAACACATATAAAACCCGTATAACACGTTTAATATCCGTATTTAATGAATTAAATTATTAACATTACTATTTTTTACATATTTATTTATTTATTTATTAACACAATTAATTTAATATATTTATGACTATGAACGTACTATTAAACGTAACATTAGCTAAAAGACGAAGTTTAATACCCGTACGTATTTTATACGTAACTTTCCTGTACCGTATTTTACTAACTATGGATTTAAGACCTTCGACGATCCACTATTGATCATTGATTGTTTTACAAAGTACCACCGATTGATCTCAGAGTGACTCCCCGTCACTTGATCAGAATCTCACTGTAAAGTTTGCTCCCTGCAACTACTCTACCCTGATACCTCAATTCAGTAACCTGAATTCTCTCCCTGACAACTCTGTTCTTTTTCTTTCTCAACTACACTATGAAAACACTCTGTTTTTCTTGTTGAGAATTTTGCTTGAAAAAGATGATCTATCTCTACCCAGAATCCCAGCTTTATATTATTTGCTTCAGTTGACCGTTGCTTGCATATCAATTTGTATTCCTTGATTACTCTGATTGATCACAGCATCAGAACCTTCCCTTTTTTATGATCCAGAATTTCCAAGATTGCTTGCCCTTCTTGCTTTGCTTGAAATCTCGATGCCATTGACCAAGATTCCTTCAACAAACTCCCCCTAAGCTTGTCATTGGCTCACTTGGTTACCTGCACACATTAACACACAATTGGTGCAGCCTGTTCCAATCGGAATATTTAAAAAGCAAGGTTGTATAGTAAAGAAACGGAGGAGAATCTTATTATTCATTGTTCAGACAAGAAGGACAATCACATTGAGGACTCAACATAACTAGTTCAAGACTTCACACCTATTACGACAACTCCTACATACTCGACCACTACCCAGACTCTAGATCCCCCCCTGTGCTTATTACCCATAACACCTAGAAGGGATATTCTGGTGGAGATTCGTACTCAGAAATTCTATCATCTTCTTCTTACTCGGAGTCAGAACTAATTGAGTCATTTACTGCTCTTGACTCTACACAAATTTGGGCCACATTAGGTCTTGTTGCCTCAGCCGATTCAGAGCAGTGGACTGATCGCCTGCACTTCAAGATTCTCGTTTGATGACTCACACAGCTGCATCAACAAGAGCACCTACAAGTCTCCCAGATGCATAAGACGCAAGACTTGTTGTAACTCCCCCTGAGACAGTGACAGGCTTACGGGGGCCAACCTCGACATTGAGTTAGGCTAGAACATGTTGGGGCTTAAGATCATCCAGGACATTACAGAGCGTTACCTTATCACGCAAATCAATTCCCAACTTATAAAGAAGTTTGGTGATCTGGGACCCAAAAGGCAGGGGACCACGGTAGTACTCCAGGCCAAACTTAATCAGGTGGGTGAACATGAGTGAGGCGTAGCTGATTAGACGACCCTCTTTAGCATTAGATAGGATCCATAAATCAACAGAGTGAAGGAGATCAGTGATAGAGAGATCACGAGGTAGAAAATTCCGAGTGATGAAGAAGTGGAGCACCTTCAAGTCATCTGGTAGACGACCAGCCGCAAGCGGAGAAGGAAAGAATTCCCCGATGTCACGCGTATAGTGTGCAAGAGCAGCATCAAATCAGAAACCTCGAGAGGCAAACTCACTATCTGTGCCTGCCCGAAGACCAGTGCGGGGAAGATTGAGAAGGTTTGCCAAGAGAGCAGGAGTAAGTGTGATGTCATAATTGAACACAGCGGTTGTGAAAGAAGGGTAGATGGAACGATCTCGGAACCTGCGAAGGTATCGAGAATAAGTTGCAGGGCTGCTGAACCCTTTGTTGCTAAAGACTGCAGCAGGATGCAGTTGAGCATTTTTGTAGCCCATTTGTTTGTTGATGGATGAAGCGAATATTTTAGGTGTGAGTGGGCTTAATGGAAGAAGATCAAAGCCTAGCGGAGTGGCAATATAAAGTGAGTCCGAACCCTAGTAAAGTTTCGAGAAGGAGGAATAAGGTAAGGTGCAATGAATGCTTGAATTAATCAAGTAATCAATCGATATGGAAGTAAGGAAAGTTTATATCCTTAGAATCATAAAGATTCAATCTCGTGAAGAGAGAACAACCCAAGTTCAAGGCGAATAGGGAGAAATTTGTCCGCCCCAAGAGGTTTGGTGAAGATGTCAGCCCACTTCATATCAGTGTCAATGAATTCTAGACATATCTTTCCTTATTGGACCAAGTCACGAATAAAGTGATATCGGACTTCAATGTGCTTGGTCCGAGAATGTTGGATAGGATTTTTGGTCATGTTGATTGCACTTGTGTTGTCACACAGAATAGGTAGAGTACCAACTACTAGACCGTAGTCTTGAAGCTGATATTTCAACCATAAGAGTTGAGTACAACTGAGTCTAGCAGCAACATATTCTGCCTCAGCAGTTGATAGTGCTACTGAACTCTGTTTTTTACTTGCCCAAGAAATCAGAGAGGATCCTAGGAAATGGCAATTACCTGATGTACTTTTTCTATCAACAGTGCATCCAGCATAGTCTGAATCACTGTGACTCACGAGTTCCAAACTAGAATCACACGAATACCATAAACCTAAGTGAGAGGTACCACTCAGATATCGGATAATCCTCTTGATTGCAGATAGATGACTCATTTTAGGACACCCTTGAAACCTTGCACAGACACATACACTGTACATTATATCTGGGCGACTAGCAGTCAGATATAACAAAGACCCTATCATCCCATGATACATTCTTTCATCAACAAGGATTCCAGAATCATCTGTTGTTAATTTTACTGTTGAACCCATTGGAGTTAAGGCAGTTTTACGTTTTGAAGTTTGAACTTTTTGAGTATGTTAAGAAGATATTTGGTCTGACTTATGAAGGTTCCCTTCTTGGTTTGTTTAACTTGCAGCCCTAGGAAGTAGTTAAGTTCCCCCATGAGACTCATTTCAAAATCACTCTTCATATCATTTTCAAATTCTTTACAAAGAGCAGTGTTAGTGGAACCAAAGATTATATCATCCACATAAACTTGAACTAACAAGGTGTGAGAGTTTTCATTTTTAATGAATAAGGTTTGTCAACTGCTCCTCTATGGAATCCCTTGTATAACAAGAATTGACTTAATTTTTCATACCAGGCTCTAGGAGCTTGTTTAAGTCCATATAAAGCCTTGTTGAGCTTATAGACATGATCTGGAAATTCGTAGTCTTCAAACCCAGGCGGTTGAGACACGTAGACTTCCTCTTTTATATCACCATTTAAAAATGCACTCTTTGCATCCATTTGGTACAATTTGAAACCCTTAGACGCAGCAAAGGCACATAGTAACCTTATAGCTTCTAATCTAGCTACAGGAGCAAAGGTTTCCTCGAAATCTATACCTTCTTCCTGATTATAACCTTGAGCCACTAGCCTTGACTTATTTCTAATGATCTTCCCTATTTCATTAGATTTGTTTCTGTAAATCCATTTAGTTCCAATGATGACTCTGTTTTGAGGCTTTGGAACTAGTTCCCATACATTGTTTCTTTTAAATTGGTTCATTTCTTCATGCATTGATGCATTCCAGTACTCATCATCTAAGGCTTCCTTAACATTCTTTGGTTCCATGAGTGATACAAATGCAGTATGAGCATTAGAAGTTCTGGATCGAGTGATAATACCTTGTTCTATGTCGCCAATGATCTGGGTTGGTGGATGACGTTTTCTTATGTGTGGTGGAGCTTGACGTTCCCCTTCCCTTATTTCCTTGTTCAGTTCTCCCTCTGTGTCATCATCTTCAGCAACAATCTCACTTGGTGTGTCTTCTGAATTTGTTCTTCCAAGACCAAAATCCTCTGTGTCATCTAAACTGTCTGCACACTCACTCGAAGACTCGTCAAATATAAAATTTATGGACTCCTCAACCTTGAGGGTCCTTTTGTTGAATACTCTATAGGCTCTACTGTTTGTTGAGTAGCCTAAGAATATCGCTTCATCAGATTTAGCATCAAATTTACCAAGATTATCCTTGGTATCTAAAACAAAACACTTGCATCCGAATGGATGGAAGTATTCCAGGTTGGGTTTTCTTTCTTTCCATAGTTCATATGAGGTTTTATTTAGTTTAGTACGAATTAAGGCTCTATTGGTCACATAGCAGGCAGTATTAATTGCCTCTGCCCAAAAATGTTTTGCTAGTCCGTAATCATTCAACATGGTTTTAGCTATGTCTATCAAATTTCTATTTTTTCCTTTCTACCACTCCGTTCTGCTGAGGAGTTCTAGGAGCTGAGAAGTTGTGAGAAATGCCACTTTCCTCACAGAAGAAGTTAAATTTATCAGAAAGGAATTCCCCCTCCATGATCACTCCTAGTGTTGACAATTTTATATCCTTTTTAATTTTCAAGTTTTCTAGAAAGAACTCTAAAGTTTTCAAATGTTTCATCTTTTGACGCAAGAAACAGAACCCAAGTGTATCTAGAATAGTCATCCACAATAACAAAAGCATATTGTTTCCCACCAAGACTTTTGATATTTGTAGGTCCAAACAGATCCATATGTAACAGTTCTAGAGGCCTTTTAGTTGAAATTATATACTTGCTTTTGAAAGATGACCTAGCATGTTTGCCTTTTGCACAAGCTGCACAAAAGAACTCCTTTTTACCATGAATTTTGGGAATACCTCTAGCTAGTCCAAGGTTTACTAATCTTGACAAAATTTCTACACTCACATGTCCTAATCGCCTGTGCCATTCCATTTGGTCATTTTTATCCACAGTCACCAAGCAAGTTTCATTAAATGACGTTTTATCATTTAAAACTAGGGTAAATACAATTTAATATCCAAACCTTTTATTTTAAACAATATAATAGCCAAACCTTTTCGAAAACAATATAATATCCAAATCGTCAACTTTCTGTCTGTTTGACCGTTAGTTGACACTTCAAAAAAGTTTGAAGTACGACACTTGATCAATATCCATCAATATCTTCTCTGAAAAACCACCAACATATCGTAGTTCCAAACCCGAGAAGTCCAGGAATCCACCATGATGGTATAGAATATCAAAATATTCAGTCATCTGCAATGCCAAAACAAGAAACAAAGTTGTATTGTGACAATTTCCCCTAAACAAAGTTTTTTTGAAGTGTCAACTAACGGTCAAACGAACGGAAAGTTGACGATTTGGATATTAGATTGTTTTCGAAAAGGTTTGGCTATTATATTGTTTAAAATGAAATATTTGGATATTAAATTGTATTTACCCTTAAAACTATGACAAACAATTTTCCTTTTCTTTTTCCAGTGAACAAAATCTGTTTACTCAAAATATTTTCAACATAGCAGGAATTAGGTTCAAAGACTACTCTATTCTTGGTACCACACATTTGACTTATGTATAACAAATTATGTTTAAGACCTTCAACTAACATGACATTTTTAATTGACGGATTCGATCCTACCTAACCCTTCCCTAGAATATTTGTGCTATAATTATCACCAAAGTAGACTCTGCCTTTCTTTCCTAGGGTAAGTTTTGAAAATAATTCTTGAATACCTGTAATGTGATGTGAGCAGCCGCTGTCCAAGATCCATTCACTGTCATCCATGCTCACTTGGAGACAGACCTGCATAATCATGATTTTACTTGATTTTTGGTATCCAAACCTGTTTGGATACTATCTGTGTTTTGTTACAGTGTTTCTTTAAGTGTCCTAGACTACCACATTTATGACACTTCTTGCTTTCTTTTGCAATTCTTCTTCTGCAGTTAGCAATGTAATGACCTTCCTTATGACAATAGAAACACTCGACAACTGTTGACTTTCTTTTCTCTGTGACACGATTAGTTTTAGCATTTGATGATTTATTATTGACCCATCTTCTAATGCTAGAATGACACTCCTCGCCACACTTGCAATTTGTAGTGTTCTGTACTCCTTTTAGATTTAGAAGATCAGCTTTAAGAGCTTCATTTTCAAGCAAACACTGTTTTAGTTGACTTTCAACATTCTGCTTTTCTTCTTTCAACATATTACATACACTGTTTATGCGTAGAAATTCATTCTTCAGCTTAGCATGCTTAAGTCTAACATTTTCAAATTCTTCTTGAATGTTTTTAATTGTATCAATCATTTCTTCTGTTTCACTATAATCATCAGAATAATAGTCAAGACGACTTACCTGAGGTGATTTGGAGTCATCATCACTCATTTCCAATGCCATGTAGGCAGTGTGTCTCGCTTCATCATAATCCTCTTCTTCTTCACTGCAACTCCAGGTTGTCGTGTATGCCTTTTCCTTTTTCATCATTGGGCATTCAGCCTTTATGTGACCTAGTCTTCCACATTTGAAACATCCAGCTTGTGGTGACTGCTTCTCAGTTGTAGCTCATTCTTTTCTTAGTTTAGACACTGATTGATTGAATTTGGTTTGATCTTCCCCTTCTCTGGAACGATTTATTAGTCCTCCTCGTCTCTTCTCTTTTCTCAGCCTCATTAGCTTGGCTACGTGTTTACTTAACATAGCTAGTTCTTCATCTTCCATCTCATCAAGACTGTCAAAATCTTCATCCTGAATTGTTGTCTTGAAGGCTATGCTCCGCATTTCCTTCCTTGGTTCTTCAGCTTCTTCTTTCTTCAGTTTTTCTTCATGAGTTATCAAGGATCCCATGAGCTCATCAAGGCTGAGCTTTGTGAGGTCTTTTGATTCTTCAATTGCGGTGACCTTTGGCGTCCATTTCTTAGGCAATGCCCATAGCACCTTTCTGACAAGATCACTGATTTTGTATATGATTCCCAAATTCATCAGGCTATTGACAATCGTCGTAAACCTTTCATTCATCTCTTTGACCGATTCTTCAGGCTTCATGAAAAATGACTCAAATTCTTGCTTCAAGCTATTGATTCTGGAAATTTTCACATGTGTCGTACCTTCATGTGCTATCTGGAGTTTATCCCAAATCTCTTTTGCTGATTTACACCCAGTGACGTGATGATATTCATCTGGTCCCAGTGCGCAGTACAACAAGTTTGTGGCTTTGGAGTTCATCTGATAGTTTTTTTTTGTCTGTGTCTGACCATTTTCCACGAACTCCCTTGACCTCCCACGGTCCATCGAGAATGATATCCGAAAGATCTGGATCGGTGGACCCAATGAAGAGTTCCATTCGGTTTTGCCAGTACCCGTAGTGCACTCCTTCGAATCTCGGGGGTCTTGTCTGAGAGAATCCATCGCCATAAAGATCGCTCCAGTGTTTGCGCTTGAACTCATCTCCTCCGAAGGTGACTAAGCCTCTTTTGTCGGAGCCGGGCTCTGATACCACGTGTAGATTGAGTCGAGCGCGAGACTCCGGCGAAGATCCCTTCTTCTTTTAGTTTGATTGAAGCTCTGTAGAACCCTATTTTTGGTTTTGACAAGAACAAGTGAAGAGAATAGGGTAAACTGAAGAACAAATCGATACAAGGGGTAGAATGACTTCCCTTTCGTGTTTACCAAAACGACAACGAAATAGGAACTAAATCTTGAGATGAATCGGGCTTGGTTCGTTCTCAATCTATCAGTCTAAGTTGGCCCAATTAACTTGATTTGTACGTTGCGTTTTAAGGACTCAGTTTCCTTCTTTTCTCCTTAAGCAAGTCGATCAAACCTGTTCTTCACAAGAACCCAAACACGAACTAAACCAAGAACACTGATAAGAACTGGAAATAAACTGAAACAAGATAAGAACACAAATAAACACGAACACAGTATTTTTACGTGGTATCCGGTGTTAGGTGATTAATGAACCTAAGACCGACTAATCCACGGTCGAAGGATCTCTGATTTAAGACCTACGACGATCCACTATTGATCGTTGATTGTTTTACAAAGTACCACCAATTGATCTCAGAGTGACTCCCCGTCACTTGATCAGAATCTCATTGTAAAGTTTGCTCCCTGCAACTACTCTACCCTAATACCTCAATTCAGTAACCTGAGTTCTCTCCCTGACAACTCTGTTCTTTTTCTTTCTCAACTATACTATGAAAACACTATGTTTTTTCTTGTTGAGAATTTTGCTTGAAAAAGATTATCTATCTCTACCCAGAATCCCAGCTTTATATTATTTGCTTCAGTTGACCGTTGCTTGCATATCAATTTGTATTCCTTGATTACTTTGATTGATCACAGCATCAGAACCTTCCCTTTTTGATGATCCGGAATTTCCAAGATTGCTTGCCCTTCTTGCTTTACTTGAAATCTCGATGTCATTGACCAAGCTTCCTTCAACACTTCTTTCCTCATCCATGATTCTTAACAACTTTTTCATCTCTTTACGTTCTCTGGATTTTGGTTTTCAGTTTTCAAGACCTCGATCAGCAATGGCCCTACCATCTGTTTGCTAAAATTGTTTCTCGTGGGGTGCTCATATGGAATTGAGAGGTTCGGCGACGGTACAGAACAAAGAAAAAGCAGTTCTCAAGCTTCCATTGTGTCTGTTCCGTTATAGGTGATTGTTCTGAGTCGTATGTTTTCTCTTTAGTTTGATGGTTTCGTTCTATCTTTCTCCTTGGTTGAGCTTCTTTGATTTCCTTCAGGGGAGATTGAGATGGCGAGTTTGTGCCCAAGATTTGGACTGTGACGGGTATATGCAGATAAAAAATTCCAATAGGTGCGTTTTGTTTTTGCTTTTGGGAGACGACTGAAGGCTAGAGGTCGTATTCTTTTAATTGTTTCTCCTTTTATTTTCTTTTCCTCTCATTATTTCGCTTCTCTTTTCTTTGATTTCTCTCATCTTGCTGTGTTGGTTCCTCTGTGCTCCTTCCAGGGGGTTGGACAGATTTGTCTTCGATTAAGTTGAGATCGGGAGGTGATTCTAGGGAGTTGGAATCTCTTCGGCGCCATCGCACCATCTCCAACCTCACACAAAACAGTCTGTATCATCTCAATTTTTCCTCTTCAGATTCATATTCATATTAGAGGTGCTGATTTGTCTTATTTTAATTGAGGTGCAGCTGGAGTTACTCCAGTTCATGTTCTCTTACTCGAGTTCATATTCTCTTACTCTCATCAGGTTACTCCATTTGTGTCTTAAAATTACAAAAGGCAAATGATGAGGAGTTGATTGATATGCTGTTGTTAAGGATGGTGTGGGTAACACCGAGGGTTTGGAGTTCGAGAATGAGTCATTGGAATCCCCTGTGAGGTTTGCTTCTTAATCCCCTTGTGTTTCTTACATTTATTTTGTTGGCGAATCCTACCCTTATATAACTGATCCTGTTGTTGCCTCTAGCAAATAATCATCAAATAGATTATCCAGGATATGCTTTTGAGCTGCCCAGTGAAGTGATAAGTTCTGGCAAGAAGCTCAATTCCCACCGTTTGTTGTTGTGCATCCAAGTGAATGTTTTTTTCCATAACTTTACAAAAGTCCAACTTTGCTTCTTGCTTTCTGATCTGGTGGTTCCTTTAGAAGGCTTATACTATTCTTTACTCTATGATATGCAACAAGTTAGGATAGTTAGCTTGGTAGATAGGCACTGTCAAGCTAGAGCAGCGATCAGATCTGGTTGTCCTTGCAAGGATGGTCATAGAGGCGAAAGTGGACTTTCTCATGCATCAAGTAGGGTAGCATATTAGAGTACCCCCATCTTCTTCCTCACATGATGAAAGATCGTTCCTCTTTTTTTCTAGTTGCACTTTGCTACATTGAGGACAGTTCTGGGTGCTGATTTGTGTACTTATAATCGTGAAGGGAGGAGCCATGTTGTTTCATTGGATGGCGACAATAAATGGTCAATCTGCTGGGCCAATTCAGCTTCAATTGATCAAGTTAGAAAGTTCTTAAGTTCCCCGTCTCCAAGAGACATAAAGCTGTATTTTGGGTGCTTGAAATTTAGTCTTTTACCTTTGACTGTGGTGTTCTTTTTGATTCGGCGCCATATCTGTTGTCCCAAATTGATGTATTGTTACATTTCCTTCGTCATTCATGTAAAAGTGCAACAACTGCTACATTCTCTCTTTTTTGCTTTCTTATGTAACTTCCATCTATAAAATCCTCTTTGTATAAACGTTATTTTGGGCTTATGAATATAGTCCCAAAGGCCCCTTTTCCCTTTCAATCTCCTACATTCTCTGCTTTGGGTTTGTTTCTAATGGAACCTTAAAGCTTCTTATATTCTTTCTTTACTAATAATACAAGTGCTCGTCGTGTTTTTTTTACCAAGAAAACTTCCAAATTCATTTCCCATGGGACAACAGTTACTCTATGTATCAGGATACAAGAGAGGCGAAATAATACTAAGAATTGTCATCCAATCTGGAGGGAGTAAATTCCTAGCAAGCGATTTGGCCACCCAATCCGCTCTCTTGTTAAGCTTGCGTCCGAAGAAAGCAACCTTGATGAAACCGTTGCGCGTTAGAATGTCTTGGATAATCCCTAGCCAAGCATAAACTCTCCATGGCCACTTAGGAGGGTCAAATGCAAGGGAAAGAATCAGGGAAAGACCGTCCAACGAATCAAACACGGCGTGGCTTTATCCTGCGCATACCGAACAGCTTCCAGTAAAGCCTTAGCTTCTGCTTCAATGGGAGATGAACAAAGGATGGTATCAGCCTTCCCATCACAAATATCTCCATGGCTATCGAAAACAACGATACCATATGTCGCCTTCTGGGAGTCATGTAAGAACAACCCATCACAGTGAATCACCAAATTGGGATTGCTCGGCGGTGGAAGGAGATGAGATCGGATAGCCCTAGGCTGATTTGGGGGAGGAGGTAGCTGACGGGGAACTTTTGGGCAAGAGTTCCAAGCAGTGAAGTCGTTTATAGCCTTGCTGCACGTAGCCGGTGGCCATGGGCTTGAAGCTCTGAAGACCTTCTCATTTCTTGTCTTCCAGATCTGCCACAAAAGGTAGATAACCTTCGGGGTCGTTTCACCCGGCTGCGAGTAATGAATGCTGGAGAGCCAATCAAGGATGCTCACAAGTGGTGGCGGGGTGGGTAATGATGGGAACAAGTGCATCCAGGATTTCTTAGCATGATCACATTGGAAAAGAAAATGGTGAATAGATTCTTCTGAACTACACCAGACCGGGCAAGTAGGGGATGAAGATCAATATCTGTTGTGCAGCTTTCGGTTTGTTGCCAAGGCTCCCTTAGTGGCTTTCCAAATGAAGAACTTCAACTTTGGAGGGATGTTAAGCCTCCACATCCACTTCCATTTGTCTTTGGTGTCTTGAGGGACCGGTGTTCCATCCAAATCATCATTTCTCTTCAGACCATGGAAGAAGTGGTAAGCTGAACTGACTGTAAAAGTCCCCAAAGGATGAGGCATCCATGCCCAAAAATCCTCTGCTTTTAGTGCCAATATGGACATTCTTAATAATGTCCGCCTGTTGCGGATCCACTACCGAGGAGATATGTTGCATATTCCATGTGCGAGAATGGGTGTCCATCCATTCAGCAGCCGTGGTATCTCCTTGCACATTGTTAGCCAATCTGCCTCCTATACACTTGGGATCCAAGGGTCATGGTACACACGAGTGTTATGTCCATTACCGATGACTCGAGTGGTCCCTTTGATCATAAGCTTCCTTGCTTCTCACAGACTCGACCAAATCCAAGATGAACGTGATCCTTTACGTGCTGATAGAAGATCCATTCGGGGGAAATAGAGTCCCTTAAGGAGTCGTGCCCAAAGAGAGGAAGGCGATGACAGCAGACACCAAGTCTGTTTCGCAAGCAGGGCCAGGTTGAACTCCTTAAACGAGCGGATACCAATCCCCCCTTCATCCTTTGGGCAACACAAGGTTTTACCTTTGATCCAGTGGATTGACTTCTTTGTCAAGGATCCTGACCAGAAAAACCTCCTGAGCATTGAGTCCATTCTGTTTGTTGTTGAAACAAGAAGTAGGAAAAGGCACATAATGTACGTGGGGATTGCTTGAAACACGGCTTTGATGAGAATTTCCTTCCCCCCCCCCCCCCCCCCGGGGAGAGGAGAAGACTCTTCCACCCTTCCCCTTTCTTCTCCATTCTTTGTAATAGGAAGGTCTCCTTTTTTTATCTTCCCCACTTCGTAGGGACTCCCAGGTAGGTGGAATGACAGTTCGTGGGCACAAAGCCAATGGTGTTGATGATGTCTTCTCTTTCTTCATGAGGGACATTGTGGCTAAAGAAGATGGACGATTTTGTTCAATTCACTTCTTGACCTGTGATTGCACCATAAACTGAGATGATATCAAGGATTATCGAAGCCTCCTCTGCTGTTGCCTTTCCAAAAATGACAGTATCATCAGCAAACAGACAGTGGGTAAGAAGTGGGCAGTTTTGGTTAAGCTTAAGGCCCTTGATATGGTTATTGGCAACCGCTTTATCAATAAGGAAGGAGAGTGCATTGGACATCAGAATGAAGATAAGGGGTGAAAGGGGGTCTCCCTGTCTGATGCCTCTCGATGGAGTGAAGGTTGGTCCTGCTTCTCCATTGAACAAGATTGAGAAGTTAATAGAAGAGATGCACTCCTTCACCCACGCACACCATCTAGCGTCAAAGCCATTCACTTGGAGTAGTCGAATCAGGCATTCCCAATCAACCAAATCGTATGCTTTCCTCATATCCAGTTTAAGCATCATGTCCCTTCTATTACCCTTTTTGTGCTTTTTGAAATGATTTAGCACCTCATGGAAAATAATAATGTTATCTTGAATCTGCCTTCCACCTATGAAAGCTGTTTGTAACTCAGAAACCAGTCCAGGAATCCATTTCTGTAGTCTTGTCGTCATGATCTTCGTAACTACTTTGTACCGGAAGTTACAACAGCTGATGGGTCTGAACTGACTAATCAATTTCGGCGCTTCAACCTTAGGGACAAGGGTAATGTGTGTTTCATTCCACCCCCTTGGTAGTTTTCCTGTTGTGAATAAGCTCTTGACCTCCTCATAGAATTCCTTTCCAACTGTCCCCCAAAACTTTCGGAAGAAGTAGCCCGGGAAACCATCAGGTCCTGGGGCCTTTGAGTGTCCCAACTCAAACACTGCTTTGCGAATTTCCTCGTTGTGAAGTGGTGCACAAAGAGCAGTATTCATTTTTGGAGTGACCATTGTTGGGAAGCCCTCCAGGAAATCATCAATCGGGAGCTGGTTCCTCGCTTTAAAGAGGTCTTTATAGTACTTAGTGGCATGATCTTTTAGTTGTACTTCCTCATCCGTCCAGATCCCATCTCCATTCTTGAGTCTAAGGATCCTGTTAAAGTTCCTTCTTTGAATAGCGCTCGAGTGAAAAAAAACCAGAATTCTGATCCCCCTCTTGCATCCATTTGATTCTGGATCTCTGAGCCCAAAAAATCTCTTCCTCCTTCTAAAACTTTGCAAGTTCAATCAGTAGTGATCTTTCTTCCTCAACTTCAGCCTCTCCCCTGACTGGACCTTGTAAAACAATCAACCGGGCTCGAATTTCCACTTCTCTCTTAATTCTTATTTTGTGTTTATCAGCTGCCCATTTACGCATCTTTCCTTGACACTCACGCATCTTCTCTTCCGAGCACCCTGGAGTCGCCCAAACTTGTTCAATGATACTCTGGCATTCGACATAATCTTTCCAGCTCTTATAGAATCTGAACGGGGTCTTCTTCCTGGTTTCATTGTAATGGATGTCAACTCGAATAGGGCATTGGTCAGAATCCGTCATTTCTTCATGGAAAACGAAAACTTTTTCAAATTCAATTCGCCAAGAGGTAGAGCATATGGCACGATCAAGCCGCTCTCTGATCAGGTTTTCTCCTTGTTGTTTGTTTGACCAGGTGAATGGTTGTCCTTTATGTCCAAGATCGATGAGTGCATTCCGTAGCATGAAGTACTTGAAAGGTCCTACATTTTCATTGCAAAGCGGGCACCTCCCTCCTTTTTCATGCTCGAAAAGAGCTATATTGAGATCACCTAGGATAATCCAACTATCATCTAAGCTCTCCCTAATAGTGCGCAAATGGTCCCTAGTGGCAGGGGCATGGGTGAAAGTACAAAAGAAAACAGAACTACCATGGCTAATCTTAACATCCATGTATGAATTACTGGAGTCAAGAACAACTACATTTACCCCTTGCTTCCACCATAGAGCAAGTCCACTACAACCCTCAGAGGGGTCAACATAATCCAAGTGCTTGAAAATTGTCGATCTTCTTTCATTCTCCATGAAGCCCCTATCCTTCTTGGTCTCCATAAGAAAAAGGACCGACGGGCCAAACTGACGGGAAAATCTGCTGCAGTAGCTACGTGTAGTTGGTTGGCCAAAGCCCCTACAGTTCCAGCTCATCACGATCATTCAGTCCAAGGTGGCTTGAGGCTTGCCACCGCTGCCTGTGAATGGGAAAAAATTCCATCCCCTGTTTCATTGTTCCCCTCCGCTGTGCTCGACTGAGCTCTCTTCCTTAGAGTGATATTCTTCCTCTGCTTCTCATTTCTTGCTGGCCCAGGGCTGAAGTTTACAGAACCAGCCGCTAAATTGCTGTCATGGGCTGTTTCTGCAAACAAGGAGGCCCCCATGATGAAGCTGTCGGGCTTCCTCTTCTTCTCTGAGCGGCCCATCATGCGCTCATAGTTCATCTGAGCTTCTTGGACATGGTTAGTGTAGCTTCTTGCTGCTCCTCTTCAGGCCCAACTGGAAGGCCCACATTGCTAGGGTTAGAGGAAGGTGTGGCCAGGGAGAGCCCACTCCCCATTCCCTGTACATTCCCATTCCCATCATCCCCACCAAAAAATCCCCATCACTTAAATCAAGGAATTTTTGGATCCCAGCAGCCACCTCGTCCATGTCTTCTTCAAGCCTCCTTGGTGCACATGATTGAGCCCTCTGTCCAAAGGGGAAGCTTGGGAACATGTCAGTGTCAGTGATAGACCTTGAGCCCATGAATCTTTCTTCAAAACCAGGGGGCACGATCTGGCCGCTTGTCCTCCCGTCAGAGAAAGAGTCGTTGGGGTCAGTTCCCCAAGCATGCCTTGGATTTGGTGATGCTCTCTCTCCTCCGTTTGCCCTGTAGCCGAGCAAGATCCGGCATTTCTCCGACGGAAAGATGCAGGTGGGGTGTTCGCCGGTGACTCGTATCCAGCTTTCAGCGCTGCCGTGTACACATCTGAAGCCTTCGTGCTAAGACCTTGTCGGCGGTTTTCCTCCCTTGAAGCGCAGGAATGAATGAGGTGCCCAAACATTCCACAAAAATAGCACAGATCTGTGATGCGTTCGTATTTGAAGCTCACCCAGACCGATTTTTCCCCCAATGAGAACTCAAATCCGATGGGAATCAGATCCGCCAGTTCAACTTCCACAAAGACTCTGATGAATCTCCTCCAGCCTTTGTGCTCTAGGCTGGATCTGTCCACCCAGTTGTAATTTGGGAAGACAAAGGATGCTATAGCTTCCACCGCCGCTTCTTCCTGCAATTGTGGTAGTAGATCATGGAGCTGCACCCAGAGGTACATAGTTGGGAAGTCGACTTCTTCTGGTAGGCCTTCGCCGTCCCATTCCTTCACAGCTACCAGTGTGTTGGAGAGAGTCCAAGGTCGGCCATTCCAGACAGCATCCCTTCCTTTTGAGGTAGGGAAAGAGTAGACGAAGAGGTTATCCTTCACCGGTCCAACTTCAATCTCTCCGAATTCTCTCCATTTGTTCTGGGCGGTATTTCTGGCCTTGGTCAGAGAGATGCTGCCATCAGTGATCCATTTGCCCAGGAGCATGGCAATCCCTCTTCCTCGTCCTTCACCTACTTGTGGCTGAATGTTGAGGACCAGGTGGCCCTTTCCAGCAGCTGACCTTCTCCTTTGATTCTCCATTTCCAGATAGCAGGTTGTCTTTCTTGGATTTGTAAGATTGGGAAACAGAAGTGCTCGTCGTTAGAAGTTCAAAGATTGCATAAATAAGTTGTGGTCAGGGTATGAATTAATTCATTTCGTTGCCTTAAAACGAAAAGCTTAAGCAAATGGTGTTCCATTTAATTTCCCTCAAGTGATGATTGTTGGGTAGCGAACTTTACAACTCTACATTACATTAGCCACAAATTACACAAATCAAACGTACCCCGCAGCAGAGCGCGTGCAACTTACTAATTTTAATATTATTAACCGTCAAACCATAAACCACTAATTTTTTTGCTTTAACATCCGGTTCGGTTCAGGAACAGAGGACATTTTAACAGCCCATCTCATTGGCCCAAACCCTGTAATTTGGCTGGGCTTACTCCAGATTGTACAGTCCAGAATCTGTGCAATTCAAGGGCCCAGTTCGTAATTTACGGGTTCGGCAAACAAGCGATCTGGTTATCATTTCCACTTTCCATTGGCAAAGCCTCTGAGCTTTTTGGTTAAACCAAATCCAATTCACAGCTCCCATTTCTGCATCGAGCGAGAGAGAGAGAGAGAGAAACTGTAAGAGAATAGCCGGAAGTGGGAGCGTGCGAGGGAGCATTTTGATCTGGAACTGGTACCGGAGTGGGAATCTCGCGATGTTCCTACGGGCGATCTCGCGGCCGTTGATGGCCAAGGTGAAACAGACGACGGGGATCGTCGGTCTTGACGTCGTCCCCAACGCCAAGGAAGTTTTGATCTCCCTCTACTCCAAAACCCTAAACGAGATTCAGGCGGTCCCTCCGGACGAAGGTTACCGGAAGGCGGTGGAGAGCTTCACTAAGCACAGGCTGAAAGTATGCCAGGAGGAGGAGGATTGGGAGGCGATCGAGAAGAGGCTCGGCTGCGGTCAGGTCGAGGAGCTAATCGAGGAGGCCAGGGACGAGCTCAAGCTCATCGAGAAAATGATCGGTGAGTACGACTTTCGAATGCTTCAATTAACGTTTCATTTGGCCCCCAATGTATGATTACTTTGATTAAGCGCCATAGAATAGCCGACTCTGGAATTCTGAGCATCTTCATTTGACAGCGACGTTGAAAGTGGTAGATGTAATGTAGTTATGGGATTTCGAAATTGATTTCTTGCTGGTACTTCGTTAATTGAGATATCTGTGGCTTTATTTTGGCCTGTGAAAGAATTTAGCGTTTAGAGGGTTGGGTTGGATTGGTAGTGAAGTTCCTTGGTTTAAGTTGTGTTTGATCTGCTAGATTTAAAGTTAGTGACTGAGTTATAGTGGAAGATCTTCTTCTACAATTTGGTTGAAAATGTCTGTAGAAATGAGGTGCTTGGGTTTTACCTGTAGTATGGTTTCTGGCTATGAATTTTCTTGTAGACTTAGTTGGATAAGGCTCCGGCCAAAAGTACAGGATGAACATCTAAGGGTTGTTGGAAGTTTCGGTTTAGGGCTTTGGATTGTTCTAATGTTTGCACAATCCTTAAGTGGAGTAATGATTGGTTTGTGTTTGATTCGAGAGTTCTATCTGGTTTAAATCATGTACAATGTACCACAATTAACCACTCGAGAGTCGAGATGAACAAGGTCATATGGCTCAAGTCATCAGTTGGTCAGTGATCTGATGTATAAACCTGCTGCCTGTCTCCTGGTCTATGTTGGTCTATGCTACTCTCCAGTTATAGTGGCGCAAGATTACAATGTCATCCTTGTCATCCAGTAGCCTATTATATGCCCGATATGGTATCAGATCATTTAGTGTTTAGCATTTTTTGCTCTTTCACAATCGTTTCTTAGTTACACGAGTGCTACTGTACTGCAGTGAATATTTCATCAAACTCCAGCTAATGTGCTTAGTGTTACACTGCTGGTTTTCTTTCCGCTAATGCATTGAAATGAAGTGAAATGGAAAGCGACTAACTATAATGATCTTCATTTTCCTTTGAATGTACTTGCAGAGTGGGATCCCTGGGGTGTGCCTGATGACTATGAATGTGAGGTCATAGAGAATGATGCTCCAGTGCCTAAGCACGTCCCCCTACATCGACCTGGTCCCCTCCCCGAGGAATTCTACTCGACGCTAGAGAAGTTGCAATTGAATTCTAAGGAGGCACCACCTGCTGTCACCTCCGGCGAGTCAAAGGCAGAGTAGCACGCTGCTGGAACTTGCATCGGGGAACTTCCATCATAAGACTATCTTCTTGGATCTTGTTTGTGTTTGTCATCGTGTAATTTTCTGTTTCGGCCACATTTAAATAGAGGCTTTTTTCATTTTATGAGAGTGGCTTTGAAGAACCATTCAGTTCAATAATCTTTGAAACCAATCAAAGATGTTAGGAATTTCCTTCTTCAAATCTTTGTTGTCTTTCAATTCCAATTGATCCATGGAAACTGTGGCGGTCCTTGCCCTCGACGGTGTAGATTTTGGGTTTCATTAGCAGGAACTTATGCAGATATGCTAATGTGTTTGAAGAAACAAGTTCTTAAAGTTCTTTACAAGACTTTGTTCTTCATGTTACTTTATCAATTCAAGATACTTTCTGTAAGAGACGCATTTGTCATTGACGAACATTCAGATTGCTGTAGCCTGTAGGCAAATTAGAATTTCTTTAATCTTCTGGAAACATTGAATGGAAAGAGCCCCCTACTCTTCATTCAAAATCAGCTGGTTCCAGAAATTCCTATACATTATACAGTATCTCTCATACTTAAGGATTGCATCGGAACATCAAATTAAACGACAGCTGATAGGGATTGTAAGTCAGCTAGTTAGTCAGTACAATGCTAAGCCTTTCTCCATAATATGAGAAAGCTACAGAACCTCTATGGCCCTTCCAGACGCACAGCTTTACTCATGGTATCATTCAAACAAGCATAATGCTCTAACCATGGCTCTGCCGCATGCTGCTCCCTGAAGAAGCCAGCGATTAACGATGTCCAAGCAATGACATTAGGCGATTGCATCTCCTTGAAGACTCTCAACACCTTCTACCGTGTCAGAGCATTTCATGTACAAATCTAGAAAGAAGGGAATTTCCGAGTGGGATATGGTCCTCTACTTGCTGTTATTTTTCTTGAGTGGATTTGCGTACCCAAATCCAGCGAGTGAATTGGCGAGCATTCACTGAGCAAGACCAAGAATGTGACCTCATTTAGCAAGATTCCAGAGAGATTCATGTCTCCCAACGCACCGAGACCGAAAGCCAATTTGGAAGTTCTGAGTTTTGAGCAAATCCTGAGATGACCTACTGACTAGTCCATAGGACATCGGATTCAGTGGTGAGCTTGACTACTTTTTCAGTATCTCCCATCTTCTGGCATTTTGAGTACATGTCCACAAGCATTGTTTTCGTTACCAAATTCAGCTCTCAACACCCAAAACTACGGCGTGGGTATGAATCAGTTTGCCGTACTCCAAACCAAGAAATCCACTTGCTGCTAACATTTTGGGGACAGTAAACCCATTTGAAGTGACTCCAGACTTAAATCATACTAGTTTTTTGACCCGCGCTACGCAGCGGTAAGTAGCTAATTATATTTAAAATTTCATCTACTTATTTAATAATATAGTTGAAATCGTATAATTCTCAAAACCTTTCAAGTTAGATATGCCCATAGAGAAATTTTACAATGCTATATAATATTGGTGCTATAGGTTTTTGCCTTTATGGTACAACTTAAAATTGTACATTTACGTTATGGTACAACTTTAGATTGTACCTATACTTTTTGTACAAATTCTTTTATGGTACAACTTGAACTTGTACATTTATGTGATGGTACAACTTCAAGTTGTAAAGTTGTACCATAACATAATGATACAAATTGCTTTATGGTACAACCTAAACTTATACATTTAATGTTATGGTACAACTTTGAGTTGTACATTAAAGCATCAATGCTATATAGCATAGTAGAAGTGCTCATGCCCATAAGGTTTACAAATGTCTTAACCATTACGAAAGATTTAAGTCGTATGTTTGTTTAATTGATACATAAGAAATAATATATCTCAATAAGTTTTACGTATGACCTTAATTATCACAAAGGACTTACTTAATACGTTTATTAACTGACATATAAGAAATAATTATTCCTTTATAACATTTATGTAGTGTCTAATCATTATGGAAGACTTATATCATAAGTGTTTCGTAATTAGTTTGTTTAATTGATTTATAAAAAATAATCATTCGTCCATAAATTTTTTGAAATCCATTTACATTTATATACCTATTTTAGAAGGGTGATACCTTAATCTTATGTAATGTGTGTCTAATAATAAAATTAACTTACAGAAGATTAAATTGTTCTGTAAAATTTAATTGATCTTTGAAAATATTTGTGTAATTCAAATTGATAATATGATGAATGGTTTATTAATAATTTAGGAATTTTAGTTATGGATAAAGTAATTATGTGACATAAATTATAATAATAAATAAATATCTCTCTATAAGATTTATGTAATGTATTAATATTAAAGACGTATATAATAAGTTTGTTTAATTAATTTATAGATTTTACGTCATAAATTTATAATTTAATTAACTATTATAAATTGGTGTTGTATAAATTTGTCATAATCTGTGGCCTAATTTTACAATCAAGTTAAAAAAGTATCACATCTTATTAAGTTTTACAACAAATTGTTGAGATGATCAATAATCAAGTAAGAAATAACTACCATCACATAATCTTTGTGTAAAATAAATTGATGAAATGATCAATATATAATAAAGTTAATGATAAAGAGATTTGGTTCGTTCAAAATTATATTATGACAGATATACTTAATTATTTTGTTTATACATAAGAAATATATATCCTTCCAAACCACAAGAAAATCTATTATTCTATAAATAAAAAAATGTAATCATACTGAAAGTTATCCGAAAAAGTAACATAAGAAATAACTATCCTTCTGTAAATCAAGGATTGTGAAATCAATTGGAGAGTATACCAAAAACGTCATTATTAGGGTATTTTATATTGTAATCATGGTTTAATTGTGGTTCAACCGTTTTATATCTTTAAAAATGCCTGTTGGTCTGAAATCTCACAGGCATTTTTATATCATATCGTACTGGAAGTTATATTGAAAAAATCACATAAGAAATACGTATCCTTATATAAATTAAGGATTGTAAAATCTTACTCGAGATTATACCAAAAACGTCAATATTAGGTATATTTTGTATGAAATCCATGGTTCAACCGTTTTATGTTGTTAAAACTGACAACCGGTCTGAACTCTCATACGCAATTCTATACTCTATCGTACTGGAGGTTATACCAAAAAATCACGCAAGAAATATTTATCCTTTTGTGAATCAATGATTGTAAACTATGCTGGAGATTATACCAAAAATGTCATTTTTAGGGTATTTTGTATAGAAATCATGGTTTAACCTTGGTTTTAACTGTTTTAATTGTTAAATCTCCCTACCGTTATGAACTCTCATAGGCATTTTTTATACAATATCATACTGGAGGTTATACCGAAAAAATCACATAAGACTATCATACTATAAATCAAGGATTGTAAAATCGTAATGGAGAAGATACCGAAAACGTCAATATTAGGGTATTCTGTGTTGAAGGCATGGTTTAACTGTGGTTCAACCATTTTATAGAGTTAAGACTGCCTACTGGTTTAAACTCTCATAGGCATTTTTATACCTATTGTACATAAGGTTATATCAAAAAATTCATAAAAGTACCTATCCTTCTATAAATCAAGGATTTCAAAATCGTAATGGAGATTATACTGAAATGTGAGTATTAGGGTATTTGCTATTGAAATCATTGTTTAATTGTGGTTCAACCATTTTAAACTTGCCTACGAGTCTAGACTCTCGTAGCCATGGATTAATTGTGGTTCAATCATTTTATAGCGTTAAAAAGTTCTATCGGTCTAAACTCTCGTATGCCTTTTTTATACCCTATTGTTCATGAGGTTATATCCAAAAAATCATATAAGAAATACATATCCTTCTATAAATCAAGTATTGCAAAATCGTACTGGAGATTATATCGAAAACATGAGTATTGAGGTATCTTGTATTGAAAGCATGGTTTAACTGTGGTTCAACCGTTTTATATAGTTAAAATTGCCTACCGGTCTGAACTCTTGTAGGCATTTTTTATACCCTGTCGTATGGGAGGTTGTACCGAAAAATTCACATAAGAAATACTTATCCTTCTATAAATCAAGGATGTTAAAATCATACTGGAGATTATACCGAAACCAACAATATTAGGTTATTTTGTGATTAAGTCATGGTTTAATTGTGGTTCAACCGTTTTATACCGTTAACTGATTACATGTATGAACTCTCGTACGCATTTTTATACCATATCGTACTCGCGGTTATACAAAAAAATCACATAAGAAATACATATCCTTATATAAATAAAGAATTTTAAAATCGTACTGGAGATTATATCGAAAATGTAAATGGTAGGGTATTTTATGTTCAAACAATGGTTTAGTTGTGATTCAACCATTTTATAACATTAAAACTACCTATTGGTCTGAAATCTCGTAGGCATTTTTTTCATCCAGATATTGCTTAGCTTAATGATATGGTAAACTTGATGTTTATAATAATAATTAGTGGCAAAAAAATGCTCCAACATGAAGAAATAGGACCGGAATGATGGTTGGGGAAAAATGCTCCAAGAATAGAACCGGAAACTTTTGTGGGTTTGGCCGTAGCTAAGAATAACTCTGGTGAACAGTAACCTAGCGAGAAATTGTCGTGAGGAACAGTGCTAGGTTACTTGCACTGTTAATTAATTAATTAATTGATGTGAAGCCGGAAAGCTTGTCGATACTTACCAGCTCAAACATAGGAAGAGATCATTGTCGTCCAGGAAACAACATCGGCTTCATCGATCAAGCCGAAGACTTTATTTGCATCTGAAGAATCAAACTTGGAATACAAGTTAATCAAAGAGCTTCCCTCCAGTGGGTTTGACTGCAACCCATGTTTTAATAAACACCCATGAACGCGCTTCTCATAGTCCAGATCACTCAGGGCAGCACACGATCTAACAACGCAGGAGAAAGTGAAGGCATTTGGGTGCACACCCTAATCCGCCATGTCAATATGTCATGAACAAATCGATCGCTGCTCTTACATCATCTATTTTTTTTTTTTTTTTTTGCATAAGAGGAGGCAAAACGCCAAGAAGAGAAAGTTACAAATGCGGATGAGAAGGGGAAGACAAGTTGGCAGGGGAACAATCTGCCTTTGAAAAGCTATCCCCTGCATATCGTCTCTTAAAATGGGGTTCAAACCCGACGGTGGGTGTTCAAGTTCATGCATACCGTAGGGATAGACGAGACTGTGCTTCGAGAGCCAGTCCGCGGCTCTATTCCCTTCACGGTATACATGAGAAATGCGCACCAACCAATCTCTGCTAATCCTCCTACGAATCGAAGAGAGCAAGGTTGCATAAGGATGAACCGGGTCATGCCTCTCACTAATCAACTGAATTGCAAGTTGGGAGTCCGAATCAACTATCACAGTCCGGCACCCCGTCTTCCAAGCTAAGTCCAAACCATACCGGAAAGCCCATAGCTCGGCAAGGGCTGCAGAAGCTTCTCAAATCTTCGCCACAAAACCGGCGATCCATCGGCAAGTATCATCTCTCAAAATCCTCCCCACTCCGGCCAGCCCGGGATTCCCGTTCGAGGCACCGTCAATGTTAAGTTTCATCCAACCACCTCGTGGAGGAATCCAAGATATACTAGCCAACACCCTATTGCTCGAGTTACACCTTGGGTTGGGTAGCATTGTTGGCACAGTCCAAGTTGCATACCACAACTTGGCCTTGGCAATAATAAAGTGAGCTAAGGACGGAGGTGTGAGAGTGAAGCCAGCGCCCTTAAAGCAGAAAACATTCCTGTTTTTCCATATACACCAAACCGCAATGCTGAACAGAGTTGACCATGGAATCCCCTGGAGTTCACACCCTTCATCGGCTAAGTTCAGGCGAAACCACTCTTCCACTGTCGCCGTAAAGAATCTCTGTTGATTATTATTGGGGACGTACCTAGACCAGAAGAAGCTTGCAAGCGGACAATCCCTGAGCATGTGAATCACCGATTCCACCTGTCCATTGCAACGGGTGCAGTGCGGGGAAGAGGCAATCCTCCTGGAGAAGCGGAGAGAGTTGGTCTCAAGTTTACCCAAACAGGCCAGCCAAACGAAACATCGGACGCGTTCGGGGACGGGGAGGCGCCAAATGAGCTTCCAATATTTAACGTCCTGGTCCGTGTCTGGTGGCAGCAGGGAATCATAAGCGGTTTTGGTAGTAAACCTGCCATTCGAGGATAGAGTCCAGAAGAGGGAATCTTCTTCTGCCGAGAATTTATCCACTGCCACCCCTGTAATCTTATTTTGAATCTCCATGGGAAGAAGCTCAGCGAAGCGGTCTGTGCACCAAAAGCCCTCCTCGTTAATCAAGTCTGCCACTGCTTCATTCATTCGGTCCTCGGGGATTTCATCCAACACCATGTTCTTCAGCGGTTCCTGCAAAAACCAAGAATCATGCCAGAATTTAGTAGATTTTTCATTCTTAATATTCCACGCACAACCACCTTTAAGCAACGTGGAAGCTGCAGAAAGGCTTTTCCAGGTAAAGGAGCTTCCCTGAATTGGTTGTAGCAGGTTCAGATCTTTCTTAGAGTTCCCATACTTGGCTGTGACGACTTGAGTCCACAAAGCATCTTTTTCCTTAATTAGTCTCCACCCACTCTTGGCGAGCATGGCGAAATTCGCTTTCCTGACCGATCGCAGGCCTGCCCCACCTTGGCTCCTAGGAAGAGTCATCTTGTCCCATGCCACCGGGTGTAGACGCGATTTGTTCTCCTCCTCTCCCCACACAAAGTCTCTATTGATACGGTCAATCGATGCACACACTCCCTTAGGAATGAGCTCTGTATGCATATGATACGTTGGGAGAGAGGCTACCACTAATCTAGAAACCGTCAGTCTAGCAGCAAGTGAAAGTCGCCTAGCCT